ACCCATACACCAAAACTTCTGAGACAAATAAAATTTCAAATTTTGATGATAATAAAGGCGAATTCTGATTTAATTTTTTTAATTGAAGTGCAGAAATCGGGCTTTTATATTGTTAAAAAATTTGTTTTTAATAAATTTGATATTTATTTGGGGAGATGATAAAATTTCCAAACTTTTTAAAAATAGCTGGCAATAATAAAATTAATTTATACATATTAGAATTCAGTGCAGATCAATTTGCCGTTTTAACTTCCTAACTAGGAGTAATCATCGCTCTCGTAACCAACAGGGAGTGTGAAATGAGCCGTGCCAACAATTAATTAGCCTTTTCCTTTTATGAATTCCAGCTCTGCTGGATGATTGATTTAAATGACTTCATAGTCGGTGTATAATGTGCTTAAGTAGATGCTGTTAATTATTCACTCGCTCGCCTTGCCGTGACAATAATATGCAGGATAATGTTCTGATTGCGTTCACCTTGCCCGAAAGCGCTTTAGCGAGCTGAGCACATAGCAAGCGCGCCTAATAAAGCGCCGCTCACTCAGTCGATGAGCCAGATGAACTAATTTAGCCTGCAACGTAAATCATAAAGTTATGGCTGCAAGATTACTAAAAAACACAGGTTGATGAACTGCCCTGAATGAATAATTTATCTCAGGTTAATTACCTCTTACACAATGGATAAATTTGCTAATTATTTCATAGCCTCGCTCACGATTTATGCACTTGTGAACGCGCTGACGCGCCGAGGCTATGCAGATGCCACTGCAGTAAACAGCCGCGCTTTCTCAAGAGGCAATTAACAGTCCGACTTTATTGTTATTATTTATATGCAAGGAACAACTCCTACAATCTGCTCGCTGCAATTGACATGCTCCGAGAGGCGCCCAGCTCGACGCAGCCAGCCATGTACGCAGCTGGAATTATTAAAATTATTTCCCTACTAATGAATGAAGGCAGCGGTGGGTTCATTAGCACTTTCAATTGAATAACAATGAGAGCTCTTCCCATAGTTACCTCGTCGTAACTCAACTTCAGTCCACATTTCTTGCAAGGGAAATGCGATAAAAGTTGTGGCATAAATGCTATAAATAGAAGTGTACGTTTGAGGTTGAGTGAAAATCATGTACTTATCACCAAACGATTTCTTATCACGCAAAGGACATCTAGAAAGTTTGGCTTGGTTGCATCTAATCCTATATAGCAGGGCCTCACATGATTTGCGAGGCCAGACGGGCCCCTCAGCAAGACCGAGTGCGTGCGTGTGCTTCCCTATAATTTTATAATTTGCGTTTTGGTGCGTGTAATATTGTAATTTTGTTGTTGTGTCTGGCTTCACGGAAATAAAGAATATAAAGGGGCGTTGCCAAAAATTGCAGTAGGCAACTCTGCAAGTCTGCAGCATATTTTGCCCAAGGCAGATATTTAACTCTGGCAATAATCCAGAAAACCAAAGTAATTACATGTTGAGCTGAGCAGAATTATTTAAAAAGTTACAAAGGCAATAAAAAATATGAATAAAATTTAGCGCTTATAAATTTATCTTATTGTGAATCACCGCGGGGGAAATAAATAGGGTGAAGGCCGCTTATTGTTATAGGTGCATATAAAAAGAACACTTGGACGGTGCTGCCGAGTTCACCGCCGTTGAAAGTAAATTTTTGTTATATTCAGAAGGTGGCACACGCAGGTGCACACAGAGTCATTACCGTTAGAGAGGAGGGGCGGAAACGCACTAATGAACGAGCTTTTTCGTTGACAACAATCGTAAATGTAAACACAAAAAATTCCCTGTCACTTCAATCTGAACGTTATTAAACTGGATCGGGGTTTTTTAGAAGAAATTCACGATCGAGGGTTGATTCATGGTGAATTTAATTTCAAGTCGACTTTTCCTCAATGGTTTTTTGTGTTTTTATTTTTTAAGAAAAAACAACATGTTTTGGCTGCGGGCTGCAGCCATAATTCATGTGCTGTGAAATCATTTTGACAAGAATTAGTACAAAAATCTATCTTTTTTAAAATTAATTTTCTTTCAAAGCAACAATTTTCCGTGAAAAATTATTTAAATTAAGAATATAAGAAATATGCAGACAGCAGTGACGACGAATGAATACAATACAATTTCAAAAAATATCTTTTACCTGAAAAACCAACCAAAAAATAATTTAGTCTCTCGACCACCGCCGAGAAAAGTACGCTCAAAACACACGTTTCAATATGCTGACCAAAATTACTGTAAAAATTAATTCATGTTAAAAAATATGTTTTGAATTCAATGTCAAATTTTGGAGTCAAAATTGGTTTGTGAAAAAATGAGACTAATAATTTTTCACGGCAAATTGAAAGAAAAATGATATTAAAAAATATTGATTTTTGTACTAATTCTTGTCAAAATGATTTCACATCTCACGAATTTTGACTGCAGCCCGCAACCGAAACACGTAGATCAGAATACCGTTTTTCTTAAACAATAAACAGGTCACAAAAACGAATCGAGGTAAAGCCGACTTTGAATTCAAATCACCATGAATCGGGGTTTATTTATAACGAGTGCAGGCGGTCGATAACCCCACGGATCAGACAAACTGATCGATGAAACTCAAGAGTGAGCGAACGCGCATGAGGGATAAAAATGGCAAGCGATTTCTTTGGACAAATAACTGGGCGTTTGAGGTGGCTCTGCGTGCACCAGGCAGGCTCGTCGTCGTATACTATGGAGGAGCGGCTTGAATGAAAGAGTAAACGCTGCGCGCCACTAATATCAGCTGCTTCTGCTACAAAGGGCGGTTGGCAAGGCACTCTCTCTCGCACGCTTAGACGGCGGCAGCCGCCGCGGGTGCAATTAAGCTGGCAGATGCTAATTGCAAATTGACGAGGGGCGCACGGCACCTACCCTTCCGGGGCCGCTTTTGCAACATCCACCCCCCAGCGCGGCGGCGAATTTGCGCGCTCGCCGCCTGCCAGCTGTTGTCTCAAGGGTGTCTCCGAGCCGAGAGCCGCTCACTGAGCGAAAGCGCCTTGTTGTCAGTTCAAAACACACTCGAATGTTTTTTTCCCCGCTTGTCACCCGACACTTGACTGCCCGTGGCTGTTGCCTGAGCTCAAAATGCAGTTCACCTGCTTAGCTTGTTGTCTCATTATGTTTTTTTCATTGCTTTTCTCCTGTATGCTCGAGTCCAGAGAATTAGCTGGCGTTGTCCTGCTGAATGCGGCATAGTTTGTCCTACAAATGAGATCGGAGAAAAATAAAAACTGGAAGCACGCTGACATCTGATACGGTGTGGATTCATTACACCTCTAGTCGTTCATAAATCAAGTGATATTCTCGGTGCACGTCAAGCACAGCGCATGACTTCATCGCTCTTTCGACCCGACTTGATTGGCACTTTGAATGCAGTCGAGAAATAGGTGAAAATGTGATCGCTGTTTGCTTGGATTACGTTGCACAAAGGCAGGTGAACAGCCTCTGAGCTATCCAGCTGAGAAAACAACGCACTTATGTATTCCTACGGCCATGGCCGCAATGTGCCTGTTGTTACACAACCTATCTAACTATCCATCATGCCAATAAAACGAGCACGAGAGAATTACGATTCGTCGTCGTTTCCAGCGCACATTCCCCGGCCTTAATGACTGCTCACCTAAGCTCTCTGGTTGTTATTATAATGCGACTTGGTTAAATGCAGGCAATAAAAAAGAGATAATTTGGCGCCTATCATAATCAGAGACTCGAAAGAGGAAAGTATAATCTGATTCGAGTCGGCTGACACAGCGAGCAAAAGTCGCTTGTTTATCAACAAGTCCATCAACTACTTGGGAGAGGAAGCTATAACTGCTGGTCCACTGTAGCAGTTAACAAAACAAAAGATCGAGTTATACATTCCGAAAGAGATCCAAGAAAATTATAAATAAATTAAGGTGCCGTTTGAAAGTTAAAATATTTCCCAACTGGAGATTTATATTTTTGACAAATTAATAGGGTCCCATTTGACCAAAAAGATTATTTTACTATAGCAAGGCTGGTGCGATTTGAAGCTGAAATTTAATTTAGAATTGGGAAGAATGCAAATCCAGATTTATTATCAAGATTCGTGAAAACAATGCAAAAAGGCGACACGGTTAATAATAATTTTTGATCTGCGGTGATGCGGTTGCACCTGTTCATTCTTCAAGTTAAAACCAGACGTCACGTGACCATAGGAGGAGTCGCTGCTGAGATTAGATTTACGTGCGCCGTCGGCACGGAAATTGTGCTGCAAGCGCGAACAATGGAGAGCGCAGAGATCATGTGTGTGTATAAATACGCACTCGAATTAAGTCGTAAAAAGGGTAATCATCTAGCAATAAAATGGACGGGACGGTCCACGAAAGGATTTAACGCCGCTTCCGGTGAGCTTCTGCATCTCGAGGGCTTTCTGAGATTTTCTGACGCCGTAAAAGCCGGCCGCTGATAAATAAACAGAACAGAGCCGGCTTGTAAATTTACTGTGTGCCAGCAAAGAGGTTCCGTTTCGAATGCACACCGCGTTCTTGGAACAGCCGAAGGAAAATGGTACTTAATTCAAAAGGAAACCTGCTTCCCTCTTGATTTCAGACCCGTCGCGCGAGCGGTGACCCACTTAAAAATAAACTGAGACGTGGGCAGACTACGGCAGTGAGGAGAGACCCATTTGGCGTGGCGAAAATTTGGTGCTGGGGTTAAGTCGGCGCGAGACACAATAAAACGCCGCTCGCCGTTGTGTGCAATAGAAAGCCGGCAGACAGGCATGCGTTGGGTGATTTCGCAAAGCGCGGCAAAAAGCGGCTTTCGGTCGACAACAACATAAAGGAAAGAAAGTTTACAAGGGTACGTCTCAAGACTCATTTGAGGTGATCGGGTTCGGTCTTGGACGAGTGTCCTCAATAAGTTGAAAATGTTTTTAGCGGTGCCTCGAAAGCGCACAAGCAGTTTATCTCGGTGAACAAAAGAAAAAAATGCAAATGAAAAATTCACGTACCTTGCTGAGCTTCTCGCCCTCGTGGTGTGGCAGCAAGGTGCGCAGGGACTGGAAGCCCGCGTTGATGCTCTGCATGCGGCGCCTCTCGTTGGAATTGGCGATTTCGCGCCGAATTCGCTTTTCCTGCTCCATTGGCGGCGTCTGTTCGGTACCAGAATTAGAATTCTCGCCTAGCGCTGAGTTGCAACTGCAAATCAGAGCAGAGAGCAGATTAGAATGTGCCGTGGTAGTTCTATTTGAAGGGGGCTGATATGTACCCAGCATAGGCGGTCGAAATCGAGTCATGCTCTACCAATTCGTCCAGGGCCTCCATTGAATACCTTTTGAAAAAATGGAAAAAACTGTTCATTGTCAAGGAAACATAGGAAATCCTCAATAAAAAAAGTATAATCATAAAATTACTATTGGGAAAAAATAAAGAAAATAATAATAAACGCGATGCAGGTTGCCTACTTTCTAAGCGACAATATAAATTTTGCCAGGCCCTTTTTTGCATTGAAAACCAATAAAATATAATCTTGGGAATAAAGGAACCGTATTATTTATACAGCAGCCGTCAAAAAATAACCCACATCAAAATTTGTCTGATTGGCCCCTAGCAAAATGCCGTCAAGGAAAATAACACCAAATCGATGTGTTTTGAGCAGCAATCAGCTGTGTGTCACGTGTGCTGGTGCAGCCGAGCCTCGTGATGACGAGCAAGTGAGCTCCACTTGGCAAGCCCTTGCTTCTCGGTGCTCTCCGAGTAAATATTGGGGCTGCCGCCGCGATAAGATAAATGACCGGCGGTCGTAAGAACAATAAGCGGTGTGGCTTGCCACCAGCTGACGCCGCGATAATGGCACGCTAAAATTAAAAGGCGCCGCTGACATCTATGCGCGCGGCGGATGATCATTGACACCGTCTACCTTGAAGGCGCCCTAGATGCGTTGATTTGTTATTTTGTTTCAATCGCATCATTGCATTTTAATAGAGATCATGAAAATTATGTTCAACGCGTGACGCGATCACGTGCAGCAATCAAGTTATCTGGTTAAGCATTGCTCGTTAATGTACATTTTGATGAAAAGGGAGATTGCGATCTTATCAACAAAAAAATTGGTATTTTTTTTAGTCAATAATTATATTAAATTTAATGCAGATATTCAAGTATTCAAAAGTGGACCGAGCGTGCTTATTTCCGTCAAGTGGTCTAATTATTTGATAGTATCAAATACATTTAAGAAAATAACTTTAAAAGCGAAAATATTAATTTTCCACAAATTCACCTTTTGATCTAAGCGAGGAAATTTAATCTTCAACTAATAAAGCTTCTTATTGATCGAAGAGTCAAGATAGAGGACATGTTAAAGAGGCTAGCGATCGGGGATAACAAAGAGAGCTCAAGGAAGCGGCGGGATTCTCGGAATTACCAACGCACACTGCATGACATTTGATGCAGCCGCTCTGGAATTGGTTCCGGTTGCGGTGTTTGGATGTCGCACACATGAACTCAAAACAATCGAGCGCAAATCACTAAATAATTCTTGCCATTGATTTCTTTTAATTATTTAAATTTACAAACGCACACTGCTGCAAAGGGCATTCACATTCTTAAGCAGGTACCTTGTTATTTGCAGACGCGAGCACAAATGTTGGAGTGCAGAGGCGTGGCGAAAAATATATACGAATGCTTAGAGTTTCATCGAGCAGGCTAAACATATTATACAGACAAAGAGTGTGGCTGCCTCCGCACTCCAAGTCTCAAGCGAGTTTGAGGTAGGTTATTGAGAGGGAAAATATTTTGAGATGGCCATCACAGAAACGAGGACAAAAGCACGGACGCCACAATTTTCAGCCCAATTTTTTTATAATGAAGAAAAAAATATACACTTAAAATGCAAATAATGACAAATGAGATGTTTAAAACCAAGCAAACTATAAGAAAAAGGATTACCAAATTAAATTTGTTAATAATTTGGAAGTAATAGCCATGGTAGTTGTTAATTTTACAACAAGGAAATCAAATTCAGCCCAGAAAATTTGGCTGAGATATTTATAGCTTGTCTTGCTAGGTTAAAAAAAATCAAAATCATCGTATCACATTTACAGTGAGTGAGTTTAAAAAAGTTGCTACCTGCTGCCGAAAAAGCAGAGATAAAACCTTCGAAGCCTCAACTCAATTCGCACGTCTTAAGTTTGGCCTTGAAAATTCGCGTCGCTTTGAACGGTGCTGTCTGCGCGAAAACCAAGGTCTCCGACAATAAGAGCGAATGTGAATGCCATTGTGCGCCAGGTAGATTGGTTCGCTTTGCAGCAATTCATTGACTCTGTTGTTACTTTGCAGCAGGGTGAAGCAGCACAATGAATGGGGTATCTCACGCTGCCGTTTGTGGGAACGATGCTGCCATAACTTCTTTCCAAAGCGTGATGTAACTTTATCCCTTTGTGCAGCTAGAAAAACACGACACTCGCTGCTGGTTACACGAAAGTACACTTGCATACTCTGCGGGAAAATTTCTGCGCCAAAAGTAATGAGAGGCGTGAACCGGTATTGTAATAAAACGGCGAGGCCCAAGCACAATATTTGCAATGGCAGGGAGCAATTAGATAATAAAAAGGGAGTATTTTCCAACAGCGGAGTGAATTTGAATTTAAAAAATTACGTCAATTTGATATGAAATAGAATAAAAAATGAAAATATTTATTTTATGATTTCAAAGATTTGTAGTTAAAAAAATTAAATCACTGCAACTAAAAAAAATTTAATTCCTGTGATAAAAATGCGCATTATCTCATTTTTTTTTTCATTTGCTAATAACGTTTGGAGAATCACGTCAAAGTTCAAATCTGGCGGTTAAAAAAACGGATAACATAATGAAAAAAAAAATCTAAAATTATCTTTTTTAGAAAAATCACCGCCATAAAAAGTAATGATCAGAGCCAAGAGACGGATTTAAAACGACTCTCCCTCGCGCCTCAACCCAAAGGTGGGCTGTTTCCAGGAAAGTGGCGACCCACTTTATCTCGCCTCCACTCGCACGGCCCCCTCGGCACCCTCTGTTGCCGCCGAAATAATTTGCAACACAGAGGCCTTGACACACAAACGAAATTTGCCGGCGCGGCGCCATTTCGCAACAGCACCAAGTTCGTCTCTCTCGCGTGCCTGACGGATTGGCCTATACATTGCATCAAAAGTGGCCACGTGCTCTCGTGCTTGCGAACAATCATTTTTGCAACTCTGGACGCCAAACTGGTGCAGCAACTCAAGCGAGGAACGATCGCGAGCCAGCCAAAAAATTAGTTTCATCACATCAAGCAACCGATCAAAAAAAAAAAATGCTTAAAAAGAATGAAAAAAAAAATTTATGTAATTTTCCTAGTTAAAATTTTAACAATAAAAATTTCTTTTGTGAAAATCTAACTGTGGGCGCATTATAATTTTGTAAAAAATTAAAAGTTAAATAGTGAGTATGCAATCTGCTCGATATTATTAATTTTTTCCCTTTTCAATTTGAGAAAGACGCGCACAAAATAAAGAGGGGCGCAAGAAAAGTGCTGCGCAACTAGGGCGTGCTGGCGCATTTCACAAATTTGCAGCGCTGCGAATTCGAGGGGGTCGAAATGGGTTGGGTTGCGGAAGGGTGCCGGAGCAGAGCGAACGAGGACGCACGCGCAACCTCAACGTTCGGTCTGGGGCCCCAACTGCTGAGCGGTATACTGAAGTGAGTCACCTCTGTGTTATCCACCCACGCTTGCAAAATGTACAGCAGACGAGCGAGCCGGGAATGGGCAGAAGCACCGAGACTTTGCCAAGCAGGAAACTTTAGAGTGCATAATTATTACAAAATTTAGTTTTCGAACTCATTATTTCCTTGCTTTAATGATTTATTTATAAATTTTAAAGAAAGTCTTCTAATTTTCATAAATGAATACAGAAGATAAATAAAATTTAAAAATTTCAATGGTTATTCATGAAAAAATTATACACTCGACATTCATTCACAAAAGTAAAAAGGAATTTTTTCAATAGACCAGTTTTACTTGATATTTTGCTTTTTCTAAATATATTGCTTAACCATGAAAAAAAACCTCCTAGAATTATTGACTTTATTGTTTTATAAGCTAGAATTTTCCTCGTTGGTCAGTAAACGCCCTCGAAGACGTATGCTCATGCCATTATATAACCGTCTGGTGATAACTAGATATTCGGATTAAATTACAAAAGCAGTGGCCCTTCATCAAGGTTCTAGTAACAACATCAAAATAAACACAGAGGTGATTGTTTTGATTGATAAAAATCTGATAGTGGAGCACATGGTAATGAATAACATGGCGGTATAGCAACAGCTGACCATAACAAGTTCTAGAAAAACTTAATTTTAGCCATCAAATCGTGCCTCGAAGTTGAAAAAGACAACACATTTGATAAGAGGAAGCACTGGACGATTCGGTTTAGGGCTTTGGTGGCCAGGAGAGCATAAGAAAGAGGCAAAAAAGGGCCGACATTGTGGCACGAGGTATGACCGCCGCCGATCTGCAGGCAACCTGCACCGGGGTGTGCCGCTCATGGCGGCTTGTTCCGACCTTACCTTATTGAACGGCCAACAATCTTGACTTCCGAATTTTCCAAGTTGGCTTTGTCACTCCTTTTGCGACTCACGGACATTCCTCGCTCCTAAAGTGCCCCGTATGAGCTGATCTAGGTTTTTCCCGTCAAAAATCCTGGGAATCGTCGCGGCAAACCGAGTTGCACCTTCTAATGGCGATGTTTGGCGGGAAACAGCTGAAGAATGCGGCTGCCGTCGATGTGATGGCCGGATCGAGATTCTTCCGCCGACAACTTTTCCAAGTCTTTGGTAAAAAAGTATCAAAGAGTATATGAAGTCGTAATGAAACTTTTAGTTATACTTATATAGCACTTATTTTGAGTTATTTGAACTGCTTTTATCTATTTACAAGATTTTTCAAAGATTTTTCTGTGGATCTATTTACCGTGACGCGGATGAATTTCTTTGCTGACACACGAATGCCTGCTTGTGAAATGGTCGATCAAAAAATGGATATTGCCTTACTCAAAAGCCATCTATGTTGAGTCTCCGCAAGTAAAATTCACCCAACCACTTATATGTTTGTTAGTTAAGCATGAAGCAACCTTCGAAATTTCGTTTTAATTGTTGTAAATTTAATCATAACTGTTTTATCAAGAACTGCGGTAAATTTATATTATTTTTAATTAGATCATTTGAACATGTAATAATTTTTTGTTTACTTGTCAAAATTAAACTGGAAAGATGATTAAATCAGGATTAAATAGCAAATAGAAAAATAATTGCTTTTATTTATTACCTTACTTTTTCAAATGAAAAGCAACTGAATATTATATCAAAATAACTGATTATTGACATTTTAATTTTACAAAAGAGAACACACACATTGCAGATTTGAAAACAAAAAATTCACAATAAATTCAAAAATTTGAGCAAGCAAAATAGTTATATAAAATGCAAAAGTTTAAATTTATAGGCCTGCTTTATGTGCATAAGACTAACCTTGCAAGTATTGCCATGTTTTAAAATAAAAATAAAAAAATGCCTGGACATGATAGGGTAACTACATTCTTGGTGATGCTTGCTTCTGTAGTAAATGTATAATTATCACACTTTGGAAGTCATTATTAGGTGAGAAATTTTAATGTCACCTTAGATTGAAACGAAAAAAATAATAATTAAAATTTTAGTTTTAGGCATGTCTAAAAATTTAAAGAGGCACAATTGAATTCCATTATTTGGAACAGGGTCTTCCAACATGTAATGCGTCCGTGCAATAAATAATATTGTAGACAAAACACTAGATCCACTAGTTTCTTCCAGTTTGTAGTACACTAACTCTGGAACTTGCGGAGGGCAGCTTTATGTCTTTCTTGCGTAGGGTTTACTTTTTTCTTCAGTTGTTGTATAAGTTCGTGTATTTTCAAGGATGGTCCAACCTTCAGGCCAGTCAAACCCATAATTTCATCTTGACTGAGTTTCAGAAGTCTGCTTCCATCGATTTTCTAAAAGCACCATGGAATTATTATTTATGCTATAGCAGATCATTCAAATTTTGTACCTGATGCTTGAATGCAGTTCCATATGCTTCGCAATCGTTTAAAAATAAAAATGTTTCAACATCATTTGGACCCCAACTTAGAGGATCCAAGTCCTTGGTCTCCAAATTAATTGATGAATCTATTAATCTTGGAATGAATTTCCCAGATTCACTCTGTAACACAAAAATGTTATTCATTAGGACCTACTACCATAAAAAATGACAAGAAGTAATGTACCACATGAAACGTGTCGTCTTCTGAGCATGGTAATGACTGATCGGGACCAGCGGGTTCTTCTGCCATTTCTGGCTCCCAATATGATGGCGATTGACTGGCATCTTTAGGACTCTCAGCTGTTTAAAAAAGTTTGTTGCAAATGTAAATTATGAACAATGGCATTCATACCGGGTCCACCAACTTCATTTAGTTTAGACTTCTTGCTGGGTGGTGACTCTTTAAGAGTCGGTTTCTTTATTAGAGCAATTTTTAACTTCTTTTGTTTCGGTTTCCTTCCCCTTCCTCTCTTGGGACTGATTTTCTTGACCGAAGATAAATCAGCTGCTAAAGAGAGAAAAGTGTTGTTGAAACAATTAAAATGTGAATTCCCAGCCGTCAAAATGAATGAGCGTGCAATATGAAAAAGGTAAACACAAATATGAAAATTTCTCAAACAGACAGTGCACGCATACACGCAGAAATGAAAGCATTTAAGGGAGAGGTTGGTTTAAGTCCATAGGATAGGTTTAGGAAAGGACTGCAAACTCACACGCTGGGTTGATGGAAGGGTGCTCTGAAGCATCTGACAAAGCTTGCTGCTGCCAGAGCCCACCTGATGGTCTTGGTCCTTCAAGCTTGTGTCCGACAAGCTCGCACCAACCTACGGGATACATGTCCGGACTTTCACAATCCAACCACTGGTCATATTCATCCTCCCATCCGTCAAAGTGAATTTTGAGCAGCCGGCCAACAACCCGTGATATTGTACCAACACATATCATCCTCGGGTCCATCAAGTCCGCACACTCTAGTTTCATACCCATAATAAAAGAGTGCGGTGGTGTCTCCTAAATAGCAAAAATTTAGACAATGTGACCAAATAAATAATTGAACACAACCATGTCAACACAGTTGAACAAAGTTAAAGGCACGGCTATAGCTCCAGTCTTTTTTAAATAGAAGTCCCAGTCAAAGTCCTCAGCATAGCCCTGCGGAGGTGTCAGAGGAATTGAATTCATTTCGCAAAAGCCAGCTGGGAAAATGTATGGCGATGTCGAGTGGTAGCAGAACCAGTCTGCTCCTGTTGTATCAGGATCGTAGCTGTCAATTCTGATCATGATGTAGCCATCATTCAATACCTGAAGGAAAGTTCATTAGAATCGTTATATAATTTCTTTGGAATACACTTACTCTCATGACTGTAGCAACACAAATGGCAGAAAGATTTAGAGGGTCGATAGCTTCCAACTTCATGCCGGGTTGTATGTGTGTATCTCCATCATCTGGGTCTTGAAAGAATGGCTTCAGCTGAGCAAATAATTCAGGTCCAGCATCGTTGTCTAAGTATACTCCTGCTTGGCAACGAGAAATGTACTCTGGGTCTGCATCCAAGTTGTGGCCTGTTTTGAGAGCCCACCCGACCGGATGAATTAAAGGCGAGTCTTCATGACACCAAAACCCTAAAAATTAAAAGTGAAATACAAATACATAAAGATAAAAATAATTCTATATTACCAGAGCCATGCTCATCGTCATAATATTTTATGTGCAAACGTTTGCCAACAATCTTTGAAATGGTTGCAACTTTAACCTGGGATATACGACTGCCATCGACTACCTCTAATGTAAGGCCACAACTGTACAGATAATAAAATATTAAAATAATAATTCAAGATAATAAATCTTACGTAAATCTAGATTTAAGGCTATCGTAAATTTTGATAATGAAATTGGTGGGCAGTGTCCTTGCACCAGTAAGTCGCTTCACTAAGAACTGCTTCCAGTCCTTGAACTTGTTCTGGATTGCTGAAAATAATAGAAGTCAGAATTTTACTTTTTAATATGATGTAAAAAAAATCATACAAAACGAGATGTCAAAAACGAGTTCTAAAATTTTACCATTAAAGTGAAAAACTATCTAGATGAGAAACACTTACTTTTTGGAGGAATTAGCGGTTTCCCTCTGCCAGCACACCAACCTACTGGGTGTACAGTTGCTGCGCAAAGATTTACCCAAAAATCCTTGATTGGATCTGGCCCAAATCCCTCATAACGCAACAGAGCTTTGTAGCCTAAACAAAAAATAAAACTGTGTTTAATAAACTGAAAAACATTTTATTCCAAAATTTAAAGTACCTGCTATCCTGAGAACAGTAGCTACCCAGAATGATGCTGGAACACCCTCGGAGAAGTTTTCACAATCAGTGTTTTCAACTTCTACCTTCATGCCAACAACTATGTTGTCCCACAAATCAGATAACGGCGTCTTTCAAAATTTTTAAATTAATGTCTCATATTAACTACGAGTTCAAATTTTCTTACATGCTTAAAGCAAGTAACAGGTGCTGCAGCAAAATCTTGCGCTTCTAACTGCCTTTTCCACTCATACGTGTTTGCCAATTCTGGGCCCTTCCTTTTTATTGGCAAGGGTGGGTCTTCCAGTGGCAAGTGTGACAGCAACGGGGGCAAATTCCCTTGATTCGAAACCAGAGGCTGGGGCTTCGAGGGCGGAGGAGGTGGTGGGGGTGGTGTGGGGGCTGCGGGTTCCTTTGGAATTCGCTTTGCCAACATTTCCATGTCGACGTATTCCTCTTGACTAATTTCCTCTTCCCTCATGGTTGTCTCAGGTTCCTATTAACACCAATTATAACTCTCATAACAAACAGAAAATGCTTTAAGATGATTTTTTTTTTTTTAGATAATAGACGAAGCTGAGCTTGCATGTAAGAATGATTATATGAAATTGACGAGTGTCCTATTAAATGTTACCTCTGGCTGAACTTTCTGCTCGCCTCTGGCACACTCTAAGCTGCAGAACCTTCTTTCTCGAGTGTAAAAAGCGTGCTTTACACCAATGGCACCACACTTTTCACAGACAGCTGAAACAGTTAGCATCTTGGTGAGCTGGTGTCTGGCGACTCAAATTGTAAAAGCATAATTGTGTGGACATTGAAACACAGGTTACCCATTACACCTCCGGGAACCTGGAAAGTTTCAAAAGCATGCGAGCGCAAGCAGGAAAGGACATGCTGGAGGTGATTTGGCTCATCCTTACCCATTCCTTCTTTGACAATGGGGATGACACTGAGATCCGAGTCTTTTTGGTAAGCGATAGGAGTCTTGAGTTTCAAGCCTGGGTGCTTGACAGGTTTGATTTTCTTGGCTGGCACAAAGGTTTGAGTTGAGGTAGTTGAGGTGTTCATCTTGCAGGATGGATGCTCGGCCGAGTAATTTTCGTAATCCTCCTCACCAGAAAACATTACCGGAATGTAGCCGCCGATGGCCTAGAATGGCGACAAAAATCTCCTCTTCATCTCCACCTTTCTTACTCAACAATTCATGGTTCCGCGTTTCTTGGACAGAGCTCATAATGGCTTAAGATAATGGACTAATGGAGGATGAAATCTAAGCTTTGGACCATACCTAATGTATTTATGTATCTACACATTGATAGCATGTTCAAATCTGCAAATTTAAATACAAAAAATTTCATCCCATATGAAATAAAAATGAAATGACATCTAACATTATCATCACATTGGAAAATAATGTTGATGAGGGTGGAGGAAAACATTTAACATATTTACACCAAAAATATGATTACATATTGTGTTTAAAAGGAAGTAAAAGGGTGCATTCAAGAGGTTGAGAGATGATAGCAGGCAATTTAAACTGCCAAGCAGCACCATACAAGAAGGAGGGAACATATTTTGCACAATTGTGTTAATTTTCTAAATTTATATTACCATATTTTGATCATCGTCCATTTCATAGTTAGGTGGAATCGGCGGCACATACAGTCCAGAGGTATAAACTTGAGCTGCAGGGTACTGATGAATTTGCTCTGGAGCAGCAGCAATCAGCATTTTGTTGCCAGACTCTGAGGTTTGCAAGAAATGGTCCCTCATCCAGGACATGTCCACATCTTGGTAACCTGAAAGTTTAATAAATTTTTCATTTCATAAACTTATAATATTTATATAACTAAAATTTATGGTTAAGATAATTCTTCAAGAAATTTAAGAGGCGGAAATGCTTAAGGCGTTGAAAAATCGTGTTAATTCATCTCTCGTTTCTTGCAGCGTTCATTAAGCTGTCTAATGCTATGAAAAATTACCGTCTGGGGTCGCCATTTCCATTTTCAGAGCGCACTGCTTTTGGAAGCGATTGTTGCCGCAGCTTCACGGGGTGCAAATAAAAACTGCACAGCGATTATTAAATCTCGATTTGCTTCTCATGTTAATGATTTGGCATGGATAGGGCAGTGAAAATTGTTCGCAAAAAGTGCACAAACTTGCGTCCAACTTTCGTCGAAACTTTGTTTTGTCCTGTAACCGACTGCAGAGTGAAGAGTTTAGAAAATTAGTTCATAATTTGGCCTGTAGGTAGCGCTAGAAACGAATGAGGCGCTGCGATCTGAGTTACTAAACACGACCCGCTCCAAGCGCTCAAGAATTCCGTTTCCGGTCGCAGTTCCCTTTTCTCTTTTCTGTTTTCTGTTGACAACAGAATTATGTCGTGCAAAATGCTCTACCAAAACTAGGAGATTTATGATCAGTCGCTAGCCGTCACCACTTTGTTATCACGCATCTTAATCACGAAATCAGTGCGCTTTGAGCAAAACTCAAAATTGAATCACTCTGAATTATATTACCCTGTAAATAAGTGAGTGAAAATGACCGACAAATTCAAAGTTGGCGATCTAGTGTTTGCCAAAGTGCGGGGCTATCCGGCATGGCCTGCAAGGGTATGTTATGTTTATAACTTGGAAGATTTAAACAAAAAACCCTGGTGAAGTTAAACGTTTATTTATGTTTATTTACTACCTTATTTGACAGAAATATTTAATTTTTACGTTTAAAAATAAGAAAGTTAACTAAGTTTTTTAAGCAATGTAACTTGAGTTCATTTTTTTTTTGTAATTTAACGAGATATTTCATGTTTCAGGTGAAAAATGTGTTTTCTGATTCTGCTAATGCCAAGAACACAAAGATCGAAGTCTTCTTCTACGGCACCTATGAAACGTATGTATGATGCATAAGAGAGACATATGTATTTTAAATTCGATTGTTGTCAAATGGGTTGAGATATTAACCTAAGTCTAATGAAGTGCAAACTTAGGGTACTGATAAACCCAAAATTAATTTGAAATGTATGCCGACAACCTGCATTTTTAGATATTTCAGTTTGTGCGATTTACATTTCACATCACACTAATCACACTTAATTGTCTCTTATAGACGTTTAATTGTTTGTATCGATTGACGATTTACAAACGTTTCTAGGGCTATTTGTCGCGTTGAAGAGGTCTGTGATTATGAGACCAACAAAGAGAAACTCGGAAAGGTTCAAAAGAGGAAGTTCTTCAAGGAAGCGCTTGAAGAGATTGAAAGCAACCCTAGCACAGATGGTCCTCAAAGGCTTCTGGAAACATCCAGTGACTTTCAAAGAGGTAAAATATTTAAATTACAGCCCAGTTTGAGATTAAAATTTCCATCAAAGATGATGATGATGACGATATGCATGCACTGACTATTGCATTGCCAAAATCTGCCGAAGCAAAGCCTGCGAAGAAGCAGTCCCTTCTGAAAAAGAGAGATTCTGTTGAAACTAGAGAAGTAAATAACATAATATTTTTTATGTCAAATTATTAACATTTCTGTGATTGATCAGGACGATCATCCTGCCAAAAAGAAAGCCAAGAAGAGTGAGACTCCTGAAACGGCTGGTGCTTTAAAAGTGTCACCCTCGTTGCAAGGTGGTGAACCCGAGAGGGTCAGTCGCAGCGGGAGGAAGATCAAACCTAAAAGATTTTTGGACGAAGATGATGGACATGAAGAAGAAAAGTCTGAGAGGAAGAGTATCTCGGAGGAACTCCCTCGAAAAGTTGTAAAGGCGCCGTCTGAGGAGGCAAAGCGAATTGCTACAGTTGCTCCGATTGAGCCAGAAAGAGTCGCTAAGCGAGCTGTACGACTTTCCAGTGCAGAAGCTAAGAAGCCTGCTGAAAAGAGCCCAGCTGTAATATAGAGAGAAATCTAATGACATAAATCATTACAATGTATGTTTCATTTTTAGCCACTGAAAAGCTTGTCGAAAGGAGTAGGTCGAGCTAAGGATTCTGATGACTTCATTCCTCCAACTGCTACGGTGTCTCCAATTGTAGCACCCACTCCTCCTTCTAAGAAGATCCCACAGGTATGTTTATCTTTTGTGGTTTTGATGGTGTATTTTTAATATTGTTCAATAGGAGAACAAGAAAGTCAAAGTGTCCGTCACACAGCAGCAGGCTCAAAAACTTCTGGAGAGTGATAATACTCCAGAAAAGGTGAAAGATGTGCTTAACAAGGAAATCCTAGCAAAACACAAGGAGAAGGAAGAAAACTTGAAGTTTAAGAAAGCAGAGAGAAGGAAATTCAAGCTAATGTAAATTATATAACCAATCTTTTTGCAGAAAGGAACTTATAAATTTTCTTTTCTAGCCATCTTAAGGTTGAGGTCAGGCTGCTACAAATTGACACGATCATCAAGGCAAATCTGAACCTTGATAAAGCAGAAACTAAACCTGTTCTGCAAGTGCTTGATGAGCTAAAAAGCCTGAAGGTGTCACCCATTATGCTGAAAAAGCACCCAGACATTGTCTTTACAATTAAAAAGGTGAACCTTATTTTTTTTTTGTACTGTTGTGCGCTAATAACTTTTTGCTCCCAGCTTCGTAAATATGTGGGGAATTCTAAACAATGGACACAGACGGAGGATCAGAAGGTAAGGAACAAAGATGGGAATTTTTTTCTTTTAAAACATTCCATTTTCTACAGGAAGAGTTCTCAAAAAAAGCTGGAGAAATTAGGCAGAAGGCTTCACAAATATTTGAACATTTCAAGGTACATTCTAGCTATACATTACATTGAAATTTTTCTAAAGTTTACAAATAAAATAGTTTAAGAAATTTAAATAAGATAAATAATTTCAAACAATTTCAGATAGTTCTTTTGGGGTCCAAGGATGCCACAGATGTGAGTGCAAAATTTCTCAAACAGATCAGTGAGCTAAAAGAGAAGACGAAACACCTTACGCCTACCAGATTTGCTGCATTGCTCACAGATCCCTGCTGTAAGTATTTATTTTATTTTGTGTTAATCAGTTCCACAATTTCATAATTTTAAAGCTCCATCTTCCAACTCACAAAAGGATAGAGATAATGTTGGTAAAGAGGATGTCAAGAAAGGTGACGACGGAAGTGACTGCAAGAAGGAGGAAAGCTCTTCTAAAAGTGAAAAAACTGAAGAGAAAGAGAAAAGCAATAATGGTGATCAGGTAAATTTTGCAGACTTTTACTTCAGTAGTTTTTAGAACCTATTTTTTTATAAATCCAAAGGAGAGTGAAAGTCGAGATGAGGACATGTCTGCTGAAGACGTGGACCAGGAAGAAAAAGAGGCAAGTTATTATTTCCTAGAACCTGCCTAGAACCATATATTTTATAAAATTGTGATGCCCGACCAACCTGCACCACTCATCCTCAAAATAATGACTTCAAATTATTAATTTTTTTTTTAATCTTTTCAGATACAAAAAGAGTAGGTTGAAAAATCCTCAAGGTTCTGAATTTGTGGATGAATTATAATATCAGCAAGGTAGCAAAATTTAATTGCATTAACTGTCCTTCAATGCAAAAAGATTAATATTCAATGTAATATTTTGCAAAATAAATTATTATTGTAGAAGTACATTATAAATCTTGAGTTTAGGTCAATTTTAACTGAAAATTGTGAACCTCGTTGGCAAGGTTCGCGCATTAGAAAATTTCGATTGTTGCCGAGCGCTCTGATTGGGTGCAATTTTACTTGCACCCAATCAGAGGGCTCAAACAACAATCGAAAAAATTTTCAATTGTTCTGATGCGCGAACCTTGCTCGTTGGAAAAAAATTATGCATATTGTGTTATTTTGTAGATTAAAGATATGGCAAAACATAATAAAAATCATTAGATATAAAAAAAATCGTGTTTCCGTTTATTAAAAAATATCATTGGTGCATCTTTGAAGTAAAAAAAATCATCTTGAATGCTTATTGGATTATTTAACAAATAAATGCTTGAACAAATTAACTACTTTGATCAATTAATTTAAAGAAATGTAAATGTAGGATGGCAGTGTGATGGTGGGGGAATCATTCCTTTCCTATACGCTTGGCAACAGTGTCTCTCCATTACGCACACATCAAACATAAATTCCTCCATACTTCGTCAAATCCGTCCCAAGTTGTCCCGATCTCGACCATGTTTATACACGGACCTTGGTGCAAAATGGGGAATTAAATTAGAGGCACAGCTTTAAACGCTTCGACTACGGCATGCAGCATTTCGATATTGACGATTAGATGAAGCAAAAATGCCCTGATTATGTACGTATGTTTTCAAAATGATCGTAGTTCACATTTGCAAATTGTGTTCGCTGCATGTTTTCACTCTTTCTCAGCCCTTACAAAATCCCCTGGGCATTATTCTTTTAATTTTTTTACTATACACTTAATTCAATACTGTTGGTTGCAAATTTAAATAATTTTCCTGGGAAAATTTGTGAATTTTTGTCGTTTGTTTACTTAAGAGTCAAATTAAGATCTGATATCTCAGCACTGAAATCACGAAATGAAAATTCCTTAGACCTTGATATTATGGTGCTATTCCCTGGAAAATTCAAACTTCATTTCCTGATAGACTGTAATTTTAATAAAAATTAAACATTTATGAAAAATAATAAAATAAAATAAAAATTATCCGGCACAAAAGCCACAAAACCAAATTTTTTTGAAGGTATATATTTGAACAATATTAATTTTTTTTTTTAATTTTTCAGAAATTCCTTTAAATGGAATTAATAAAATCAAGGGAGAAAATACGCGAATGTCTTCATTAAGCTATCGTCATGAATTCCCAACCATCAAATAATTATATGCCATCTTATGGAGTAGCCACTAAACTGCATAATGGTAAGTGGTCAAATATTATATTCTGTGCTAAAAAATTTAACTAAGTATGAAATGTTATATTCAGATAGTGCCACAAGTGCCTCAAGTTTATCGAAAAAATCAACGACAAATAAAAAAAACGCAACGACCAGTCTCAGTGGCTCGGAGACTGATGTGTCCACTTCGACAGAGAATTTGAGCCAAGAAGAACGATATGTTATCAAGCATACAGCTAGACAGGAACCCCAGGGCCAAGAAAAACAAGAGGTATTATATATTTAAATTGTATAAAAAAATGGTTTCTATTTTTACCTTTCGTAGCCTACCGATGGGTTGACCCATCATTCAGGTCGGCAGCTTAGCTTGGACAATGCCTCCAGTTACAATACTCTAATTATTCATGCAACTGGCGAAGATGGACTTGACCCATGGGCATCACTGTCTCCTTCAAGGTATACTGCGGACTTAAATAAGAAAAAGTATTAAGATATATTTTTAACTTGAATATGTTTACAAATTGCAGGCTCTCTAGTTTGAGAGACAGCTACATTTCTGCCACATCAAGTCACTCCAAAGCAAGTTTCCCATCATCATCTGCCTCTTCATCTCCCACTTTGGCAAGCACCACTCAAGGGCAAACTCGAGAAATAAATGAGATTCCAGACGATTACTTGAGTCAATCTCACATCCTGAAACATTTAGCCAAAGAAATGAAGGTCGTCGCACCCGATATGAAGGAGGACTATGAAACAAATCCTCCACGAAGGCTCCTTCTTCTGGACCTTTCTGCAGAGACTCACTCTCGAATAACTGGGCATCGATATTCAACCCCAATTTATGCCTCGGCTCCCATCGACGTCCAAGGAAAATTAGCATTGAGCAGATCTCAACCTGATCTTACTCAAATTGAGGTTGCCAAAGTTGTACAAGAAAGAACCAGCAATTCCATGCACAGGCAGAACGTTAAGAACAAGTCAGGTACTCTTAAAACAGAAGTCGATTGGCCAGCATCGGAGATGATTCAGTTGCTCGTGAAAGAAAATAGTTCGCTTAAGACCGAGCTTGAGATGTGTTACAAAAAAGTTGCCAAAAGTCAAAAGGTAGACTTCAATTTTATTTAGCCTTGTATTAAATTTTTAATATTTTTTAGCTGGAAGAAGAGGTAACAAATATTCACAGATCTCACCAAGAGCTCATGCAGTCTTCTGAGCGAAGGGAAAAACTTGAGCGAGCAGCCCGACAACGTTTGCAGGAGGACAACCGCATGCTTCGGCAGCAATATGAGCTACTGCTAGCTCAAATGGAGTCGCCACTTTCTGGAGGCACAGCGTCAAATTCGACAGAAGAAATTCTCATATTGAAGCGTGAAATTGGCAAAAGGGACACCATGTTGGCTCAACTGATGGCGCAAAACAAAGAACTTACCGGGTGCCGAGAACGACAAGATATTGAATTGGCAGCCCAAAGAGCCACCCTACAGGAGCAGCGGACTCACATAGATATTCTCGACACTGCTCTCACCAATGCGCAGGCAAATGTGATGCGTTTGGAAGAGGAGTGTCGAAAGAGGCAGCTTTATGAAGAAAGGGTTGTCCAGCTCCAACAAAATCTGAGCTCTTTACAACTGGCAAGGGACAAACTTGAGGGTGAAATGAATGATCTCCGTCTTTCTAGAAGAGCCAATAACGCCACTGCACAAGGAGGAATGTTGAGTAGCGGTCAGTACAAATATTTTTGTTTCTTATTCCATTATTTTAATAAAAATTTACATCAGATAAAAAAATTGATCCAAATGGCCAAAGTCTGGAAGTTCAGGAATTGTTGCTAAAAATACGGGAGAGAGACGAACGGCTTGTGGCTCTGGAAAATGAAGTCACTCGATGGCAGCAGTGGTATTTGGAAGAAAATGCTATGCGGCAGGTAGTCATAGATGCTGCGAGCATACCAAAAGACGCAAAGATTGCTGCTTTGGAGAAGACAAGCCAAGAATCCGAGAGGCTCATGGCTGAAGCGAGAACGGACAAAATCAGGCAACTGGACGAACTACATGCAGCCCAGCGGCGTCTTGCCAATGTTGAAGGACGATCGCGTGAATTGGAGTCAAAGCTGGCAGAAAAAGAGGCGATGATCAAAGTTCTGCAGCAACAGCACCACTCGATTGCCAGCAGTGGGTCTGTGTTGTCTAGAGCTTCACCACATCTTCATCACAGCAGCAGCAGTAGTTTTCACCGACAACCAAGCCCATCCCCAATGAGCAGCATCATGCTTTCCTCATTAGCTGGGAAAAGTAGCCCATTAACAAGTGATCTAGGAGCAGCAGTGACAAGCTCCACAACTACTCTCAGCTCTCTCCCCAGAGGACTTTGCAACATAAGAAGCTCTAGTAATATTGTAGAGTTAAAATCATTTTCCCCTATTCATCTTTAATTTCAAACAGGTCTAGGTTTCCAAAGATCGTCATCTGTCGTAGCAGATTACGGTACATCCTCTGGTCCTCCGTCTACCACCTCGTCCAGTTCGCCCATGATTTCAAACCCAACCAAAAATGCAACAGCAAGTTCTTCCCTAAGCCGCAGCTACAACGAAGACACCAGAAGTTTGGACGAGCAGTTACAAGGACTTGACTCGCAACTTCTGAGCGGGGTGAGCAAATAAAGTCACTAAAAATGTGTTAGTTTCACTATAAGCATGATATTTTTTTTTGTGTTCTTTGAGTGCAGTGTGATGTGCCTAACATGCCAATACCTTAACATCCTTGAATTGTGTTTCTTCCATACCATATATTACTTTATTTCTAGAATTTTTTTTCTTACTATTGTGGAAACCACATAATATAACAGCTTACGTGTGGATTGGAACTAAAATTCATGAAAAATTTCAACTGTTTCTAAAACAATTGTTTTCTCTTATTCTTTTCTTCTCCACTTCGTCTCGTGCCTGGCGTAACGCACACATCACATCTGCACTCAAAAAACCGGTGAAAATTCTTCAACACAGAGAGTCCTATGCTGTTTTTCAGGGCTCTATAATAGGGGCATTGCAGCAAGAAAAGAAGGACTATCCCAACCACTACTGGTGGGTTTGAAGCGTCGTCCTCCCTTGAACCCCAGAGATGACTACAAAACACTCGACAGTGACAAGGATTCTTCGTCTGGCGTGTACAACCGCTACAAGTCGGCCTCTCCCTCTGGCAAGCAATTCCATTCTCGCTACAGTCCCAATCCTACTGGTTCGCTGCCTCCGACTCCTCCTTTGAACGACAATGAGCTCTATTTCATGCAACGATATTCTAACAAGAGCAGTCTACCGCCGACTCCACCATCGTCTTCCAGCAAGGACAGCTACTTCCGTTACAACCCAGCTTCACTGCCCCCGACACCGCCTCCTCCGTGTATGGAGGATCGTCATCACAAATCTTCGTCACTTCACGAAACATCAAAGTGCAACCACGAAATAATGCTGCTTGAGAAACAGGGAAGGGCGTCCCAAAAGCAAAGAAGGAGTTCTGCAGGTTCCCAGGCTAGTTCGGACGACATGAACTCGAGTCGTTTGTGTCTGCCCTCTGCCATACCAAGGCCTAAATCAAGACCTCTCGAGTCTCCTCCGTCAACCCCAACAAAGATGAATCGCAAGGGAGGTTACAACCGATTGGAAGAAGCGACCAGCAAGGAGAGCCTGAATTCAACACTTCCCAGCAACAATGTAGCATCTAAGCTTCGTCTCTTCCAGCAGTCAAGCAAATCCAAGTCATCATTCAACTCGTCAAGAGAAAAGTTGAATTCGGGAATGAAATATCGCATCCAGTTGTAATTTTTTCAAAGCTGGACCAATTAAGTCTAAACCTTTTTTGCTGATTTAACATTTTTATTTTTATTAATAGAGTTCAATCAGAGTGAATAACTTCTCGTAGAGCAAATTTAATATTTTAACAAAAAATCAAATGTGGGATATTCACGTGCTAAGTTAGCTTATAGGTTCTGCTGCTGCTTGCTTGGCATGTGAATATCCCCCAATATCATTTACATTACTGCGAAAATAATGTTTGTATCAAGTCTAACTCTTTATCTAAATTTTGTTTCAAGATTCAAGATGCTATCTTTTTTTTTTTTAATAGAGCTTGAAATAATCCTTGATGAAGCAACAACTACTCTAAAATGTTATAAGCAATACAGCTGCTCGTCAGTGCCTTTAAACGTTTGATATAAAAAAGTGGTGGAACTTGGTAAAATCAAATGCCTTACATGCTGTGTCAAATCTAAAAACCCAAAAAGCATGCCTATTGGCGTAATTATTATTGAGATATTCTTCAATTTTTAATAAAACCTTATTTAGCATAATATTTAATACTGCACATTTGATTTGATCATGTTCAAACTCGGTGTCAGTCTGTGCGTGCCTGTTTACTGCATCATACACTTTTGTGTAATCAATTAAATCCTGTTCCTTTAGGTCATTATTTTAGTTCAGTTGATATAAGTATTAATACTCTTTATTAATAAACACTTGACGATTTCATTCCTTTGTGTTTTCTTCAGAACAATTGAAGTACCCTAATGCACATTAAAAATAAATACTTAGAATATTTTTTTTTATAATACCTATCTGATACCTATGAAGATAAAAATATTTACAGTATTAAATAAATAAATTTCTAATAATTTGATTGACAAAAACAATTTTGAAGGCCCTTATTTGTTATTAAATATTCTAAATTTTGATAGAATTACGAGGATAACATTTTCAAAAGAAAAATCGTGGTGAATGAGATAATAAATTAAAGCAATGCGAAATAATTCGCGATAAAAATATAAACTTTTTGCACTTATCGCGCGCGGCACTGTTCAGCTCGGTTCAGCTACATACCGTGGCGCTGCGTGCGTTTTTTTATACACGTAACCTGCCGGCAAAAACAAAAACATCTTTGCAGCAAGCAAAAAGCTTTGCAGCTGCAAGCAATTTTTGTTTTTTCTTCGAGGCAGGGACGGCACGATTGAAGAGTGAAGCATAATATAAAGTCGCAGGCGATATTATTTTGCGATCAGTAGTAATTTGGCCACAACAACAAGCTGTGGATAGTATTTCAGAGTCGTCAAAATGCTTTTTAAAAGGCTATGTTTGGCACCATCAATAATTCTCTCTCTGACTGCTTCGTTCGTAGCAGCGCACGAGGACACAGCAGAAAGTGTCTCGTACACCACGGACGCTTTCAAAGAAGAGGTCGCCAAGAAAAATCACTTTGTCATGTTTTATGCTCCATGGTTCGTTCGAAAAAAAAACTTTCAAAGTGCTATTTTGATTTTGGCCATTTTGCAGGTGTGAACATTGCAAACGACTCGGACCTACGTGGAATAATCTTGCCAAGAAATTTGGCGTTGGCGACGATGCTGAGGTTGTCATCGCCCAAGTCGACTGCACAGTAGAAACTGCTCTCTGTTCAGAAAATGACGTCACAGGCTACCCAACGTATACTTTATAACAAAAATTGGTTAATGATATTTTACACATTTTCAAATTTGCAGATTGAAGTTCTTCAAAGCAGGTGAAAGCGATGGAGTGAAATTTAGAGGATCACGTGATAGCAGTACCCTGAAGTCATTTATCTTTGAGCAACTGGGGAAAAAAGTAAATAATTTTTAATTGCTTAATCTTAATGACAATTATTGTCATAAAATTTTAAAAGATAAAAATTAATTTTTTTTGTAAACAGGATGATGATGATAATGATGTGTGGCGCCCTTGTGTGCAAAATTGTTCAGTTGGCACACCTTGCCAACTGCCCTTGTTATTCTCTCCGTTTGTTGCCAAGAGCAACCGCGCACCTCTCAATTTGTGCGTTCTTCGCCCCTGTTTTCAACCCTTTAATTAGGGGTAAGCTTATTCATGCTATGATTTAATCAATCTTCATTAATTTCTCTTTAATTTGGTGTATAATATGTCAGAGTTGCTTAAAGATTTATATGTGTATTTTTAAATTAGAAAAAGTCTAATGTGCAGAAAGAATTTTCAAGAATTTCAAATTTTAATTTTAAATTTGCATAAATACTGATTGTATTTGTTTTTCCAGTTTGAATATATGAAGAAAAACGGATTTCTGGTGTTTCTCTGCTGCTAAACCCCATAACTGGTGACTACCCGACATTCGAACACGGAATGGAGACCGGCAACGAAGACAACCAGAATCTCGGTTCTCCGCAGAGGAATCTGCTCCTGTTTCCTCCACAACAGCAGCAGCCGCTCCAGTCACATCGCCAGCAGCCGCAAGAGCAGCCGCAGCAGCCGCAAGAGCAGCAACAGCAGCAACAGCAGATCATTTCTGACCAAATGACAGGCCAAGTGCAGCAGTCGCATTTTGTCAATCACGTATCGGTTCGAATTCCCTCTTTTTGGAAAAATGATCCAGAGTCTTGGTTTGAGATTGCAGATGCCCAGTTCCACCTTGCCAAAATCACTAGCCAGGAAACTAAGTACTCCCATGTCATCAGCAACCTGTCCTACGAGGTGCATGCAGAACTTCGTGATATCATTCGAGCTCGTCCCGCCACTGGACAGTACGATTACCTCAAAGATGCTGTCATCAAGCGACTTGCTCCAACAAATGAGCAAAAGCTGCGCCAGCTGCTCACTCAAGCCGAGATTGGGGACAAGACTCCAGCCCAATTCTTCAGGTACCTAGAAGCTCTTGCTGGAAATTCCATGACGAGTGATGCTTTGCGCACCATCTGGATCGATCGACTTCCTCCAGCATATGGTCCTCTTCTTTCAACACTGACTGGCCTTCGTCTGGAACAACTTGCTGAAGTTGCAGACAAGATTGCACTCTCCATGGCAGGTCAGAAGACTTCAGTGAACGCAGTTTCTTCAACCAACACGACCGAGGACATCATGCGATTCTTGGAGAAAAAACTGGATGCTCTCTTTGCAGAGAAATTTGAGGTTCACGCTGTTGCCCAAAACAGGTCACGCTCTACAAATCGCAGCAAGTCCAAGAGCAGACAACAGAGAAGTCGCTCTCGAGGAGACCCTCTGGTTGATGGTGTCTGTCTCTACCACCGCACCTTCGGCGCCAAGGCTCGAAAATGCCTCGATGGCTGCAGCAAGGCCACCAACAAGCCGGAAAACAAGAAGAGCGGGCAGTAGACGCGGCCGATGCTCGCTCAGCGCCACAACGCCGCATTTTCATTCAAGATAAAAATTCTAAACATAAATTTTTGATTGATACAGGCTCGGACGTTTGCGTGTTCCCAAAAACCCAAGTTAAGATGTCCCAACCCAAGAATGGCTACACACTGACTGCGGCAAATGGCACCCCTATCAGCACCTATGGCACAGTTTCACTCACCCTCAACCTTGGACTGCGACGAAACTTTACCTGGAAATTCATCGTGGCTGACGTCGACAAGCCCATCATTGGCACAGATTTTCTCAGCTTTTTCGACCTTGCTGTTGATGTCAAGAGGAAGAAATTGCTGGACAGCTTGACGCATGTTTCTGCACCTGGATTTTCTACTACCTCAGAAATTTCCAGTGTTCTCACCATCACTGGCGAAAGCATCTACCACGACATTCTGCGGAACTTCCCCGACTTGGTCAAGCCCGCAGGTGTTCGCAGAGAGGTCAAGCATGCAGTTGAGCACCACATTTTCACCACTCCAGGACCTCCTGAGCACGCCAGAGCGCGTCGACTGGACCCTGAACGTCTTGAAGCTGCTAAGAAAATTTTCAACGAGATGCTGGAGGACGGCACCTGTCGCCCTTCCAAAAGTCCTTGGGCCTCACCTTTGCACATGGTACCCAAGAAAGATGGCACCTGGCGTCCCTGTGGTGATTACGTGAAACTGAACTCTCGCACTGAGCCAGACCGGTACCCAATCAGACACATTCATGACTTCACACAGAACCTTTCTGGCTGCACAATTTTCTCAAAAATCGACCTTGTTCGTGCCTACAACCAAATTCCTGTCTACGCCGACGACATTGCCAAAACTGCCATCATCACTCCTTTTGGCTTATTTGAATTTCCTTTCATGACCTTTGGCCTGAGCAACGCTGGACAGACATTTCAGCGTTTTATGGACGAGATTACACGAGATCTGCCCTTTGTTTTCCCGTATCTTGACGACTTGCTGATTGCTTCTAGGAATCCAGAGGAGCACGCCGAGCACCTACGAATCCTCTTTGAGCGCCTCAGCCAGTACGGCGTCTTGCTGAATCCTCAGAAGTGCGTTTTCGGCGTCCCTGAGGTTGACTTTTTGGGTTACAGGATCACCTCAGCTGGAATCAAACCGCTGCCAGAACGAGTTGAAGCTATCAACAACTTCCCAAAGCCAGTCACTGTTCAGGAACTTCGCCGCTTCCTGGGAATGCTGAATTATTACCACAGATTCCTTCCCTCTGCAGCCAAAGACCAACGAGAACTGAGTAAAATTCTCCTGGTTTCAGGAAAAACCAAGAAGGCACCCCTGATTTGGACAGCTGAAGCAGAGACTTCCTTCGACCTCTGCAAATCCACCCTGGCAAACTGCACTCTCCTGGCTCACCCACAACAGGGCTGCCCACTCGCCATCGTCACCGACGCCTCGGACTTTGCCATGGGCGGCGCCCTGCAGCAGAAAGTGGACAACGAGTGGCAACCTCTTGGTTTCTTCTCCCGGCGCCTCTCCCCAGCTCAACAAAAATACAGCCCTTACGACCGAGAACTTCTTGCAATCTACGAGACTGTCAAGTACTTCAGGTACATGCTGGAGGCGCGCCCTTTCACCATCTTCACTGACCACAAGCCGCTGATTTTTTCACCAAACAAGAACAGCACCACTGCCTCTCCGAGACAGACTCGCCACCTGGACTTCATTTTTCAGTTCAGCACCGATATCCAGCATATTTCTGGCATGTTGAACGTCGTGGCCGACACTCTCTCCAGGGTCAACCAAATTTCTGCACCCCCTGTCCACTTCGAGGACCTGGCCAGGGAGCAGGAAGACGACCCTGAGCTGAAAAATCTGATGAAAAATGGAACTGCTCTCCAACTGGAAAAGGTTGACATTCCTGGTTCAGATATGAAAATTTATTGTGACACTTCCACAGGAAAACCTCGACCCTTCCTCACACCAAGTTTCAGAAGACAAGTTTTTGACCGGCTCCACTCTCTGAGCCATCCTGGTGGTCGCGCCTCAGCTAAACTCATCTGCAACCGGTTCATTTGGCCAGGCGCTGCAAAGGACATCACCTACTGGTCCAAGAACTGCATCCCCTGCCAGTCGAGTAAAATCTCACGCCATGTCAAAACACCCCTGGAGCGCCACCCTCTCCCTTCTGCAAGGTTTGCCGTGCTGAACATCGACCTGGTTGGCCCACTTCCTCTCTCCGGAGACAACAAGTACTGTCTCACCGTGGTTGATCGTTTCACTCGCTGGTGCGAAGCGTTTCCCATTTCGGACATCCATGCTGAAACTGTCTGCAGAACGCTTTACAACAACTGGGTTTGTCGGTTTGGCTGCCCAGAAACTGTGATTACTGATCAAGGACGTCAATTCACAAGCGACCTGTTTCAGAAATTTGCTCAACTCTTTGGCATCAGACTGTCCAGGACAACAGCCTACCATCCTCAGTGCAATGGAATGGTTGAGAGATTTCATCGCACCATAAAGGCTGCCATCGAATGCCACGAAGATGAAAGCTGGCCGGACAGCCTTCCGACAGTTCTGTTTGGCCTGCGCTCCATTTACAACGAGGACCTTGGCTGCACACCGGCGGAGATGGTTTACGGCGAAACTCTCCGACTGCCAGGTGAATTTCTCTCAGGATCAGCAGAAACCACCCTCGGCGCCCCTGAGCTGGTTCGTCAACTTCGAGAACGTTTCGATTCCCTTCGACCAGTCGCGCCCTCCTGGCACTCAACTCCGAAGTACTTTGTCTTCAAGGACTTGGACACCACGCAAAGCGTTTTCCTGCGCACCGACCTGGTCCGAGGATCACTTCAGCGCCCCTACACCGGCCCGCACCAAGTCTTGGAACGAGCTGAGAAAACTTTCAAGATTTTGGTGCGTGGCAAGCCGATGGTCGTCTCCAAGGACCGCCTCAAACCTGCCTATGTCCTGAAAGATGATCAACCTGAGCCAAGTGCTCCACCAATTGTTGTCTGCCCGGCGCCTCCGAAGCCGATTGAGCCTCCACCGGCACCGGCAGTGCAAGCAAAGAACACTCCTCCTCCTCCAGTGACAACTCGATACGGCCGTCGAGTGAAGTTCATCATTCCGCCCAAACCGTGACCTCCGGTCGTCCTGCGGGGGGCTCCTGTGGCGCCCTTGTGTGCAAAATTGTTCAGTTGGCACACCTTGCCAACTGCCCTTGTTATTCTCTCCGTTTGTTGCCAAGAGCAACCGCGCACCTCTCAATTTGTGCGTTCTTCGCCCCTGTTTTCAACCCTTTAATTAGGGGTAAGCTTATTCATGCTATGATTTAATCAATCTTCATTAATTTCTCTTTAATTTGGTGTATAATATGTCAGAGTTGCTTAAAGATTTATATGTGTATTTTTAAATTAGAAAAAGTCTAATGTGCAGAAAGAATTTTCAAGAATTTCAAATTTTAATTTTAAATTTGCATAAATACTGATTGTATTTGTTTTTCCAGTTTGAATATATGAAGAAAAACGGATTTCTGGTGTTTCTCTGCTGCTAAACCCCATAGATGAATCAAAGGTTGGAACTAGACAAAACAAGTTAGTAGACCTCACCCAAGACACTTTCAATGATCACGTGAAGTCTGGAAAGCATTTCGTCAAATTCTATGCACCTTGGTGTGGACATTGTCAGGTTTGTATTGAAAACACATATTGATATGAAATATTGGCTTATTGGCTCCTGTAATTTACAGAACTTGGCACCAACATGGGAGGAGCTTGCCCAGAGCTTAGATGAATCCCTCGGAGTGTCAGTAGGCAAAATCGACTGCACACTTCACAAGGGTGTTTGCAACGAATTCGAGGTGAAAGGCTACCCTACCATGCTTTGGATTGAGGACGGAAAAAAGGTGATATTTAAATTAAAAAAAAAAATACAGTAATTAAATAATTTTGAGGTAGATTGAGAAGTACCAAGGTGCAAGGTCCTTGAATGATTTGAAGGATTATGTCTTGAGAAAATCCTCGTCTGATAACAAAGGCCAGACAGCGGCGCCTGTAGTCAGTGAATCATCTCCAGTCCTCAGCTTGACTGGCAGCAGCTTTGATTCCAGTATTGATACAGGCGTGACCTTTGTCAAATTCTATGCCCCGTGGTGTGGACATTGCAAGCGAATGGCTACTACCTGGGAGGACTTGGCTCAAAAATTCAAGGAGAATCCTAGCGTGCAAATCGCAAAGGTTGATTGCACATTGGAAGAAAACAAGGAGCTCTGCAGTGCACAAGAGGTATTATTGTCTTTATCAGATTGAAGCATTTTAATATATATTTGTCATATTTGTTATTTCAGGTCAATGGATTTCCAACTGTGTTCATCTACAGAGACGGAGAGAAAATTACGGAGTATAATGGCTCCAGGTCTCTAGATGATCTCTATCAATTTGTCTTAAAACACTCTGAAGCAAAGGACAAAGACGAACTTTAAAAATTTGAATTGTCTGTTTTCATTTTAAGTGTTGATTTTGCTTTTGAGTTAAAATTTTTGGAGCTGTTGTTGCGTCCCGAGGTTTCTAAATGTAGGTTTTCAATACAAAGTTCACACGCAAAGGCCACAAATACTAATAAGTCTTGGAACTTATACTGTCTTTAATAATAAAAATTCCCCAAAATAAAATGTATTTTATTATTTAATTTGCTGTAAAATTAATAATACAAAGTATGTTGTTTGAAAATTATAATTTCTTTGCAGAATTTGGAAATTAATATCATGTATTTATTAATATAGTAATGCTACAGAAAATAAAATTAATTCTATAGCGTTCTATAGCAAAAGAATATTACAAAGAAAATACTAATAATGCAAAAAATATAATTAAAAATGTTTTGCAGTAAAATAAAGTTTAAATTTATTATTCTATTTGCTCGCAAGTATTTAGTTCCATAGTATCACATTAATTAATGAATTTATAATAAAAGAACTAATAATTTTTTCGTTTGCAATATATTTATTTTCCACAATTAAATTTGGTTATTGCTCTCCAAGGATCCTTTGATTCTCCCCTTTTGTCAAATTTCATCAAATTTATTCTACCCTCTGCGCACCTCTTCCTTTTTGCTTTCGCGCATTTTGCCTTAAAATACAACAGCTGGAGGTGGGAGGGGAAAATAAATGGCAGCCAAACAAAGTGTTTAGAAGACGAGGTCAGTTTAGTTTTGCTAAAACTCGCAATGGCTTAACCGAAAACTGAGGGAATCGCACAACAACAAGGTCACATAGGCACATGAAGACCAATATTCCAGGTTTTATGAAACTCCATTGAAATTTTGTAGACTTATAAGGTGTTTTAATGGAATAAAAATTGCATAAATAAAAGTAAGTTTGCGTTAGTTTGGCTTGCTCTCTCGCGGCCACTGAATTCCTTTTTCACGTTTCAAACGGCTTTTCGAGTACATTGCCATCTTTTATTCGCAAATTTTCCGTTTGCCGAAAATTTTGTTTTTGATTGTTACACGTGTCAACTTGTCAAGTTGCAGTATTTTTCAATTATTTTGATTTATCACCATTAAAATATTTCAACACGTCTGTAGGATGAACGACTTAGAGCAACAGCAAGATGAGCTTGAAGCACTCACCAGTATTTACATGGAAGATGAGTTTGCTCTAAACAAAGCTAAGCCTGGCGGTGTATTCTTCACAAATCTCGACTTGCCCCCGAACTTCCAAGTAATTTACCGTCTTTTGAGCAACAAATATAAACCTGCCGCACCTCCCGGTGGCTCCCAGGGTAGCGTATTCAAAATTTGTATTTAATAAGTTGATGATGGGCACATTTTTTTCGCCTTAAACCACGCATTCAAAGAAGTTGATTACGTAAAAACTTTTTTCAGTGCGGGCAGACGAGAATGTTGCCACCGAGGACAACTTAAAATTTGAATCATTCCATGTGAAGCACTTGCCACCTATTGAACTATCTTTTGAGCTACCTGACAACTATCCATCCCAGCAAAAGCCCGACTTCATTTTGTCATGCAAATGGTTGACCAGAGGACAGGTAAATTATAATTATTCTCGTAAAAATTACGTAATAAACCATTTTTTACAGCTCAGTAAACTGTGTGCTCATTTGGATCATCTATGGGAGGAGCAAGTTGGGCTTGAAATTTTGTACGTCTGGACACAATTTCTGAAAGAGGAGTCCCTCAAATTTCTAGACATTACGTCTAGTCTAAACATCAGCCAAATTTACTCAAGACAGATCACAAGTTTGGAGCAGAAGAGAAGAAAGCAACTTGCCTTAAAGCAGCCGCAAGTGTGGAAGAAGAGAGAGGAGCGTATCAAGGTTGAAGGAGAGCGCAGGAAGGAAGTAAAGCTACCAGACGAAAGGGCGGTGCTAGATTTGCACCCGAGCGAATTTATTGTTGCCGTTCTGCAGAAGTATGACGAGGAGAAGAGTGAGGCTGTTTTCAAGAAGAGCAATCAGACATGCAATGTTTGTTTCTCTTCTAAATTTGGACAAGACTGCATCAGATTCGAGAAATGTGGCCACATATTTTGCAAGGATTGCATTCGTGGCTACTTCGAAGTGCAAATTAAGGATGGGCAAGTGAAATCTCTCAAGTGCCTTGAGGACAAATGTGACGTTGAAGCTCTTCCGTCTCAAGTAAAACTTTTAAAGAAAATTATTGCATTTATAACAAAAAATAAAAATTTAAATGTTTCAGGTGAGGCAGGTTCTTAGTGAGGAAACGTTTGCAAAGTACGATGCTGCCCTGTTAGCCGCAACTCTGGACACTATGATGGACATCATCTACTGCCCACGGAAGTCATGTCAGTACCCAGTTAGTGTAGAGCAAGGAGAAACAATGGGGAGGTGTCCCAGTTGCCAGTATGTCTTTTGCATTTATTGCAAGATGGCCTTTCATGGGCTTGAGCCGTGCCGACTCAAATCTGGTAAGTTTTTGTGCCTGAAATTTTCCCAGTAGGCTTTGAATTTGTTTTGTTCTTCCTTTAGATGAGCAACAGAGACTGATCAAGGAGTACACAGAAGGAACCGTAGAAGAAAAGACCGCACTGGAATTGCGCTATGGCCGTAGACAGCTTCAACGTCTAGTGGACAATGCATTGTCGGAAGAGTGGGTCACTGGCAACAGTCAAAAGTGTCCCCACTGCAATGTCTCCATTGAGGTGAGGATTGATCTACCTTAATTGAATTCGAGTTAATTTTCACCTCTTAGAAATCATCGGGATGCAACAAAATGACTTGTTGGCGATGCAACTCATATTTCTGCTGGATTTGCCAAAATGAGTTGGACCCTCGAGCTCCGTATCGCCACTTCAACGACCGCAACTCAAGCTGCTTCAACCGTTTGTTCGAAGGCATCGCAAATGACGAAGATGACTTCTTTGCGGATTTAGATATCCTGTGAGTACCCTGCAAAGTAGTTTAGATTCGCCTTCTCTACCAACCTAAACAATCATCATAGTGCCCATTCTCACACAACAAACTGGTTATAAAATATTTCCAAACATGACGAGGCATCTCAATTACAAATTTTTAACACATGCCAATCAAAATGGAGCATCCAATTGCATAATTCATTAAATGTGTCTTGTCTATTATGAACTTTAAATTTATAAGGTTTCCCAAAAATTCCAAATTTTTTTATGTTTGACTTTTTATTAACAATTGCTTTTTGTTCTTAGAAATGAAAATTATAGGGGCAACTGTTTATTGCAAATAGCTTAAGTAAAATTTGCTTTTCCCTTTTGTTGTTGTTTAAAATTTTGTCTTTTTTAGTTATTTCTGAAGCAACATTGGGTAATTTTCACAATTTTGTTTAATACTAACTATTTCACAATGATATTTAAAATAACGAGACGCAGAAAAACCATAGCTTGTCCATATCTGTCAAGCCACTGTTATATTATAATATCAAATTCCTCAACGTAGCGTAAACAAAAAAGCAATAATATGTAAGCTGGCATGTCAGTGCTTGAATCTGTGGCTTCGACCACGGTGGAAGCGGTTTTAACACACAATGCTATTTTCGTATCTTGCAAATTGGATGAAACATTTTTCAATACTTGTAAATTTTTTCTACTCTTTGGAAATTATTTAAATCAAATTTAAAGAACGCTATTTTCATAATGTGATACTAATTTTAACGTCATACAATGTTTTAAAAGTGGACACTCCGTAATGAAAGTCCATAGTAAAGTTGAACGATTAGGGCTGCACGGTTTTTCGGGTTGAATATTTTTAAAATATCAGGATGTTTTGAGACATGCGTAATTATATTATACACAAGCATCACTTATACTATAGGGCTTATCCAAGTTGATTTGTGAAACATATAATGCAAATATGCGCGACTTTACGGCGCTTGTTTGACCATGAAAAATGAATAAAAAAACACGTTGGGTGGCATCAAACACTTGAGAATTTTATTATCACCGTGTAAAATTAAAAAAAAATACCTTTTTGTGGCAATCGGCAGTTGCAGTCATTTAATTAAACGTGGAAGGAAATGAACAGGATTAGGAATACAAACAGGTAAATGATGAAAAAGGCCCTGTCAATAGCCGACGCAAACATGAGCCAGTCCCTGTGAGACAAATTAACTGGGCTGGACGTGCGGCGGCCTATAATATGCTGCTGGTCATGTTGGTCTTCAGCGTGGTCCCTCATTTCCTCTCCAATTGAGCTGAGATTGGTTGGCTGCATCTGAGGAGGGTGCAAAATTAATAAATTACTCCCAACAACCATGCAAGCTCTCTCTCTCTCTCTCTCTCTCTCTCTCTCTCTCTCTCTCTCTCTCTCTCTCTCTCTCTCTCTCTCTCTCTCTCTCTCTCTCGCGCGCCTCTCAGAATGCTTTCAAGTGTTCTTCAAATACGCACCGAGGGCAGCGGCCCGAGGAGCAGCACTGAACCTAGCCATCCTGACAGGGCCTGTTTGATGAACCAGGGTAGTGGGTGCGCACAGGTATTTTTTGAGATCCGTATAACCACCACCGACTCGATCAAGGCCAGAGCCACCATCGTCAGACACGATCCATAGAAGAGAACTGCGGACACGAAAAAATTGTTCAGTTAACTGAATATGTTAAGAAAAAATGTTAAATTTGATTCCAAAATTAAAAAAAAAAAATCTCAAATTTTGGAGGCAGGTCTCAAAATTTTAGAATTTTAGAGAATTTTGTGAACTTGTCGTAAAATACATCCAATGATCTTTTATTAATTTGAAACTTTGTTTATTACTAAACCAAATCAAGAGTCAAGAGCCTTATTTTTTAATCAAAGGAGCACCTATCAGTTTATTTTTTATTTTTTAACTCACTAAATTTTTCTATGAAAAATAAAATTTCCAACCGATTTTGCTCTCAAAAATAAATATCTCCTTCTCCTGTGCCCACTAATATGTCCTCTATATTCACCCCTCTTCTCCGTCGCACGCGGGAGCTTAATGTGATTGAAGTGCCACTTACTAATTAAAGGAGGCCTGTAGGCCATCTCTGGCAGTCTCTCACTGAACGACAGTAGCAGTATACAGATGATCACGGCTGTCAGGCCATTCAGAATGATTTTCTCCCCAGCGTGGCTCGGTAGCAGAAATGTGGCCAGAGTCAGCAAAACCACCACTGACGTGTCGAAACAGAATATTATTTCGTTTCTTCGCCCTGTAATTAATTTTTTTTACCTGTGGCCGGCGTGATGACCACCGTTCGGTAGGCTTCGGACCTCCTCCGCAATTGCAGGGTGTAGGTCACGTCAATGTACGCCTCCGGGCAGCAGTTGTAGTATTTGAGATTCCTCTGCTTTTGCACTCCCATGATTTCCCATTGCGAGTTGTTGTTCATCATCTCCAGCACGGAGTCGCCGTCATCAAGTTGCAGATCGATTTGCTCTCCGTCGTAGGTCCACGAGCCCAGCATCAGTGTGCATGTCTGAGTGTCAAATGGCCAGTAGTGCAGGTCGATTTGGCAAAATGCATGAAACTCGGCTGGGGGGACCCACAGCACCTGTCCGTCGTGCTGCACAATGCAGTGCGTGTTTCCGTAGTGGTCAACTTCACTGCCCTGGGCGCTACAGTACCAAAAATTTCACTTTATTATTTTTTCTGGACGGGTTTTTTTCTTGGGATTTTAATGATATGCACCTGTTGTAAAGGGTGATATCTGGCTGCCACACTTCATGGTCGGCTAAGTGAAGCGTTTCTAAATTTTCATAGTCCGAGGCGTTCCATTTCAACTTATCGTCATTCCACAACTGAAAATTGAAATTTACCATCAGAATTTTATCAGGCACATTTGGGTAAATAATTGAAATTGAATTTTAATATTTTTTTCTTGACTTTAACAAAATGTAATTGAAAATAATTTTAGCATGAGAATATTAAATTTTACATTCTTTTTTCCTTTCAACTGTTGAAAAACAAATTTTTTTCAATGGTTTTTGCAAATTTTTAGTTGATTTCCAATTATAAGAAGGCTTGAAAAGAATGGCGATTCTAAACAGTGATCAATATTGATGTTTTCATTCCCAGCTATTTTACAACTTTTAACAACTGGTATTCCAATAGCGATTGTGTGGCTTCTGTCTATTGAATAATATCAGTGCGTTAATGGGGGTTTGGGCAATCAAATAATCAGCGCTGCGACTGCTGCTGCGACACACCGGATGCACTGGAATCTTTCCAGCCACCACGTTATTATCAAACAGAGCCACATCAAACGCGTGTGTCAAGAGACACCAACGCGTATTTGCAAAATTGAATGCAGGAAAACTTTGAACTCTTGTTATCACACTGCCTGTATGCTATAATGTAGCTGACAAAGTCAAGAGAAAAAATATTCGGGTCAAAATGTTATCTCATTCTTAATGTGTTACTTTTTAATCTATTTTTTTTTTCATTTAATTGATTTCTCAAATATTTCAGTAGAATTGCATAATATTCGATACATAAAATAATTATAATAAGCAAAAACTTACCATTTTTGCCCAGGCGTATACAGTCAGAATTGAAGACATTTCATCCTAAAATTTTTGACACTTTTAAAAATAGTCAATTTTTTTTGTTGTTTTTAATTTGCATGCTTTCTGCAGTGGGAATGGGGGGTGCGCTTGCGAGCTGCATTTGGCCTACCAGATCAATATGCTTGAGATTCAGGTCAATGGTGACCACTGTGGTGTTGGTGTGGTGCGATGGCCGGGTGAATTTGTCGTAATCCGCGAGTAGCTCATGTTTCAGTTTGTCCACCGTCGTGTAATTCCACAACTTTGGAACTCCTATAATTTGCTGTATTTTGTCAGTCCACGTAAAATATTAATTTTCATACGCACCAGTTCGAGTTGTATGGGCCGCTGTCAAGATGGGCAATAGTAAGAACGGCAGAAGACCGTTCATTTCGGTGGTGTCTCTTCCTCTCTTGCGGTCCACGAAGCGGCTGAATTGAAAATGAACGCGCGCGAGAGAGGATGAGGAGGCAGGCATCGCTTATCTCAAAAGGCAGACGGAGCTATTATTATTATTTGCCGCTCTCCAAATGCACCCATTGTGACAGAACGAGAAAGAAGTGAGTGCTCGTTGCACACAATTAATTAGTAAATAAAATCTGTTGTCACAATGCGGCGAGCAATACACCTGCAATATAATTATTACATGTTGCATTTTGGATTGGATACTTCTGCAGTGCGATCAGCACAATGATAAAGTTAAACGAACTGAACATCAAATAATTTTACCTTTTTTCTTAAAGTGATTTAAAATTTTCAAATAATAATAAACATATATCAATTTGAATCAATTTTGTTTTCATTTTGGCACACACAAAAAACACTGGTTTCTCGCACACTATCTGAAAAATACGCCTCTTACTCTGACTCATCCTTTAGTGAGCCACATTGTCGCGAGATATATAGATAAATAAAATTTATTAACTTGCAACATATTTTTTTCAAGAGGAAAATGCGCTGCTGATATAATTTCAGTATAAAAATATTTATAAATAGTTGGCTCTGCCTTGCCCCCTTCATAAAGTAACTAATTGTGCAACGCACTCACGAAAATTAATATAGCTATTTATATTTTGGTGCGAGGCGATTTCTAACGTTCGCAATCAAATAGGGGGAAATTAAACTATAGTTTTTTTTGTCAGGCCAAGACAGTGTCTTATTGGCCTGTGCACTTTTGAGCCTGCAGAAGGCAAGCTCCAATCTTTTATCTGTCATCACAGTTTTCAACTTTATATATTTCAGAAAATATTAATATTTGAAACCCTTTTCTCCGTTCTATGATTGCTCATTTCTCAATTATTAAAAGGTTTGGTTTAAGAAAAGCTTAATATTTTGGAAGTGGTAAAAAATTAAAAAATCTGTTTTATTTAATATTTTTTACTTATTTACGGAGTATAATTGATACGTTCAAGGCCTATTTTCTGTGCACGAAATTACCATAAAACTGATGCTTTTCCTTACAAGACTGTGACGTAAAAGGTAATTATTTTGATCAAGTAGATCAAAGCGTATACAATGAAGAAAATTCGATCGATGGCTGAGGCGAACATTAGCCATTCCCTCTGGAATTCGCCCGAGGCGCCTTCGTTTTTACTGGTCTGGCCCTGGCCGGTCATTTCCTCGTCATTCGCCTTTTTCTGGACCTGACAAACGGGATAGGTCATGAAATATTCACAGAGATAAAGAGTAACCCTTACAGAATTTTTGCCGTTGAGGATGAAGGAGCCGAACCAACCGGAGAGCACCTGCTTGATGAATGGCGGAAGCGGGTGAGCACCGCAGCTTCTTGACATCTTGATCACCAAGACGGACTCAAAGAATGCGATCGCCACCATCAAAAGACTTGAGCCAAAGAACAAAACTAGTTGAAAAATGAGTTTTTCAGTTTGAATTAAACAAAGTTGTGTAAAACTGTTACCAATCAAAGGTGGGTTGCTTGCGATCGCTGGTAGTTTCTGGCTCATGGCAAAGAGTACAATGGTAATGACCAGGGTTGTAATTGCATTCAAGACAATTTTTTCACCGGCTTGGGTTGGCAGGATAAAAACGCTCAGAGACAAAATGATGATAACTGTAAGAGCGTAAAAGTTTAATTGCAGCATGGATTTAATATTTTATATTCAAAGGCACAAAAATAATCGATCAAATAAATATTATTAGAAGAATTTTCATATTTTTCCCGTGGTTTTTTTTTATTTTATAAATAAAATCTTATTTGCGTTGCAAAGATGGTCTTTTTGCTTTTAATTATATTAAAAATATAGACAAATACACACAAATTAATGCTTAAAAAATAATAAAAATTGATTAATTATAAAAAAAAAATGTAGGAAAGTTGCACATTAAATTAATTTTTCTACTTGAATTTGCAAAATATATTTAGAATATTTGATACTTTTTTTCATTTTTTCCTTTTGAATTTTTATTATTTTCATGTTTCTAAAATGGAACAAATAATTATGGAAAATTTTTAATTTTTTTATCTCATTAATTGGCTCATTGTTAGTTTCATACTATTATAACAATAATGTAATTACTTTTAATTTTTAATTTCATAGAGTAATTTCAAATAATATTCTCACCAAACGCTGGGGTCATAACAAGCGTTTTGTACATTTCAGGACGCCTTTGCAGAGTCAGGGTGTACGTTATGTCCGCATACTCTTCTTCGCAGCATTCGTATTTCTTAGCGTTTCGCTGCTTGTCCACGTTAACAAGGTGCCACTCGTCATTGGGCGTCATGTACTCCTGGTCATTCCAATCGGTGGACAACTGCAAGTCAATTTGCCCCACGTGGTGAGTCCACGAGCCAACGACGAGTTTGCAGGATTGTCTGTCAAACGGCCACAGCCGAAGGTCCAGCTTGCAATTCGTCTCGTAAATCGAAGGTGGCACCCAAAGGACGCTGCTATTGTTGTACACCAAACTGTATGTAGTGCCGTGTTGGTCGATCTTGTTTCCGACGGCACTGTCATTCATAAAATTTAATACAGCATATTTTTAAATTCAAACAAAATTAATTCAAAATTAAACCTGTTGTAAAGAACAACGTCAGGAATCCACAGTTCATCATAAGGAACGTGGAGAACCTTAAGATCACCATGATTGGCCGGGTTCCATGCCATTTTTTGGTCAGTCCACATCTAAAAAAAATATGTTTAAAATTATAATTAAATAAACTATCAGTCGCACTTTTTTGCATTTGTGGCTTGATAGGTTTATTCAATGTCATCTATTAGGGCAATATGCAATTTGAAATTGCGCTGAATATATTTCAAGGTTAAATCGGGGCTAGACTTCTTATTGTGAGCGAAAATATCAAGAATAATAAAGGGTGACCTCAACCGTCAAATTTATACACGACCGTCTCTCATTACAAAGTATAGTTCGGGTCTCAATTGATATTTATTTGACTACATCTCACGTAATTATATCTTTGTCGCGCGCACTTTGTGTGCAAAATTGAAGTGCTGTTTTCAAATGATAATATCCTGCTCTTTAATTCACGGGACCGGACTGTTGAATGGGCGGCATAATTGCGCACAGCTGCAACTTTCGCACGGAGTAACGCGACAGATGTAATTTGAATTGCTAAATATGTTTTCGGTATTAACTTACAAATTTCGCCCATCCGTTGACAGTCAACACTGACGACTTCTCGCACTAAAAAATGGTGAAAAGAATAATTTGAATAATCCCAGAGATTATTAGTGTAGACGTGTGTCATTCAAAAATGGGTCTAACCAAATCAAAGTGGATTATGGTGATGTCAAATTTGACGACAGTTGGTGTTGACTCCTCACTGGGGCGAATGGTTCTGTCATATTCGGCAAAAAGCTCTTTCTTCAGCTTTTCCGCTGAAGTCTTTGGAATCGGGACATCTGTCACAGAAAAGGAGAAGATATATACATTTTTAATTTAATTTAACAAAAAATATATATGCATTTTTTAATAAACTTTCTCAAAGCGTATTTAGGAATAAAATATGTAAAAAATATTTTGCGGATTCCTATAAAAAATAACAATAGTTAAGAAAAATTTAGAAAATAAAACTTTTTCTCTCACCATCTGCTTGGATGAGCAGCGGTCCAGCAAAGGCAAAAAGCAGTAGAAAGGCCCGCACTAGAGTGTGATCCATCGCGAGGACGGATTTAAAATGATGGCAGTGGCCGAATGCAAGCCTTAAACATCCAAAACGCCTATGGATCCATTGGTCATAATTCGAATTATTGCTGCTTTAGCATCTGGCGAGTGGACGCTGATACAACTCTTTGTGCTGCGGGCGTGTGAGCACCGCGCCTCTATCCATCTCGTCTCATGACGCGCATCCTTGACGGAGCCATTTATTAAATTAAGACGGGCAGCCCGCCTATTTTACTCTCTTGATCAACCAATTGTGCTAATTTAGAAGAGGAGCCACGTCTGGAATTCAAAGGGGTTATGATTTATGAGAATTCTTTGAAATTGCATCCGTTTAATGCCTGCGAGCAAACGGCTTTTGTGGACCCGAGGCACGTAGGCACATTTTATTGCTAATAAATGGAAGAAAGAGAATCATATAATGCTGCTGTAGCTCCAGAGACTCATAGAATTAATTCAGTTTTAATTAAGTTTGCTCAGATCAAGATAATGAAATTCCAGCGCTTGGCATTTTAATAAGTTATTTATATATTTAAGCATTTTTAATATTTTGATATTTTGATTGGGGGAAAATATAAAGAATGGATGAGATGATTTTGTTTTTTCTCAATCAAATCACCTAGCTTGATAATTGGATTTTAATAATGAGTATTCAATTTTTATTGACCGAGAAGAATAAATAATAATAATAATAATGTATATAATATAAAAATCTTAAAATAACCGCGTTTGATCTCTGCGGCTGCTTGTTGAAATGGTTGAATCGTGGGGCTGCTAGATACTGTGCAGATAACTTTGGTGCCAGCTCCCTGATTGAGAAGTTTGTGCTGCGACCCTGGCTATGCTGTTGGTGGACCAGAACAAGAAGCAGACACCGCGCGCTTTAATCTTGTCGGGTATAATTAACCGAAGAGTGGTGAAAGACACGCGTCAAAGGGAAAACTTTTTCTAATTACGTCGCGCTGCTCATCTCTGCGGCAACATATCGACGCTCACCATCGATTGATTTGGTCCACCTCCGTCCCGTGATATAACTCGTTTTCACATCCCTCGCGCTTAAATTCTTTCAGAGGGATCAAAAGCAAGAGCCAATCGCAGCGAAAATCTTGCCACGCCACGCAATTTACTCTGATTTAATTCTTTTGGGAAGGGATTTTTTACACCCTTTGACACTCGTTCTTTTTTATCTGAAAGTTCTGCTATAGATGTGTATATTAATCACAGATACGGATGATATATATGTGTGCCTAGAAATATCGATCCCACGAGATGAGGGGGAGCTTTCCTGTCCGTAGCACTTATTGCACCTGCACACAAAATACAAAATAACTAACAAAATATATGTTTCCATATTCCAGGGAAATGATTGATGGCCATATATGTGCTTCTGACAACTGATCAACTTGTTCTGGCATTTTCTGGTCGTTTTAAGCATTAGGAAATATTTATTTTTTTGTGGAACAAAATTATTGGTTAGTGAGGTTTTTTTTATTTTGATTTTTTTTTAGGGTCAGGCCAAGACAAAGTCTTGTCGACCTGTGCCCTTTATTAGTGGTGCAGAAGGCACCACACAATTTATTATTATTATTTATTTTTAATTTTTTGGTTCAACTTTATTTAAAAAATCATCATTTTCTGCTGGCATATCCTTAATTTTGGTCCATGCGATGATGACAAAACAAAGCTGTAAACTAAAAAAGACAGGTAAATGAAAATGATATATAAATTCTGAGAAATTATTATTTGCTGAATTTAATAATGCATTATCCAGAACATAAAACGCTTTACTGTTACAATTCAAGCGTTTATTCTAAGTGTACATTGTCATTTTTTATGTTGCGCTATCTTTATGAATGACGAATATGTATGAAAAATACGTGGCATGACGCACACCGAATATTTGTGTCGTGATGTCGTCAAAAGCAGCGTGGAAAAGTTTACGTGTGTGTTGTGCACTTTTGTGCTCATTACTGCGTGCAACGTGCCACCGTATATTATAATGGTCACAACAGAAGCATTGTTCAAACACGCTCATTGTACTCCAAATGGGAATAATAATAATACACACATATTCAATCCGCCGGTTCGTCATTCACGATGGCTCTATATGTTGGTAAAAAGCAGAGCAGAGAGCCCTTCTCCATGTCTTCTTCAACACAACAAATAATTCTCATTATAAACGAGCCGATGACAACACGCAATAAAAATCCAGTTCCGACTTTTATTATGTTTTATTGCTGTCCATCTCTTGATTCCGCTCCACCGGTACTACTTGTTCTCTTCTGTTCTATTCTCTGCTGATATACGTTTTTTACCCAAGCGAGCCGTGCAGCTCCAATTGGAGAGCACCTCTAGTTCTCTCTATACCTCATTTCCAAGTTCGCTCATTTCACAGAGAGTTTCCTTTGCCGCCGCTCGAGAAGAAGGATACGGCTCTCTAGTGAGTTTTATGCGGCGCTGAACACGCCAAGCACAGCACCACCAATATTATCCCTCAGCTCTTTAATTTTGTTCTTTGCTTTGCCTCTTCACCCTCTGCTCCACCCTCGCAAACTATATGGAGGGATGAATATTATGTGAAAACAATTTTCTTTCTTTCGTCTCTCATACTAACTCGATTTTGAACAAAATATGAAAATGTTCATTATAGGAAGGCGGGTCCTATATGTAACGCTATAGAAACTCTCGTAAAAAATGACAAACCAGGTAACTCTAGAAAAACTGTTATGCTTTCATTAAGTTGAATTTTTATAAAAATGTATGTAAACTAAACTTAAAATTATACAGAAATAAATTATGTATGTACGTTCGGCATATGTTGAAAAATATTTGTACATTCGGCTTTTGTTGAAAAAAGTTCTACATTCGGTTGATGTAGAAAAATAGTTCTACATTCGGCTTTTGTTCTACATTCGGTTGATGTAGAAAAATAGTTCTAAATTCGGCTGATGTAGAAAAATAGTTCTACATCCGGCTGATGTAGAAAAATAGTTCTACATTCGGTTGATGTAGAAAAATAGTTCTACAAATCTACATTCGGTTGATGTAGAAAAATAGTTCTACATCCGGCTGATGTAGAAAAATAGTTCTACATTCGGTTGATGTAGAAAAATTGTTCTACATTCGGCTGATGTAGAAAAATAGTTCTACATTCGGTTGATGTAGAAAAATAGTTCTACATTCGGCTGATGTAGAAAAATAGTTCTACATTCGGCTGATGTAGAAAAATAGTTCTACATTCGGCTGATGTAGAAAAATAGTTCTACATTCGGCTGATGTAGAAAAATAGTTCTACATTCGGCTGATGTAGAAAAATAGTTCTACATTCGGCTGATGTAGAAAAATAGTTCTACATTCGGCTGATGTAGAAAAATAGTTCTACATTTGGTTGATGTAGAAAAATAGTTCTACATTCGGTTGATGTAGAAAAATAGTTCTACATTCGGCTGATGTAGAAAAATAGTTCTACATTCGGTTGATTTAGAAAAATAGTTCTACATTCGGCTGATGTAGAAAAATAGTTCTACATTCGGCTGATGTAGAAAAATAGTTCTACATTCGGTTGATGTAGAAAAATAGTTCTACATTCGGTTGACGTAGAAAAATAGTTCTACATTCGGTTGATGTAGAAAAATAGTTCTACATTCGGTTGACGTAGAAAAATAGTACGACATTCGGCTGATGTAGAAAAATAGTTCTACATTCGGCTGATGTAGAAAAATAGTACGACATTCGGCTGATGTAGAAAAATAGTTCTACATTCGGTTGATGTAGAAAAATAGTTATAAATTCGGCTGATGTAGAAAAATAGTTCTACATCCGGCTGATGTAGAAAAATAGTTCTACATTCGGTTGATGTAGAAAAATAGTTCTACATCCGGCTGATGTAGAAAAATAGTTCTACATTCGGTTGATGTAGAAAAATTGTTCTACATTCGGTTGATGTAGAAAAATAGTTCTACATCCGGCTGATGTAGAAAAATAGTTCTACATTCGGTTGATGTAGAAAAATTGTTCTACATTCGGCTGATGTAGAAAAATAGTTCTACATTCGGTTGATGTAGAAAAATAGTTCTACATTCGGTTGACGTAGAAAAATAGTTCTACATTCGGCTGATGTAGAAAAATAGTTCTACATTCGGCTGATGTAGAAAAATAGTTCTACATTCGGTTGATGTAGAAAAATAGTTCTACATTTGGTTGATGTAGAAAAATAGTTCTACATTCGGTTGATGTAGAAAAATAGTTCTACATTCGGCTGATGTAGAAAAATAGTTCTACATTCGGTTGATGTAGAAAAATAGTTCTACATTCGGTTGATGTAGAAAAATAGTTCTACATTCGGCTGATGTAGAAAAATAGTTCTACATTCGGTTGATGTAGAAAAATAGTTTTACATTCGGTTGACGTAGAAAAATAGTTCTACATTCGGTTGATGTAGAAAAATAGTTCTACATTCGGTTGACGTAGAAAAATAGTACGACATTCGGCTGATGTAGAAAAATAGTTCTACATTCGGCTGATGTAGAAAAATAGTACGACATTCGGCTGATGTAGAAAAATAGTTCTACATTCGGTTGATGTAGAAAAATAGTTATAAATTCGACTGATGTAGAAAAATAGTTCTACATCCGGCTGATGTAGAAAAATAGTTCTACATTCGGTTGATGTAGAAAAATAGTTCTACATCCGGCTGATGTAGAAAAATAGTTCTACATTCGGTTGATGTAGAAAAATTGTTCTACATTCGGCTGATGTAGAAAAATAGTTCTACATTCGGCTGATGTAGAAAAATAGTTCTACATTCGGCTCTTGTTGAAAAAAAGAACAAAATTTTAATACAAAAACAGAAATATTTTTGTCTTTTTTATCGATGATTGTACAGAGCGGAATTTTCAGAACCTGTTGGAACAGGCTATGAATCTGTTATGTAAACTTCTCTAGAGGATCATTAAAAACATCCTTCTTTTCAAACCTTTTACTTTGTTGTTTTTATAAGATTTTCAGCAATTTTGAGAAGTTGCACAAATCAAAATAAATAATTAATTATTTGATAGCAAGTATTAACTCCTTTCAATTTATAGAAACATATTTTTATCTAGTTTTGCGATCAGATCATCGGAGGATGAAAATTCGTCATCTACGTAACACTGAAAGAGAAAGGGGGTCAAATAAAATCTGATATGATCTCTTATCGCGACTTGAGTATTTCATCATCGGAGGAAGGAGTGGAAGAACGTGATCCCATCAGGCGCACGCGGTGATCCGACTCTCGGCAGTGAATGAGCGAGCGAGAGCAATCGCCTGCAATTTCGAAAAGCCGTCAACCCGCTCGTCAGCCGCGCAGCGCCGGTGGCATAATCACACAAATACGTACGCTTCCATCTTCCATGTTTGACGAGCGCCTTCCGCGGTGTGTGGGGGTGCGCCGGCGCCGCCCGAGGGCGCGCTGCCTGCCTCGTCCCTCGACGGCACCAAAACGCGCTCTCAGTCTCACCTCAGTTTGAATGGACGGCATGGCAGAGACGTCGTGCTCCTCGAGCTCGCACACCACGGCATCGACACCGCTCAGCAGGTGTCGACGCTCCACCTCAGACCTGACCGACCTGATGGAGGAGCCACCATCCTCCCCAGGACCCCACGTTGGTCGATCCCAGTCATCGTCTCGCCGACAGAGCATCAGCAGGCCGCGCTCACCCTCCGTGGCCGGCACGTCAGGATCGCGGTCGGGCCTTGCTTACCTGGCCTCGCGCCGCAGCAGCCGCGATTCGCAGGCGTCCGAGGAACTCGGCCCGCTAGCCTTCAACAGGTACCGACAACGCAGGACCTCAAATTTCCTAGAGTTGCCAGGTGCGTTGCTCTGCATGTTTCTGATCAAATGAGATTATAAAACCATGCAATTTTTTGTATACAATGCTTTAAATGATTTGCTATTTTTGTTATCGTTTCAAGCTTATTAAGCTTATTTTTTAATTTTCATTTTATTTTGCACAATTTTCATTCCCAGTTTAATGTTTAACTAATTATTCATAACTTATTTATTATATCAAATTTTTTTTTTGTTTTTATTTATTTAACTATAAAACTAAAAGGTTTTACTTTCTTAAGACAATCAACCTCTTAAAATTAATTTTTGTTAAAAACAAAGAAAAAAAGAAATAATATGAGTTTGCTTTATTCTGGTAAGTAAAAATCCTTTTGTTTTGCTGCTCCTTTTCTTTCACAATCGTCTCTCATATTTTCTCCTCTTCATTTTCCGCAGTCCATTTTTACTGAATTCCCCTCGTCAACGTTTTTCGTTCTCCTCGTCCATATACTTAAGAGCTGGGGGCGGACTGGGGTCGGGGAGGAGCGCGGGTCGATGCACCTGTTGCCTGACGCCGCTCGCTCACTCTCTCGTGTACCGCACCATGAAATCTGCCAGCATGCAGGAAACAAAGAGAGGAGATTTCTCCTGTCACATTATTGAGTGATGAATCTCGTTACCCGATGATGGAAAGGAAAAGCGAGCGCCACTCTTCGCTCAAGCAGCGGGCCACGTGTGCGCGCTCTCAATTTATTGTCTCTCTCTAAAAAGAAGGAGGAGGGAGCGTCGCCGAATTGTAAGCTGGAAGAACAGCAATTTTCCAATTTCCCTCCAGCTTAAGCTCATTTTCCATTTCATTTGCTTGCGAGTAAAGGCCCTTGATAAAATCTGACGCTCTCCGTCGCCCAAGCAAAACAATGGAGGAAAGAATAATGCCATCTCCCATGAGTTCGACCTGCATTCTTCGCCGCCGCCGAGCCAAAGCCCCCGTTAATTGATTTTCCCAGCGCTCTTCTTATTTCCCGGAAGAGTGATCAAAATATTTCCAGAGAGTTACTTGATTAAAACTCAAAATGTTCCTGATCAATAGAGCGAAAAGTAGCTGTTGCCAGGCAAAGGAAAAAACTGACACTCTCTCTCGCGATACAGAAAAATCGCAGCTGCAATCAGCTCTTCATTGTCTCGCAGCGGTGTTGATAAATGTAGAGGTAACCTTATCAGCTCCTACATTCACAAATTAGGCGCAGTATAGTGCCTAGATTTTTCCTGTTCGTGTTGTATTTTTCATTGTCAAACCTGAGATAATCAAATTTTTTGTTCTAAAAATGATTTCTTTCATTTCTTTTAATTTCTGAGTTATAACGATTAATAAAAAGGTGAAAATTTTACGTTGTCGATTTTATACCCCTTCATAATTTTTTTTTCCATTTTTGGACGTGTTAAATTTGGTCTGTTAAGTTTTGTATTATTGTTTATCACTTTAAAGGAATTAGCATTTTTTCTGCATTTTCGTCAAAACGAGATATCAGAAAAAATTCGGTCCTATTGCTACAGTTTAAAGCATTTTTTTTTCAGTTGCAGTTTTTTTTATTCGGTTAAACGTAGGCTCAAATCATTTTTGCCCTTTCCGATAGAATTAAACCTTTTGAATTTTTAATCTTTTAATTTTATCTGCAATCATCAATTTTTTACTTGAAAACGGTCTTTTCTACGAAGTTTTGGCAAAATATATTGTTCAAATATTAGTCTTTTTAACCAAAAATAACTTATTATTCTCAAAGTTCTCAAGTTTTAAAGGAGGCCATGAATAACAAAAAGTTACAAAAATAACTTCTGCAAACCTTCCCATCTTTCTTCGTGAGAAATGTTGTTTTTTTCTAGTAAAAAAATCCAAAATTTAATTAACTTTGGATTTTTTAACTAAAATAATAATTAATTATTGAAAAAAATTTATGTTCATTGATTAAAATTGAGTTATTGAAATTGTATGCATCAATTTAAGCAACTCTTTGCATGAAGCAAACTAATTTTTGTGCGTTGTATTGGTTAATCTTCCTTTTGGGGTCATTGCATGTCAAGAGAGACACTGATTTTAATTTAGGCGCGCAAAATGACAGGCGCACTTCCTCGCGGAATATTAACTATTCTGCCGAAAGCTCTGTCGGGCGGCCTCACTCACGTACGGCGCGTTTGCATTTTTTTTCTGCACAAGGCAAGCCGCCGCCAAGCAATAATAATAATCCCCCTCGTTCGAAAATGTACTGCGACGACGAAATAACAGGGAAAAAAGAAGCAGAGAGAGAGAGAGAGAGCCGGTCGCAAAACTCGCACACACAAGCAGTGGTGTTGTTTTTTGCCCTAAGTGAGTCGCAAATTGATTTTTTGTTTAAGTGAGTGCGACGGCGGCGGTCGCGCTGACGTGTGTCTGCACACATAACGTGTCCGTCGCTCGGATGGATGGACGGGCACTCTTTGCGCCAGCTTTGTTTGACTGGTCTCCGACCTGCCGAAATTAGAGACTGGCTGTTGGTTGGGCGGCAACGCACTCGATTGATTTCATGCAACACTAATTGACTCGCCGCACTCTCTGCCGAATGATGGCCTTTTTGTTGTGGCCTCTCTCTTTGTGTTGTCGGCGGAAATATCTCGGCGCGCTGTTTGCTCAGGGTGTGTTTTTCAGGCTGACCCCTGCTCCTCTCCCTCTTCATTCGAATATAATTCATATTGAACGTAACACTAGTGCCGCCGTCGCCGTGGAGATGGAAATCTAATCCACCAGCTCGACTGCACCTTCCAGCTTCCAGAGCTCGCTCAGATTTCATTGCTGGAAATGAGAAAATGAGCCCACGCAACAAAAAAAAAACATAACATTGGCTTTCCACCCTCCAGAACATAGGGTGGATAGGGTGACATGCCATTTCTCGCATGACACGTATAATTGCGCTTTCGTAATTATTTTCCGCGCCCATTCTTATTTCCTCGTATGTGTGCCTAATTTAGAGCAACTGATGATGGTTTGATTTCATTATGTGGTTACTTTGTAATACATTTTTTTTTCACAATAACTAATGAGCTTCTTGTTTCGTTCGCAGTGCCAGACCACGTACGGCCACGCGTGTGCAGTTTGCCAGAGAAACCGTACAACCCTCGCTCAGGGGATGACATTTATCGACTGCGGACCTTCAGCATCACCAACAAGGGGGTAGTCAACTGCGGCGACTCGTTCATATCACGCAGATCCAAATCAAACACCAGCGTCAATTCTGCATCGAGCAGGTAAGGATTCCACTTAAAAGGACGTACTTTACTCTGATTATTAGTTTTCATTCATTGATTTTACATAGGATTTTGTGATCTCGGAATTATTTTTATTATTAATAATTTATCTATTCATGTTTGTAAATGAAGTACATTTTAATTATTTTTTTATAAGATTTTTATTGCGTTTTGCTCCTTTGCATCATAATTGTAAGAAATCATTTTTTGCAATTGAGTACGTATGGAATTGTTATGACACTTAAACTTATTATAAATAATTTTGCCACATTTTATGGTCTCTAATTTTGGTAATGTTTCTCCTAATTTGAATTTATATTTTGTTGTAGGAGTTTAAAAATATGCAAATCCTCAACACACAGATTCCACTTAATTTCATATTTTCCTTACGATATTGCACTTTACTTGATAAAAAGGTTAATTCAAAATGCTCCTCTTTTACTGGAAAAACTTGGACATTCCATTTCTTTCATAGAAAGTAAATTAATTTTTCTCATTTGGAGGTAATATTACTAGACTGTTTTTTTTTTACATTGATTTTTACTACATAAATTTAATAATGCGCACCGAAAGGCACAGAATATTATGAAAGTTAGATTGCATCTCGCTACGAGATTTGCAGCCTGGAGCGAAGAAAGATATCCGCTTGCACAATAAATACATCTATCGCATATGGACTCTGAGAGAAAATGCATATTATACGTCATGGCAGAATTGCGAGCAGCGCTAGGATAAAAGGCTAAAGAGCTCTCGGCAGAAAAGGTGAATTGAATTCGAAAGCAGATTTTTTTTCCTTTCATGCATTGCAGAAAGGCGCTGGAGGTGCACACGTGCCAACGCCGTGCGTTTCGGGGTGGTTTGGGGGAGGAAGATGTGTTTGCCGGCAGGCGGCACATTTGGCAAATGTGCACCTGCTGATGGAAAGACCTACTGCTTTTTTAGTTGCTAATCAAAATCAGTGCGATGTTTATCCCGTGCTCTGTGTTGGTTTCCATGGCAACGTGGCGAGCGGCTTTCAAATCTCCAGCAGCTATTCCGCCCGCTCTCTCTACGTAATGACGGCCGAATGATGAAATTTGCCGTGCCTTATTAAATTCCATCTACCTTGAGCAAATACACACGGTAATAATTATCGTGAGCGGTTCCACTGTGCAGCTTCCACCGAATTCACAGCGGCGAGAGACGAGGGATTTCAGGCCAATTATATCTGCGGAAGTTTGCTCACGCCGGTTTCATTGTTCCTCAAAGCACAGCCTAATGTGTGCAGATGAAGAATTATTAAACTGTGACAACCGTTGCGGATGGACTGCTAAGTCTGTCTGAGTGTTCCGTAGCGCCAAGTATTGATTGATGAGAGTGGAATTATTTGATGTATCAGAGAGCGGAGCGCCCAGGAAATTGCCCTGAATGCTTTTCGTATATGTGAGTGTGCCGCTATGTGTGTGTGTGTGTGTGTTGGGCGGTGAAAGGGATGCATACATTTAAACGCATGAACAGCGGCTAGGCTGAACTGAAGCCTGTGTGCTAACATTGATTTCCTATATAGCAGAGGAATCAACTGGCGAGCCAAACAAGAAGTGAAAAACCGCCAATAAACAATTTAACTCACAAGTCTGATAAAAGCCACTGCAAATAGCCATTTCCAATAATAACACCCCTGGCGATAGCACAATTTTATAGTAAAACACAACATTTACTAAATATTATATACATTTTTCGACGCGTTTTAGGTTTAAATATTTTGCATTTAATTTACACTTATTCGAGTGCATTATTTTTGTTTGTTGAATTGACACTGGGTTATTCCTTGGTGGATTTTATGAGATTTTATTCTGAATTTCTGCTGGTTTTCAATAGCTACAACAATATCCTGCTCTACATGTTTTGAGAAAATTAATCCAAAATTAATTTTTATTTTATTTTTAATTTTAAGCAAAATTCAATCTTGGAATTTTTGACATTAAATTAAAGAAAAGTTTACTTCAGTTTACGTGAAAAATAGTTTTTCTGTAACTAAACAGCAAAACAGTAACGGAAAAGCGCAATTAAGTCTCATAATTAATTTACAAAATAGCACCTCAATTGTACACGTTTTCAACGAAATTAATTTTGTTTGTTGCAAAGTTGAGCTAATAAGTCCAAAAATTAAAATGATAAGAAATGAGAAGCTTTACTTTGGTTTTAAATATAGCAATATCTTGCCGAAATACTCTTTTACTTAATTTACTTTTTTCCCGCAACGCTCTTTGTAGATTTCCAATAACAAAACTTTAAAATTTAAAAATATTTTCCTAATTTTATGTTCATATTCAAAAGTTGAGTCAGACATATACAAATGATAGTGTAACTCCAATATATTTTCTTCCCTAAAAAGGCCTTAATGGCAAAGTTCAAGCCTCTTTTTTATGAATATTTTAGCGTTGTGGTATTTGCAAGGCGCGGCCTGGTTATCTGTTTGGTGCGTCGGGCCTCACTTGCCAAGCAAAACTTATCGCCTCCTCATGCCCAACTAACCTCAAACCGTTCTCGAGCGATCGGAAGAGAAGCCTCTTAAATTTCCAATAATCACTATTTCCTGGTAATCACTGGAGCACACACACACGAACGTGGTGGCTTTAAACGGCGCTGTCCGAGGAAGAGCAAAGCGATTAGTTCCTTGTCGGCTCAAACAAAGGCTCATTTTGAGCGTTTATCATTTACTCGCAGCTCGTGTGCGCACATCAGATGGACGGGAAATAATGAATATGCGCCCGTCTCTCACTGACAGTCCTCTGTCGAGAGGATTACAAGCAGCAGTGACAACTTCATCCGCCAATTATTGCTGGCTGCCAGGATTGACACACGTGCACACAAATGATGTACCGATAGGTATACCATTTGTACCTGCTGTCATTGCAGGGAAAATGCACAGAATAAAGAGCCGATGTATCCGGGCAGGTCGTCTCGAGAAAAAAGAACGCGCTGACGAATTATTTCTTTTGCCAGGGAGCTGAGCAGGATATAAATCGTGTTATTGTATCCTTAAGCCCGGAGCCAAGATCAATGATGAAGCCGTTGAAGATTTACGCCAGCAGCTATACACACGCCTCGCCATACAGAGCAGCGCAGGAGATGGGCACAGTGCACTTTTCAGCAGATATACCTCGTCAGCCATAAAGTCTGCGCTTGCATAGGGGAGAAACTGCATGCGGGCGCGTTATGATAATATAAAAAATTTTGCCTTTTGACGATAAGGTTCAGTGAGAGGATCTAGGAAACTGTTGGAGAAAATTCATGCTTCATAGTTTTATTTATTAAAAACACGGGGAGCGCCAAAAAATATGTATTTATAATTTCGATTAAACGTAATTTTTTAATTTCCCTACGATAAATACCAATAAATAATAATTATACAATACAATACTAGAACATATGTACATTTTGCTCAACATATACTAATTATACTATCTTCCCAGACCTGCCTCTATTAATTATTTTTATTTATTTACAAAATAGAGTGAATACTAAATTTTATTATTTTAAAGTTTTAAATTTGGTTTGCTTTTCACGCACGTACAGGCACTTCATTATTCTGACTTCCTCAAGCGTTGATTTTGACGATGTATACTTAATGTATGGTTGATGGATGGGTAATGCCTGCGGCGCTTTCTAACTTATGCAGAGTCGTGACAAGTCATCGTTCTTTGCTTTCATTATTTGATGAAGAGATTCAGTACGGAAACATGTCAGTCAAACACTGTCTTGTGCTGACTGAGAGCTACTTTTCTCTAACTTTGTAATTAAGTTGAAACGTCTTTATTTAATTATGACGGTCAATTGAAAGTAACTTTTCAATCCCACTATTTACTTTTAAATTAAATTTTGCTCTTGGCAGCAGTGGCGAAACTCCTTTGTGGAAATGTGGACGTTTCCACGGGCCCACAGCCCAAAAGGGGCCCATTCAGGCCTGATTTAGGCAACTCGTAAAACATAAGTGTAAAGGCGTTGCCTACTTTACAGGGGCGTCCACGGGCCCACAAAGGTCAAGTTTCGCCTTAAATCTTTGCCCAAAAAACGTGCAATTTTAACTGTTAATATGTGTTCATTTAAAAAGAAAACGATAATTAATTATCAATTGATGGATTAAATTTTTCAAAATTATTTGTGGAACAAAAGAAAATAAACAAGTCATTTTGTTTTTAAAAAAATCGCTTTCACTCTCTTTTGCACTTAATTTATGAAATAAGCTGTTAAAAAATTCTCAAGCAACCCAAAAAATGATAATAATTATTGTTATTTTATAAATTTATATAATTTTTGGGCAGTATATATGGTATATATGTTTTTTTTTAATTCCAAATTTAGTAACACTACGTGAGATCGTGGAGGTGTCAGCCCTCGTAAATATTGTGTTCATCTTTATTTCCTTTTCTTCCTTTTTTTATTTATTTTATTACAAAGCTCATATTGCCAATTGTACATAATAAAATTGTTTTGTGATCTTTTTTACGACCATATAGCTCTTTTTGGCTCACAGTTGTTAAGGCCATTGCGTTGCTCTTTGGCATTTTGCCGTTTTTATTCCTCTGGGGATGCCGTTAGATTTTAGAGGTAATATATCGAAGGCCCGACCAAACTGAGTGTCAAACTGCCATGTACCTGCGCGGCCGCACTCTTAAATTGAGACACACGCCGGCCGTAAATCCCAGGACCGCTTGCTTGACAGCGTGGATTTTTCCTATATGTGTTGCACCCGTAAAGTATGTGAAATATTTAGGTCAGAAAACGAACACGTTCTCGCGACGACAGGGGTGAAAATTCACTACTCAATCGATAATTACTCAATGAGCTCCTTTTTTGTTGACGGCAGGTACAAAAGAGGGCTCAGCCATTATGTCAATGAGGGGGCGTAAAAGTTCTTGGCCTCTTGCCAACTGCGACTTAAGGGCAGAAAACGCGAAGGAAGAAGGCGAGCGTGAGTGGGCCGCGCCTGCCTAGTTTTTTGGTGTGGCAAATTGCGAGAAAAAAGTGTGGCGGAACAATCGGCGCGCGTCGAGGAAAATCATCGTGCAGGGCGAAGGGAGATTTTCCTTCTCTCGCATAGCAAACAACAAGGAATATACATATATTATGCGCGCGTATCAACTGAGCCTAGAGGGTGTTCTCTGTGTCTGGGGAGATTTTTGGGAATGATTTTTTCACCAGCAGATTCCTGAGTGTGCATCCGGAATTTTTTTATCCCACTAAGAAAAATTTAATTTTTTTATTTGTAAATTCTTCAGCTATAGTCATAAACATTTTAACTTTACTTTTTTTAATTTAAAAACTTTTTTTTAATTATAAAAAAGGTAGCTGGCTGATTTTATCAAAAAAGTTTTAGGAGCTTTATTAGTAACATAATTTAAGGGAAAGAACATTTTTGAAAGAATATTTACAATTAGTTGTCATTTATTCTACATGGGAATTTTTACTTTACATTCTTAATTCTCAAGTTTTCAAGTGGTTTCGAAAATTGAAAGCTAGCGTTACACTGCACTATGTATTAATCTTTCATCCAAATAGGCGGAATTGTTTAGTAAATAGTCGCTGAGAGCTGCGAGTTAAAAATAGCCCCTAGGAAGAGACGAGTCGTTGAATCACGCAGGTTGCTGGAGTGCTGCTGCTTGTTACCTAGAAACGAAATTAGCAAAAGAGGAGCCCTGGAATTATGAGCTCGGCGTTTTTAGCATGGCTTGGAGCTTTTCCTCTAATTTGCATTTCATTATAAACATAAAATACGTGAGAGGCACGTGATGAGTAAAAAAAAGATAATGAAGAGTTATTATTTTTTTAATTTGAATATCAAAATAGAAATTAATAACTATGCAAATAATTTGAAATGACGTTTTCCAAATAGACAATCATGCAAATTCAAGCTTATCCCTTGAAATTGTTTCTAATTGTGGTAAATTTTGAAGGCAAAATAGAAGTAATATTTCCAAATTGAAATAAAAGGACTAAAGATCGTTTTTAACATAATTATAATAAACAAGCATTATGCAATATTTATTTCAATTTAAAATTTGTAAACTGTTCCGTTTTCTTTTTACTCACCTTACAGACCGTTAAAAATAAATAATAAAAAATAGTAATTCCACTGAAAAAAATTAAGTTAAAAATTATTCTTTTCGTCGTCATTATTTTTTAAAACCTACGCCCGGTTCAAAGAGTTTTATTATTTATTTATTTTGACCGTAGGCGATTCTTTTCTGTTCAGGATCGTTATATTTTGAATAATAAATTCTTGAATACTCTCTGAAAAAAAAAATAAATAAAAAAAAAACAGAAGACCCGTAGACACGTTTTACCGTTGAGAGTGATCTCGTGTAACACTGACAACTTGAAGGGAAGTCAGCAGAAAGTACAGAGGAAGAAATTTAAGCGCACTCTCCTTGCTCTCTGAAGCATCGCAGAATCTTTTGCATAAATCATAGGCACGCGTGCTCGCGAAGAATTTTGCCAAAATGACCAAGCGCGAGGACAAGGGCTGCAAAAGGTCGGGGTTCACGGGCTGATGGCATCACGTAAAGTGGTCTTTCTTGTAAATGTACAATCAATAGCCGGGCAGGAGGTGCATTAAGGCTAGCTTTTCTCTATTCCTCAAAACCACCCTCTGCGCCGCGCGTCCAGCGGACGCCGGCGGGCAGGAAATGTGAATGCCGCCGTCGAAGAGCTTTAGACCACCCTCTTTCGTATTTACAGTCCACGTCGTTTTTATCAAAACCTTTTCTCTTGTCAAGCGTGTATTGTGAATTCACTCAACCAGAGGTGTGTGGTTTGGTTACGCTTTTTTAAAGAGACCCGAGAGTCATTTCAATATAATCAAATTAAAAGAGTGGTTTTTTCAAACATTTTCTCTCATTGAAAATAAAACTAGTACAAATTTTACCTGATTTATTGAAATTATATTTTGTATGATTGAATAGCTCATTGAAAAATTCAAACGCTTTATTTGAGATTAAATTGAGGACTCAAAAGTTATATAGCTAGTAATTTTTTTCCTCAACTTTTTTCATATTGTTTGCAGCTTTAGATAACCAATAAATGAATTCATGAGGAAATATTATAATTATCTTTTGAATAGGATGCTTTTTATCATGTCATGAGTCATGAGTCATGACTAATTAAAAATTAAGACGTATAAAACGTACGGGAATATTAGATTATTTATTATTTTATTAAAATATAACATTGGCTTTTGCAGACACAGCAATGCGAGTGGCGTGAGTCCTGGAGAGCGGTCGCCCTTTGAGGGATCGTGCTGCGGATCAAGCTATGTCAGCTCCGAGGCAAGTGGGGCCGACGTAACTAAGCACCGCGTGGTGCTGCTGGGCGACGCAGGTGTCGGCAAGACGGCCCTCGTGTCGCAGTTCATGACCTCCGAGTACATGAACACTTACGACGCCTCCCTAGGTGAGTCAAAAGGTCAGAAACGCATTCATAATTAAATTTGTCAGAGAAGACCCTCGCATGAGCACATCGCATAATTCTAGCTGGCAGCTCCCGCTTTTAGTAGCAGCACCTGCACAATTTCTTTATAATGTAGAAATCCCTGAAGCGGAAGCAGGAATCAGCTCATTTGGGCGTAATAAACAGGGTAAAGCTCTCGCCATTTTTGTATGGTGCTCTTCAAGATAAGAATTTGCATATTTATTATTTATATATTCATGCTGCCGCAGGAGACAAAGGTAAAACTTAGTTCTGAAGCAACAAATATGGAAACCTCTTCTTCTTCACATTTTTGTTTGTTGATTTATCTTGCATTAAATATTCGAAATGAAATCAATGTTAAATTCAACGCAATTGAAATTTTAATCTTTCATTTCCGGTTCCGGAGAGATTTTCTTTTTGATAATATAACTATCATAATTTCTGGATTATAGTTAAATTGGTGCTAATTTGGATTTTTGAATTTAAAATTATAAAAATTTGCTCCGCGGTCATACTTTAAGACCATTCAAATAGAAATGAAAGCAATGCTTGATGGAAATGAGGCGAACATGCGCCATCCCCCTAAGTCAATCGTTGAAGAGCTTTGAGTTTGAAAGTCAAACAGAAATTTTTGTCTAATGAGAAATATTGGCCGGTGGAATTGAAGAGCACGTCAAACACTTGCAGAAATAATGGCCTGCAGCAAAGTTAGGGTTATTTCCTTTGGAACGACTTAACAGCTTAGTTACTTGACTCAACAATAACCTTCGATTTTTTAACATTTGCTGCGGTTTTTAGATCTTTTGTAAATTTACAAAATTTCAGTTACGTTGAAAATTTATTAAATTTTTTCTTTATGCAAATTTAATGATATTTAAAAATTTATAATTGCTACTTCACATTGGCTTGTATAAAGAGAAATTATTAGCTTAATTTATTTTTCATTTCCAACATTTTTAGGAACGTTGCTCTTCCGAATTATAATCACATTGAGGGTCAGTCTGGTGAGCATTACGCTACGAAGCGCTTTTCAACTTTGCTCGGAGGGACTTGGCTTCATATTTATGAATCTTTGCGGCGTAAAAAAATTGCTCAGCGATTTCCGCACAGAAAGATGGAAAAGTCAGTGACCCGTGCATCAAAGTGGCCCGTCTGTTTCTTGACCAGAAAAAGCCAGAATTCGTCCTCGCAACGTGGAAATTGTATAAGTGCAATGTTAGCATAGATATCTCTTATTCGTTTCTCTGGTTGTCAGGACGAATTAGTTTTTTTTTTTAAATCGTCTTCTAACAAAAGCTGACATCAATTGCGCACACGTTGTCGAAGGGAAAGAAAAAACTATTTTCAATTCATTAATTCATTGCTTTCAAAGTTCATTATATTCTCATTTGAATCTGAAAGCAAATCACTCATGCGACATTGCAGACTAGAGGGCAAATCCCTCTCTCCTCTTTGAACATGTAATGCCTCGTTAGTGGGCGGCGATGCATTATAACGCAGTTGCTACTGCTAGTTAGGATAAAGGACTTTGCCTAGTAGTGGTCAATCCATCTAACCGCCATCAACCTTCGTGGTATAAAATTAAGCCTTGCTTCAGTATATACATATGTGTACTGAACAACTTTTGTCCGAAGACAAAGCGCAAAACTCAAAAAGCAAGTAACCTTCTGGCGGCGGGGATTTACTACTTGGATGAATGCCCACCGTGGCGGCGAGTATGCGTTGGGAAATTAATTTGCTTTTGTGAAGTTTTGCTCGCCACAACTTTTCGATGAATGCTCTCTCTTGGGGGTTAAAAATATGAATTTGCGGGCTTTCATTTCTACATTATATTATGGAAGGCCCACTTTTATGATCCCATTAGTGATTTCACCATTTATTAAAAGATTTTTTATGCAAAAACTATTTTCTAACAATGTGAGAATAGCGTATTTCTTATGGCGCAATAAATTGCTTTCTAATTAATTTAAAAAAATAATTATTTAATTTGTTTTGCTCAATTAAATGTAAGTGGAAACTTTCCCGTAAATTTATCCATTAAATGAAATGAATTAATTGATAGAGGAACTTGAGGTTGTAAAGTAAAACCGTCAAAAAGAAACTTTACGCTCAACCAAATTCTCTGTTAAAACTCTGGTACAACTATATAGCACTTATGGAGCTTCACCACATGCGAAAAGTTCACTTTAGGAACAAAAGTTGTGGAAATGCGTGTTCAGACTAAAAGAGTCTTCAGCAAACTAATTAGGAAACACGTCCTTGCTTTTACCCACCACAAAAGTTACAGTTAATTATTACGGAAACCAGATACTCATTTAATTAAGTAAGAGAATTTTTTGTTTTTTGCAGATGACGAGTTTGGCGAGAAATCGGTGTCTGTTCTTCTGGACACGGAGGAGTCTGAAATCATATTTATCGATCACCCGAGCAGTGAGATGTCGGTAAGTGTGTTTTTGCCTTATATACAACAAAGTGCGGCGCACCTAGAAGAACAGCGGTGCATGCGATCGCAAAATTATTAGTCAGCAGAGCGACAACACCATTAATCATGCTCGCAAATTGTCTTGCGCGTTGAGCCGCTCTTAATTTGCACCGTTCTCGCGATGGGGGCACTTGAAAGAGATGAATTACCCCGCGAGAAGGGAATTATTTACGCGCCGTGGAGACCGAGCAGAGAATGCATAATTATAGGGCTTCTTTAATCACTGCAATTTCAGAGAGTGCTGCGTTTCTCGTTTGGGGTGGTTTTTGGTTAGAATTGGGCTGCTTGCGGTTGTTTCTGATACCATCTCTGCTGAGGGTTGATCTCGAGAAGTTGCACCGTCACATCAAGTGCTGCTCACTCTATATCCTTTTAACAATGAAAATTTTCGCTGACGCTAACGCTTTTGCTTGGGCGCGCTGCTCGCAATGGCGATGCTAGTTTTGTAGGGGCGCCAATAATAATTTGATATCTCGCGCGTCAATCTTCCCTCCTATGGCTCCTTTTCTCCCGACAGAAAAGAGTAATGATTTCCTTTCCACGAAACGCAATTCAAAAAGATGTTTGGTCGCTACGTCTTTTCATATCACGTGATTAGCTGCCTAAAGGGTATTGTGTTCGACGAGGCTGCTAGAACGTCGCAAAATAAAATAAATAATCACCACTCAAATAAGCGATCGATTGGCCCATGTTTGACTCGTTATTTGTAAAGTTATTTCTCTAAATATTCTCGCGTTTATTTATTGCCTTCCTTTCTGACGACATTGATCTCCTCGTACATTTATCAAGTTTGGTCGATTTATTGGAAAAGAGAAAACAGACTAAAATTCTTTCTGAACGAACTATAGCGGAGAATTGTAGTTATATTTGTTAATATTTTTGTATACAAAGTGATGATTATTGTTTTCAAATATATTGCTTTAATATTGATGTCCAATTTTACACTAACAATTTCACTTTTTGTCATGGCGAAAAAGCCTTGATCAAAAAAACAAATTTAGTTCGCGATGAAATCTTCTGCCGTAGCAAGGCTTTACAATTAGTTACACCTTTAAATGAGAAAATTACATTAAATTGGAGTCCTGGAAGGTTTAATGATGACACAATTTTTTATTTCCATATATTCAGCAGTAATTAAAAATTTTCTCGGAAACAAAATTCATTTAGCACAGTCAGAAAATATCTTCTTGCATTCAAAACTCGCAGATCATGTGCAAGAATCCAATTACTTCCAATCTCAAGACGCAAATGTCTACAGAGCAAAAGTTTGCAGACCACTCTTTCAAGCCCGCCGTCGGATCAATGATTCTCGGCTTGAAAATTCCGAGTCTGATACTCTGAAGTGCATGCACCCTTTACAAAGCATCAAACAAGTCGAGCGCTACCTTTGAAGTGTTTGATTTTCTGGCGCCCGCCACCACCACACGCCCGAAAAATAATTAAAACTTGTTTTCCTTTCAATTTTGGATGCGCCCTTTCTCTTTAAAAGCCTCCTAACAACCGCGAGGGGGAGTCGTCGACTACTACTCGCAGGCGCAAAGTTCCTGTGGCCTCAATTTGCCTTTGTTTGAAACACACCGAGTGTTTGCGCCTTTTTCTTTTCCTAAACGGATGCAGTTTGTGTGAGTCGATGGCAAAGAGAAAGGGCATGCAGCTGCTGCGATAGAGTCCTTCCTGCATGCAAGATGTGTGCCTCTTTTGTTCAAAACGACATTGCACATATATGCAGGATTAGTATGTATGGCTGTCTTTATGTGCATTACAGCAACGATAAACTTAGTTGTGCATTTGCATCTATGTCACAATCAAATTACTCGTGCGTCTTTCACTCAAGCATTTATATTCATATAGTGTGGGCAAATATTAAGCTCGTTATCTTTGAATATTAAGTTTGAAACAAAATGTACTTTGACCCAAATTAAAGAGAAAACGTTAACAAAATGTTACCAAGATAAATGTCTTCCAATTTCTTGAATTAAAACTCATCAATCTGTTCAAATAATACAGCAACAGCAATTTTTCTTTTGTTAAATTGACGTCGTAATAAAACATCTTTTTAATGAGATCCACGCACTTAACTTCACAACAAAGCCTGGTTTCCTCTTTTATTATTATTATTCACGTCAAGATTGCAATCTCGTGAAACTGCGACGTCAAGCAAAAGTACAAAAGAATTGCGAGCGTGTCATTTGCATGCATAATTTTCCCACTCTACTCATTGTTGTTTGACACTAACTAATGACGTTCCTCTTTTGCTTGACTGTCGCGCTTCATTTGCATTTTCAGGTCACTTTTCCTCCTCCCCCTTAATTTAATTTGCCCCTATTTTTCACACGCAATTTTTACCGCAACACGTGACGTAACAGAGAAAAGCACTAAAACAACTGTAGAAAAATGTACGCCTTGACATCTCTCATAAAGTGAAATTTAACCATTTTTATCTCGCATCTTTTCAATACAATTTTATAAAACTATGCAATGTGCTCATCACGCGTGTCGAGCAGGTTGCCTGTATTCGATAAAATCGGCAGTAGTGTCGGCAGCAATAATTTTCTTACGTTTCTGGGAATTTCCTTTTTGGCAATTTTTTATTTTAGGTTGAGAAAATCAGAATAATTAGTTTGTGCTACTTTTTATAGTCTTGAGCGTTAAAAGCAAAATGCCGATGAAGTCTGTTCTATAAATACCCGTTACCAACAGCCATGTAATTTATTTTATTGATTTATTTAAAACCGATTTAGAAAAAGAGATGTTTCATATTTATGCGCCTCATTCCCGACGTAATTGGAGGACACGGCATTGAGAAGGAAAAGCGCTCCAGCTCGCAATGCGGCATCTCAAGTCCAATATAACAAGAGGGCCCACCACTTGAGATTGAGATTTATGCCGAGGAATAAATTGCGTCCGTAATGGTCAGCAGAGAGACCTGCCCGTATTTTTCGCCACAGCCTCTACTTGGTTTTATTTCTCGTCTTTGAACATATGGTCATATTTCAGGATGTGTGTGCGTCGGTGGCATAAACATTATTTACAGTCGCTGTTGTGCGCGCTTTTAGAGTGGCAGCCGTAAACTCGGATTTGCCGTTCCTAGCAGTAAAAAAGAAAAGCTTTTTAATTGGTCGGCCCGGCGCCACCACGCAATTTTTGTAATAATTTATTGCTTTTTTAGGTTTTTATGCATGTTTGAAATTTACGCATAATTAGAACAAGATAAGCAAAATCACAGTTTGTAAAAAATTGTAGCTACATGATCCAAGTTTTTTCGTCCTAGTACAAAAAAATTTCTGTCTCCCAGTGGGAGACAACTGGAAATATAGTCAATCAAGGTTTCCGAGCAGCACGCAGTCACTTGAGAATCGCTCTCCCCATTTCTTGCTGGCCATTATAGCGCGCGGAGGTGCTATTCAAGTTTTACGTGATGTTTGACCTCCAACCAACGAAACTTCTCCCATGATTTTTATTACGAGGGGTCGCGTTCGTTTTCTCCTCTAGAATTGTGTGTTTGTTGGCTACACACGTGCATTTGTCGGAACCACGCGAGTTGCTTGCGATTCGAACAAGGAAGACCTGCGGCTTTGCAGTCTTTGCGCACTGTGTGTTTTGTGCGCTGGTTCCCCTCCGCAGCGTGTAACAAGATTCTTAAATTATTCACCAAGCGTCAATAATTCATAGCAATCTTTACAATCTCGCTCGCTGCTTGAAAGCAATAAAGATTTCTAAAAGTCATAGACATAGAAAATCTTATAATTAATTTTGATTTAGTTTTGTGTAAGTTAAATAAATTATATGAATGTTGTCACAATTGTGAGAACACTTTGCAAAAAATATAAATTAGCACCATTGGAAAACAAATTATGTCTCAAAATATGTTAAATTTTAAAGGCAATCAAAATTAATAAGCCCCTCTTTTACCATTTGCAATTGTTATATTTTTTTTGTTTTTTTTTTAATGAAAAAATTGTTTTAAAATGTTTGGTAATTTTTTCACAGGTCGAAAATTCATTGTCGACTTATGAACCTCACGCTTGCGTCGTGGTTTATTCCGTGACGGACAGGGCGTCGATCAAAGTTGCTGAAGATATTCTGCATTATTTGTGGAGGCAGAATTTCACTCAAGAAAAGTCTGTAATTCTGGTTGGCAACAAGGCTGATCTTGCTCGGGCTCGAGTTGTGCCTACGATAGGTGAGTTCAGTTTCAATTTAATCTTTAAAAAATATTTTTATTTTTGTTGCTTCTAAAACAATTTTTAAAGTTCTTACAATTTTATGTTCTTTTTAAGCTTAATATAATGCAGAATTTAAATTTTTAACACTACTTTCAGAGGGAAAATCGCTTGCAAGCTCACTGAATTGTAAATTCATCGAGACGTCGAGTGGTTTGCAGCACAACGTTGATGAGCTGCTGGTTGGCATATTGAAGCAAATTCGACTTAGAGAAAACCGCGACAAGAAGCAGAAGCAGCGCCAGGGTAGCACAAAAAGCACAGGGAGCAAAGGCAAGAAAAGCTTGTATGGCTCAAAAACCACACTTTCACTGAACATCGCACGTGAGATTCTGAATAAAATGTGTATCAATGATCCAAAGTCAAAGTCATGTGAGAATTTGCATGTTCTCTAAACAAACTGCTCTAAAAACGCAACAAATTACCTACGTCGTGAAAGATATTTCATTTCGCACTCTTTCAAAAAGACTTCATATATGTTATAGCGTAGAAAATAATTTTGATTCGGCTGAGGTATTTCCTTGTTTCAACTATGAGTTGCTTGTTTCCACTGATCTCTACCAGTTTTAACTATCCTGCTCATCATGAAAATAGAAACTTATACAACTAATATATTGCGTAGAAATTATATGAATATCCTCAAAGGAATTTATATCCTTTTGAATGATTAATGATCTCATGAATGGCCTTCTTTCAAGAAAAATTTTCAATGCCTCCTTCAAATTTTTAAAATCGGATCATTGATTTAAGAGTTAAAAATGTTCCATATCTGAATAAGTATCTTCATGCTGATGTGATGCTTACAGCAATTACTTGATTCTAAAAAAATCTGATGAAAAAAAGAAAACTGCTAACACAGCTGAATGCAAATCCAGAAATGAGATTTCATCAGCGAAGTAGGTTTCCAAACAGCCTAAAAGATGTTGCATATATGTGTGGGGAATTGATGTTAATATGTGCTAAAATAATGTTATCTCAAAATTATGAAGGCAGCAAAGATTGGCTTTTCATGGGCATTGATAAAACAGAAGATTGTAATATGTAAAATTGTCATTAAAAATTTATTTTGTCTCTTATATGTATATATAAAGGATGCAACTGCATCCAGTGTATTATTTAACATTGTCACAGTCAAAAATATTGTTGAAAGGCACAAACAATTATTCAGCTGCATTTTCTATTAAATTACATTTCTGTGCTACTTAAAAAGTAATTCAGTCTTCTTCCATGGATGGATTATTGTTATTTACATATTATATTTTGTATACACATTAAATTACAATCTACAGATGGCTTTGTTTGTATTTTCATAATACGAAAGGCTTGTAATATGAGAAATATATCAATGTCAATATTTAAAATTAGGCACAATAGGCATTTTTTAGACAGATAAAAATAATTCAAATTACCAATGTCAGTTTTTGTAAGTACTTTTTCTATCCTTGAACCAAGTGATAGCGGCCCTGTCAATAGACTTGTATGGTTTGTTTATATATGGCGTGTACTGTGATAATCCTAATACAGAGCATAGACAAATAAATAGAGTATTTGATGTCATATCATTTGTACAAAATTTTACAGCTGTGTTTCATGGTGGTCCCTAAAGCCATATCCACGATAGTTTTGGTAATATGGTCTACTTTTTACTGTTCTCACTGCAATGCCCTGAGGTTTTGGAGATTTCCTTTGCTCCAGATCGTCCACTTCATTATCATCAACTGAATCAACATCACCTGGAACAGAAAAAAATTGCTCAATCAGTGAAACAAATACTAAGTATCGTAATTGAAAATTGGGAAAAAAAACTTTTGAAAAATGACGGTGATCTTTACCATCGCTGGAGTTGTTAGAAGTGATGAAATGGTCGGACTTGATTATTTTCCTACTCCTCGTCCTTCTGTAATACTTGAATTCCCTTGGAAGAGTGTACGATCTTGGCAGTGAAATCTGACTGTCAATATCAGAAGGAATCCGGTAAGACTTGTAGAGAGACTTTTCTTGGCGCCTCTCTCCGGAGCTTTCGCAGTCGTCTTCCTCTTCCCAGTCCCTGTAGTCGAGGAAACGAGGCGCTAGCAGGATCTCTGGAGTCTGCGCCCGGTGCTGTTTGTGCGGTGGAGGTGGCGGAACCAAGTAGGGCCTCGAAGCAGGCCATGGCTGCTTCTTGGCTCTCGGAATGGGCTGGCTCAACGGCTGTTCATTGTTTGGTCTTTGCTGCAGCTTGCCTTGCTGGATTTCCTCTTCAATGACCCTCAACTCAGCCATTTGCTGCTGTTTCTTTTCCTGCAGCTTCTGTCTAATGTTGACACCCCGAGAACAAACAGACCCCTCGGTTTCGCTGGATATGCTGGGCAGAACAGCAGCTATGGGCCGTTTCCAGAACGGCGCCTGCTGCTGGGGTGGCCGCACAACTGACGAGGGCATTACGGGAACTGGCACAAAACTGGTCGGCTTCTTCTTTTTCCTCTTCATTGCTGGGTTGAAGCGACAGTTAAAAACACCACCGGGCACAGGAAGACCATTGTTGCAGTGTGGAGGCAACGCTGGTCTTTGTATTTGACCAAAGGCACTTTTCCTGTCACTGATGGTTTGGTTTGCTTGGGTGTAGCGAAGCCTCTTGACGTGGAAAAATTTGTAGTAGAGCAGCATGAAACAAATTCCTGGAAAGATTTAATTAGTACCATTTTCTAAGTTAAGCTCCAAGCTACTAACCAAAGACGAATGACAGGAAGATGAGAATGAGCACCATGTCTCTGTACCACAGGGTTAGTCCGTGCACTCCGATGAGCCACATGGACACGAGAAGGGCATTCTCGAGGAACATAACAATATAGAAAACAGCCATCTTTCGGCGCGGCTTGTTCTCTTGCAAATTGATGTAGCAAAAGACATAGACGAGGGCCACCAATGCGGACAACTGCACTTTGCGTGATCTGGAAATGTTTTCACCGTGGAATACACTTTTCGGGGAGATGAGCCAAAGGAACATGGTGAGCCAGTGCAGGATGATCACCAGGAGCACCCAATGGTGGTAGACGGTGGCGTAGACAGTAAGCGATGTAACTCTGGCAGTCACGGTGCCAAGGCGCCACAGAAATTGGAAGATGACACCCAGCCATGTCAATACCAGACGATGGACATTGTGGAGTCGGACGTTTTTGCTGAACGATGCTAACGCCCAACATACGGAGAAAAGGCTCAATGCAGTTGAGACCTGAAATTAAAATGAAAATTTATTTATTTTAATTTTTAGGCATTTTTGGTTAACAATTTTTGTTACGAATGAGAATAAAATAATTAATTAATTATGTAAGCAAAGCCTTCAACCCCTGCTTTAATATTAATTTTAAAGTACTTGTCAAGAACATTAAAATTAAAGATTTTTAACAATGATTACCTTATTAAGATCAGAAAATTCTTTTGGTGACACCATTTGCCAAAACAAGTAGAGTTGGATGAGAAGCATCGGAGCAGCTTCGCAAAAGGCGTGCATGAGTCGCAGCATGCACAGGTCTCTGACCTCATGCTTGATGTACCGCAAGTCAACAGGGATGAAAAGTTTAAAGTAGCGCCACAAAATGCCGCACTGCATCAGGTGCACGGTGACAAGGCTGGCCCTACTGCACTCCTTCTCCGGACGTTGCTGCGTGTTTTGCAGGTACCATCTAAGGGACATGCTTTGGCACAGCAGATTCGAGGCCAAGACAAAGGTGAGCGACAGAATGCACCAGGTGATGTGGCCCTGCTCGTACAGGGCGTAGACCATGACAGCGTCAAAGACCACATCGCAGAAGTAAGATGCTAGCGAGATGATGTTGAAGAGGACGTCGCACAATGGCAAAAACTCGTGCTGAGCCATCATCTGCAATTAAATTAAAAACCAATTAATTATTCATTATGATTTATGCAATAAAATATAATTTCTTTAACTCAAGGAAATAAAATTGTTTTATTAGTATTATTAACATTCATTGGCCTCAAATTTTTTATTAATTATTAAATGCAGTTTGGATTAATTTTAATTTATAATTTCTGCATAAAAATATTTCACCACACAAAGTAGGACAACAGGTGGTTTTGTTGTCAATATTCTTTCTGTCATTTTATTCTTCATTTTAGAAAATTTGGAATCTTAATTGTAATAATAACTTCAATAGCAGATGAGAAAATAAAAATAAATCCGCATAATTATTTCATCATTAATTGTTGTTGACTAACAAAAGAAAACTGAAATCTATAAACAAGGGTAACACATCCACAGGGTGATTTCCCGATCATTTCTAACCAAAATAATTCCTACAAGATGTGATTGGAAGGATTATCAAAGAGCTCAAGAGATTAAGGGCAATAAAAAGATTTTCCTTCAAAAGTGCACGTCAAGTTTGAGAATAGCAAAAATAATGCCGTTCTACAAAAATAATCTCCATCACACAAGATTCTCACCATTTCGGCTCCTCGATCCTCAAAGCTATCATGCGGAGCGATGCTTTGTAAATATTTGTCGTAAACTCGTCAAGTCGTCATATTTGCAATGTGGTGCGTGCCTCGACGGGTGTGTGAACCTGAAATTGCGGAGTCGTGCAGCATCTTCAGGTGGCTATCATTTACTTACACGACATCACCATCGCATCGCATTCCAAACTTCTCATTCTCATTATGATTATCACTGGAGGCTGCATTCCTGCATGTTTTTTCGCCTTTATGATCCAATACCAACCGAACGGATTAACTTTTTGGAATAATTACGCGACTTTTTAATATATTTACTGATAGGCTTTATGATTGCCATTTTCAGCACCAAACAGAATAAACTAATATATATTTAAAAATCTCCTAAAAATTATTGCAATTGTGCGTCCATGAAGACCGAAGCGTTCATGTCAAATTATTTCCATTAATGAACTGTAATTTAGTTTCTATTCTGATAGGTTGGCTTTATTTATCCACCGTCAACTCTGTTGGGTTGCCTGTTGGTATTGGTCAGGTTGGTACGTCTGTTATTCTGTCGTCTGTCGTCTTGTTTACAAATTTACCGCTTTTCGCATGTTTGACTTTGACTTGACGCTTCGTGAAGGTAAAATTAAATTTTAAGTAATATGTATTGTATCATATTTCGTTCGGGAATATGGGATTACTTCTATGTATTATACGTAAACTAACTTACAAAAATTAAACTTAAAAATGATATTCTTTGCTATAATACCTAGCTGGTCAACATCAATAGAAAGGGGAACAGACCTGTTTTCAACACCACACGTGTGCATCCATGACGATGTTTTCGCAAAGCCCTCTTGGAGGGACTTCATCTTTCGTGCAAAACACTCCGGCAAACACCACAAATCCCATGCGAGATTTTGAGGTCACATCGCCTCCTGATGATTCCATTTCTTCACTAGCCTTCAGCCCTCCGGCGCTGCAACAAAACTTTTTGATCGCTGGAAGCTGGGATAATAACGTAAGATTACATGCATTTCTTTTTTGCTAACGGCATCGTAATATAATTTTGATATGTAGGTCCGCTGCTGGGAAGTTGAGCAAACTGGGAAAACGATTCCTAAATCCATGCAGTCAATGCAAGGACCTGTGCTTGATGTGTGTTGGAGTGATGTAAGTGTTTATCAGTTTTGCTGCACCTGAAGTTTGAATTTTAATTATCATACACAATTTTCAGGATGGGACCAAAGTGTTCATGGCATCCTGCGACAAGCAAGTCAAATGTTGGGATTTGGCTAGCAATCAGACTGTCCAGGTGGCGCAGCACGATGCTCCGGTAAAAACATGCCACTGGGTGAAAGCACCTTCCTACACTTGCTTGATGACTGGATCGTGGGACAAAACGCTGAAGGTATTTTTTTTTTACATTTTCTTCCGACAAAGCTCTAAATATATTTCTATGCTCAAGTTTTGGGACACGAGGAGCCCAAACCCGATGCTTACAATTCAACTACCGGAGCGATGCTATTGTGCTGATGTTGTAAGTGTAATGAATAAAATTTAAATTGAGGATTAATTATTTGGTCAGGATTATCCTATGGCTGTCGTTGGAACAGCAGGGAGGGGACTGGTAGTCTACCAGCTCGAGAACCAGCCTCAAGAGTACAAGAGGATTGAGTCGCCTCTAAAATATCAGCACAGATGTGTTTCCATTTTTAAAGACAAGAAAAATTTGCCTGCTGGTTTGATTTTTTTTTCGCACGTTTGCAGCTGTAATGAAATAATTTTTACAGGGTTTGCACTTGGCAGTGTTGAAGGCCGAGTGGCGATTCAGTATGTTTCACCCCAAAATCCAAAAGACAACTTCACATTCAAGTGCCACAGATCTAATGGGACACCAGGAGGATTCCAGGATATCTATGCTGTTAGTTTTACTTTTTTATTAGAAAACTAAGCTAGCCAGACCCATGTAGTCAGCTGCCGCTGAAGTCGCACGGCTTGGCTAGCCTAGCCAGCGGCTGACTATTTTTAAATTATTTTTTTACCTGCCTTTTAAGAAGTAATTAGTTTTCATTTAAAAAATTTGATAATTATATAATAAATTATATTTTTTTATAATAAATAAATTCATTTAGATGAAAAAACATTTTTCATAAAAAAAATTTTGCCAGGCGCTACGAAAAATATCAAGCCGCCGCTGATTGGAAACTTGACGGCTCAGCCAAAGCCAGATGCCGCTTAAAAATTTTCTCTATTTTTTTATTTTATAAAACAAATGTTTTTTCTTTTTAGGTCAATGATATCGTTTTTCATCCCATTCACGGAACTCTTGCAACTGTTGGCTCTGATGGAAAATTCAGTTTTTGGGACAAAGACGCCAGGACCAAGCTAAAAACTTCTGAAGCCATGGAATCTCCCATTACTAGCTGCTGCTTCAGTTCTCATGGTCAAATTTTTGCTTATTCTGTCAGCTATGATTGGTCAAAGGTAATACATTAAATTAAAAAAAATCCTTAAAAATTATGCCAAATCTTTCTCAGGGACATGAGTTCTACAGCCCTATGAAGAAAAACTACATCTTCTTACGCTCCTGCTTTGAAGACTTGAAGCCACGCACCAAGACGTAAACTTGCATAATATATCAGTCACCAAAAAATAAACCTGCCATTGTTATGAAATTTTTCACAAATAAATTCTTGGCATTTGTCGTGGCATAAAAAATTTATCCAGGTTTAATTTTTTTTAAAGATAAGATTTAAAAGAAAATTATTTTGTTGGCTACGCAGACAAATGGTCACTCTGAAGTGGCGCCCCTACCGTCTATTGCCAACGGTTCTCTTTTGGCATGCTTGACATTTTTTGTATAATTCATACTAAAAGACGTTACTTGGCATGATCATATAATTATCATTTTCAAGCACTTAATTACACTTAATTAATTCACTTCTTTATTATTTCCAATTTTTTTCAAGTCCTACGCAATTCAAGGAAAACCTCTTAAAAGTTATAATTATTGTTACTTATATTTAACCATTCTGTGTGGCTGCACTAAAAAATAAAATAGGGGATATTTAATTTAAACAAAAATGTAGAAGTATGATATTTTATTTTTAGAGTCACGATATTTATGAGAGCAAAAATTGCAAATGAGCTTCCAAATTTTAATTCACCTGATAAAATATCACATGAAATTGTTTTGATTTACGTACTTAAACTCTTTAAATTTAAAATGTAAATATCTTTCTTCATTAAAATAAAATAAAAAATCAACAATTCAGGCAGAAAAACTGATATTAAAATAATATTTTAAGGAACTGGTAAACTGCATTTAGTTTTGAACATAAATACTAAACTTTTCGTTCTGGACTGCTTGCAGCAGTAGGCTCTGGTGGCCACGATTGTAGTCTGACATATCTACGCTTCCTGAAACGGTCGATTGCTTCTATCAAATTAATTCTTCTTTCAAAGAACGTGACAATTGGTGCTCCTAGAGAAGATTTACAGATAATTTAACTCGATTTTACTAAACTGAAAGAAAATAATTATACCTGTCAAGGCTGATGCTAAAAATTGGTCCAAGGTTATAGACCATTGAGGGGGACCATCCGTTTTCTTCCTTGTGTTGTTGTTTGGAGTTTTCTCATCTTCATCTGTGCTTGGAGACGCTTGCAGTGCCAATGCATAATTGCTGCCACTACTTTCACTGCTTTCCATGTTTACAGAAGAGTTTCCATTATCATCTTCCTCTCCCATAACTAAGTTGGGGGGCGCCTATAAGTTTTTATAGTAATGAGTGATTTTCAAGTTCAAAAGATAATTTTACTTTGTATCGAGGACTGGAGGGAGTTTCAGCCTTTAAGCTTGGTGTTTGCAAACTGTCAACAGAAGCTTGCCGAGAAACAAGAAATTTCTTATTAACATCTCCTAGCTGCAATAGTAGAGTTCCTAAACAAAATTTTATACTGAACATTAAGTGCCCAGGAAAAAAAATATGGTGACGTTTTATTACCGATGCTTGCAATGGAATGGTATGTTTCCTCATCTTCTGGTTCAGCATGGAACATGTCGTACAAGGTCTTCCACAGGGATATGAAGTAAGGCTGGGCCATGCAGGGAATGGCTTTGGAATGTAGCCTGCTTGAATTGCTTGGCAAAACCAGAGAGTGCAAACTAGATACACTCATTTTCCTCCATTGCGTTCCATCTTCATTTTTTAGTTTATATCACTAATTTAATTCACAACTTGTATCTATTAACTAACCTAAATCTGGGCTAGCCATTCTGTCTGCCAAAAGATCATAACCCAGACAGCTTGCTTGTTGTTCGAAACTATCAAAAAAATCTGTGGCTTCTGCTGCGACTTCAGCGTCACTCTCTGAAAACAGATGGCTTTTGGTAAGAAATAATTAAATTCTCAAATAATCATAATACCTTGTTGAGGAGATTCGATTTCAGCTGCAGACAACAAAGGAGGCAAATGCAAAATATACAATAGCTTTAAGCGCTGAGTAAGATCTGCAGAAGAAGTCATCCCAAATGCTGCCACTAACTCTCGGAAGTTTAAAAAGTCATCTCCATCCCTGTCCATCAACTAAATGCAGATAATTGAGCAACGAGTTTTATATTATTTGTCCACAACAAGCTTACTCTAAATAATCTGGCAGCAAGAGATTCTGCATGAGAACAGTGACCCCAAGGTGAAAGACCGATAAATAACAACTGAAAGAGCTCAAATTCTATCTTAAAAAGTTCGTAATGTGGCATGGATGGATCGATATTAGCTACTCGAGCAGGTTGGCTCCCTCTCTGGCACAATTGTTCTTCTCTAACAAGTGAAAGCAAATCCTATATAAATAAATTCAAATTTGTTTAAAAATATTTTCCCTGTTTAAAAATATACCAATAACTCCTCATTAGTGAAGAATCCATCTGGAGCAACACTTCTGACTACATTACGACTGACACTGTCTTCAAGAGATTGAACAACTCTCAATCTGTGGCGCAATCTCATTCTTTCTATGCCTGCATCAGTTAGGAGGCTTCCATATTTGCTGTACGCTTCATAAAGTAGATTTTGCACCGAGATGCTCTTTAAGAGATTCTTAGAAATTAGTGTAAAATTCCAAAACCGCAAAATTACCTTCACAATTACTTCGTGATCTTTGTGAAGAGATATCAAATTATCACTAATCTCGTCGTTTGTTACACCTTCAAGGTAGTTTGTGAGTAGTTGCATGGCCTCTCCCTCATCCTTGCATGCAAGAAGGGCATCCTGATTGTTTTCTAAGATAGTCAGCGCCAGTTGAAATATAACTTTGGCACCATCGTAAAAGAAACAATCTACCACTATGACGGCACTGTCGTAATGCATGACACTAAATTTAAAATATTGGTTAAAGATCAATTAAAATCATTTGATAAGTATGAGTACCTTAGAAATATTGTTAAGAACCAAGAAAGTGAAATCATTCTTATCATTCCGAGATCATCAAGTTTAGCATGTAGCTCGGGCAGATGAGTTCTTGTCAAGTCGTCAAGGACGCCCTGGTCAACTAGGGCCCCAACGACTCTTGAATTGTAGTAATCTGGTAACATTTGTTCGCAGACAGCAGTTAGCAGCCAAAAGCTCTCCTCTTCAGAGCAAAACAAAAGTAAAACTGAAGCGACTATGTTCATGGCTTGGCAGTAACCTGAATCAAAAGTTAATAATTTAGACAGGTTTAATTACAATAGTTTTAGTACTCAGTACCTATTTGAGGATTCCTGCATGCATACGCCCTTAGTACTCTCCTCAGAGCGCATATTCCTACTTCTGACTGGAATGCAGGGTGTTCTGGCAGTGACCTATGAAGATCTCGTTCAATCTCATCATTGGCAGTTGAAGTTTTTTGGAATGCTTGATTCACCAAAGACCGGTACAAGCCTGGCTCAGCCATAGACATGTCAGTCAATGCTCCTAAAGACAGAGTATTTAAAAAACTTGATGTTGCCATAAATAAAGTCTTTACCTGAAAATATTGTCCACAGCTCCTTTCGTAGACTGTTTGGAATGCCGACGAGCACCAACTTTGCCAGGTCTATTGTGCGGTACATGGTAATGCCTCGACCAAACTCGGTGAAATGCTTTTCCCATTGTGCCTCCTTTTCAGCCTCAATTTCAGGTGGAGAGGGGTTGGGAAACTCAAACAGTGTCATCAGAGGTGGTTGAGGATTCCAGTTGGCAAAGTCTAAAGAAATTATGATAAAATTATAACATTCCTTTGACTTGAATTACCATTATTGTAATCAGATTCTGTGTTGCTTCCAGCAGAGGAAATCGACGTTGTGATGTTAACTCTAATTCTACTTAATAGCTCAGATATTTTTCTTATGACAAAATCCCTATCTTTAAGATTTGAAAATAAAAAGGAGGACGAATTTTTGTTGGTAATGAGCATTGAAAGGTCACTATTTCCAATGTTGTTTGACTCGACCTTTTCAACTAACCCAACTTCTCTTAGAGATATCACTAAAATTACAAGATTTGCGACCTGCAAAAATTGGGAGCATTGTTATAATTATTATTTTTTTTTAGCAAACATACATACTCGGCTATCAAAGCAGACAAAATTTTGGGACAAATAAAGAGTTCCCCAAACATGTTGTTTGTTGTACGGAGTCCAAAGAGTGGCATCTGATGTACCGTCTAATTTCTCACTGTTCGGCAGGTGAAATTTCAAGCGATATGCTTCAGAGTGGGCCCTTGCATCAAGGTCTCTTTTCAAGAATGAATCCTTCCTCGGGACGTTGATGCTAAATTTTTTTATTTCATTTTCTGAATCAACCAAAGTGAAATTAAAGACTAACCTCAGTTTTTTTAGAAGCTCTTTGTCTTCATTAAATCCGCTCTTCTCGTCCATCAGCCTGGGAAAAGTCAATTCAATAATTGATTTTTAAGTTTTGAGGATCACTTACCGCTTCATAGCCAAGTTAGCCAGTTGCTCCATTAATGTGAACGTCTCTGTTTTGTGAAGAAACATCGAGAAGTAATGCTGGAAAAAATATGTTTTAAAGACAAAAAAAAATTGATAAAAAGGCTCTACACACCTCCTTCTCTCTTGTGGCTACTCTTATACTGTCAGGAAAGAGAAGGCTGTTTGTTTTGTCCAGAGCAGTCACATCAATCCATCTGATGACGAGCCGAGTTTCTTTGCCTAAAATGTATGCGTAAAAGCAGAGATGCTGCACTGTCAAGTACATCCAGCCCTGCCGAGGCATCTTGCCCTTCCAATAGCTACATGAGTAGTAACTGACCAGCTTTTCCTCAGCAGGGAAATTGAAGAGACTTCGAAATTTGAATGCAGTTGTCTTAAATGTTTTTGTCTCTTCATCTACAATAAATTAATATAAAAAAACTTTCCAGCATTTTTCATTATATTTGGAGCTACGATATGGATACCTTCAATTGCTGGGGCTTGGCTTGCAATTAGAGAGTGGATTTTACAACAAACAAACTCAGTCACATCATCTTCAGAATCAAATGTCGAGAGAGTGTCCATGATATTTCTTTGGAGCCATTCCCAATTTTCCTCGATTTCCGCATGAGTTAGGGAGCAAGCAATCACTGAAAATAAATTTGTACATTTGTGTATTTAAAAAAAATTATGTAACAAATAAATTACATTATACATATATTTATATTTATTTGTTTGTCATTTTATGACCACCAATTGGATCAATAGTATTTTATTTATCTGTCATCTGATCTCTTACTTTGAAAAACTTCCGCATTTGGTGTTTGGTGGAGTATTCTGTAGGGAGGTGGTTTTGTATCAAAAACGCTGTCAAGGGTGCCGACAAGAATTGACGAAAGTCCTTTGCTGCTCCCATGACCTCGCCGTCTTTGCAGAACAAAGTAAGGACTCGCCTGCTCAGTTACCCTGCAATTGAAGATTGACATGAATATTTAAAATATATCATAATCTATGAAAAACAAAATTCTCAGGGGCGTAATGATTCACGTGAAAACTTTTGCTTGTAGTTGACCACCCATAAAAATTAAAGACAAATCTTTTGTGGCTGCAGAAATGGTCATAATAATTGTAAAAATTTTTATTTACCACAGCGCGTTGGCGAGTAACACTTCCTGAGGCTTAACCCACATCTCGTCAAGTTTGTATTTTTTACTTCCTTCAAATTTTTGGCAATCACATAACAACTCTTGTATTTTCCCAGTCGATCAGCAATCCCGAAAAAACTTTGTATAAAAGACGTTCGATGTTTTTGTGTGCGTTTACTGCACAAGTCGATCGACTCGACTGGCGCCACCGCAGCTGGAAAAACCATTCAAAACACTCGACTGGTGTGGAATTCTGCGTGTAGATGGCATAATTTTACTTGATCATATTTTGAATCTTTTGAATTTCAAACTTGCCGCTGCATATTGTATACTTCAAATGACCAATCAAAAATCACTCTCCCTTTTAACTGGGAATGAACGCCGTCCACACCTTAACTCTCAAGTCAAATGAACTACTTTTGTGCCTCAATTTTAATCAATTTTGCTTATACTTAAAATAATATTCAGCTAGCTACGTTAAAATATATCTTTTTGTATCGCACTTATCATTATTAATAATTTTTTTATGTGATATACTGCGTATATTTCTGTCTAAAAATTCTTGTTTTGACTCGTTAAATTTCATCTGTCGAGACGAGGCTTGGACGAGGCAAGGCAGGGCAAGGCAACCGAACGAAACACAGCGACGAGCCGACGACGACGCAAACAATAGCGTTAACGCGTTACCTGCAGGTAGCATTTCGGCTGACGATGCGGTGCGATGGACCTTTGAGTTAATTAGTTGGAAATCTGCACATTAGAACCTTCCACGGTGAGTTTTGGTCGCTTCGGCGTTAATTCATGTCAATGTTGACTGCATTTTCTCGGGATTTTTGCGTGTAAGTGCAGTGGTAGCACGGATCGATAAATGGGTGGCACATAAGACACACGGCACACCCGAAAACACTATAACGTTTCCCAGTGTTTTTCTTGTGCACGCAATCCGTAATTGTCTATGTAGCTGGCTTTTATAGTTCTTCCTTCCTGGCGGCGCGAATAAAACGTTCCGATCTAAATATCGATTCGACAAGTTTCGCATGTATTTTGAGCGTGTTTTAATAAAAAAAAGTGCAGTCAGAGTTTGGACATGTAGGGGCGTGTTCAACAAACGTTTTTCAGGCTACTCAGGTAAAAATGAAAAACCCGAGGCGAAAAAATGTATGGTTCGTATGGATATTACGTGACTCACATTACTTGACAAAATTTTCATGCACTTTCCTAGTTTGGAAATTCTCGTCGTTTTTCAGTAACAAGCATAAATTAGTTCCATCGAATTTCAGTAGATTATCATTTATAAATTCAAATCCAATTAACGACACGCATACCTTATTAAAAGAATATAAATTTAATATTTAATTCAACATTAATTCACTCTTTACTTGCTTTCAAAAATATTTCTCTCCGATCGCCGTAGGCCCAAACGCAAAAACAATACTTTGTTGAAAAATTTATTTATGATTATTTATTTGGATTTTGTAATTCTTGAAATCAGGCAATCGGGGGGGGGGGGGGGGTAAAAATCTAAATATAGCTGCTAATTTTTTTTTTTTATTAAAAATTTTTATTAAAAAAATGAATGGAAGCATTTAATTTCTCTTTCAATTATTCTTTATGATTTAATTTTTTTATTTCATTTGGAGTATTAACATTGTACTTTTTTTTTTAAAGTCAATAAATTCGTTTGGCTGAATGAATAAAGCTTAATTTTATTTGGACCTAAAAAATAATTGTCTTCATTATTATTATTTATTCTTTTCGGTCAATGCAAAATTTTATATTTGAAAAAAAAAATAGTAAGAAGATAAAAAATTAGTTTTATTCATTAAATATTTGCAAAAACATTTGTGGAATAATTTATCCTTCAGCTGTGTAGTCTTTGTATGTACTTCAAAACGTGAGCATGCATCAAGCAGTTTATTGCCAATCAGCAATATCCTTCTTTCAGTTTTCTTAATGCACATTCACTCACACTTAACTACTCATGAGTTGAAAGAGCGTTCTTGAGCAGACGAAGAGGGCATGATTCACCATCTGCCATAATAATCTAGCGCCTTCCTTCGTCCAAATATTACAACGAATGGCCACCAAGGAACACAATGCACTGGTGTGTAGAGTCCATAACGAATCAGCTTCCTAAAATCGCGGTTTTGGATTCGCCTTGGAGCCTTTTCGGTGCTGTGTGTTGGCATTGTTCGAGTTTATTATGCATTTGCTTTTCATTACAAAACACTCTCTCGTGTCATTATTATCAGGCAGGAATTCCGTCTTACTCCATAAACTCGCGGCAATTCAGGGCGACCGCATGTTCAGCATGTTAATTAGCAGTCTTGCGAATTTTACTTGGAACAGATTTGCATATTGTTTTGAGAGATATCCGGAGATACCAAGTACGATTGAGACTTTTATGGCCGTGCTAAAGAGAAGCACGAAAATATGACCAAGTGTGCCGTGAATAACTAATGACCTTTATTTCCTCTGCCGGGTCTGTCCGAATGAGTGAATGAACTCGGCCGTTCGCTGGTTCACACTTGCCGGGCCGGCCGCCGCGCACTGGGCCACTCGCTATAAAAAGGCGCTCTCTCGTTTAACAATCGCGCTCCACATGATATCATCACTCAATACATCGCTTTGCAGTTTGCGATGATGCAATTCATGCCGCTCGGAGATGAATGGATGAATTTAACTAACTGAATGCCCCTCTCTATTTCCAGAGCCGCAAGATGAGGTTCCTCGAGAGCTTGGTATTTACTCTCTGCATCACGCATTCCCTTGCTCTGAGTAAGTAAACATCTTCCAGCACTCTGCAAAAATAAACACATGACACCTTTGGCTCCTACAGTTCAGTCCCCACCAAGGATGGTGAAGCAGCCACCCACGGATGAAATCCTCTTCCAAGTTGCAATCAACCAAAATGAAAACGACAAACCGTTTATCATCGAGTGCGAGGCCGAGGGAGAACCAGCCCCAAGGTACGATATCAAATTCGGCTGTTTCACTTTGGTGTTTATGTGAACAATGAACAACTAATCTGTTTTTAGATATCGATGGATCAAAAACGGCAAGCCATTTGAGTGGCAAACTTACGACGACAGAATCTCACAGCAGCCTGGCAGAGGTACATTGGTGATTACGATCCCCAGAGAAGAAGATATTGGTGAGTAAAACTATTATTGGAAATGCACCTCTCTTATAATTTTTCACTTAGTAATTAATTATGATATTTAAAGTTAATAATGCATTTGATGGAAATAATTAATAAATGGATTATTATTAACTTCACAATGAAACAGAAAGCTATGCTTACCATTTTACCCTCCCTTTACAGAGTAAATAAATAATAATGGTATTTTAAACACAATTTTTATTTTAGGTCAGTACCAATGCTTTGCCACCAATGAGTGGGGTACAGCAACTTCAAATTCGGTTTTTGTTCGAAAAGCTGAGTTGAACAGCTTCAAAAGTGACGAAGAAGAGGAGACTCTAGACGCTAATGAGGGTGAACCGTTCAAGCTGAAGTGTCAGCCGCCAGACGGTTGGCCAAAGCCAGAGGTGCATTGGCTTATTCAAAGCGAAGAGGGAGGAATCAAGAGTATCAACAGCTCTCGCATCACCCTCGACCCTGAGGGCACACTATGGTTTTCCAACGTGACCAGAGATGATGCCAGTCAAGACGCGAGTTACGCCTGCTCGGCAACATCCCGTTTCAGGAACGAGTACAAAATTGGCAACAGAGTGAAGCTCAATGTTGTGGCTACTGGAACTTCAGCAGCTCAAAACCGACACGAGCCTGTTCAGCAGTACGTGACCAGGAAGAACGAAGTGGCATACCTCGGAAGGAAAGTGGAGCTGTTTTGCATTTTCGGTGGAACGTAAGTGACTTTCATTTTATTTATCTTTCAAAATTTCAACTGTTGATCTCTAGACCTCTTCCTCAAATTCGTTGGACAAAGCGAGGTGGTCCTTTACAACATGAGCGAGTTACTCAGAACAACTATGGTAAAAGTTTGGTGATAAAGCATGCCAATTTCGAAGATGAAGGAGATTATAGCTGTGAAGCTTCAAACGGTGTTGGATCTGCAAAGAGTTACTCCATTAAGCTTTCTGTGCTTGGTAATTTATTTTTGTTTAATTGTTAAATGTGATCTAAAAGTATTTTTTAGCTGCACCATACTTTACAAAAGAACCACAAACTGTGAGTGCTGCTGAGGATGAGACCATTGAATTTAACTGTGAAGCGAAAGGTGTTCCGGAACCTCAGATCAAGTGGGTCTACAATGGAATGCCAATTGAACAAGCTCCCGTCAACAGCAGGCGCAGGATTCTGCAGAATAAAATCATCATTGAGCGCCTTGTAAAAGGTGACACTGGTAACTATGGGTGCAACGCAACAAATAGCATTGGCTACGTCTATAAGGATGTCTACGTCAACGTTTTGGGTATTTCTAGAAATCTTGTTATAATGCAAATTTTAACTTGCCTTTTATTAAGCCCTTGCTCCTGAAATAACCGAGGCTCCAAACAACATTTCTGTTGTGAATGATAAAGACGCTACTCTTACTTGTCGAGTTTTCGGTGCACCAAAGCCTCTTGTCAAATGGATCAGAGGAGGTACAGAGTTAACAGGTGGAAGATACAAGATCAAGCCTAATGGAGATTTGACGATCTCGTAAGTTGACTAAATTTTTTCAGTGTAGCATTTTACATATTTTATTTCCAGGAAAGTAAATTTCTTGGACGCCGGTGATTACATTTGTCACGCAACTAATAAATTTGGAAAAGATGAAAAATATGGTAGCTTGACGGTCAAAGGTGTGTGTGTTTTTCATTTTATTTTATTATACGTTTATAAAATTATTAATTATATTATTATCAGAGAGGACTAGAATAACAGACGCACCTGAGGACTATGAAGTTGCTGCTGGTATGACAGCTACCTTTAGATGTAATGCAGTCAGTGACCCAAGTTTGAAAATGGTTATCAACTGGCTAAACAACAACCAGCAAATCGATTTTGAAGCAGAACCTCGTTTTGTCATTTCCACTGATTACTCGCTAACAATCACAAAAACCAATGAATTAGACTCTGGCACATACACTTGCGTAGCAGTTACTGACCTTGACAGTGAAAGCGCGAGTGCAACTTTGACAGTGCAAGGTAAAAACCATCCAGATAAAATGTAAAGTCAATTTCATTTTACCTATTCCACTTATAGATGTTCCTAATCCGCCAAGACTAAAAGGAAATGGAGCACGATGCAGTGAACTAGAGGCTAGTGTTAGTTGGGAGCCACGGGGTGACAACCGAGCTCCAATTGTACGCTATACTATTCAATACAACACCAGCTTTACTCCCGATTCATGGGATATTGCTGCAGAAAAAGTTCCAGCAACAGAATCTACCTACTCTGTATGTTCCTAATTAATATATTACAATGCAGAAATTAATTTGCTATTTTAAAGGTCCCATTGAGCCCATGGTCGAATTACACCTTCCGCGTCATCGCATGGAACAAAATTGGCCAGTCACTGCCATCACCCCACTCATCAGTTTGCACCACTCAGCCTGCTGTTCCTGCCAAAAACCCTGACAACGTGGAAGGGAAAGGAGATCAGCCTGACAACTTGGTCATTTCGTGGACACAAATGCCTGAGATCGACCACAATGCTCCCAGATTCCAGTATCGAGTAATGTGGCTTCGAGACATACCTGGTGAACAGTGGCAGTCCAGGGACATTTCAGATTGGACAGTGGGCAGGATTGTTGTGCCAAACCAGCCAACGTATCAGCCTTACAAAATCAAAGTGGTTGCAATCAATGAAAAAGGCCAAGCTAACGTGGCGGCACAAGAAGTTCGAGGATATTCGGGAGAAGACAGTAAAAGCTCATAAAATAAATAAAAAATCGTTTTGCTAAACTTATTTAATTTTAGGCCCTATCCAAGCTCCAAGGGACTTTAATGTTACTGTTATTGATAGCACCAGTGCATTGCTCAGTTGGGAACAAGTGACCGACGAAAGTGTTCGTGGAGAATTCAAGGGTTACAAGGTATTTATTTATTTTTAATAATCCTTTTTGTGGAATTATGATATGTCGCTCCAGATTCAAACGTGGACCGACAAAGAAGGAATTGAGAACATGAGGGAGATCCATGTTGCTAAAGATAATTCGCGTGCACTTATCAACAAGTTTATTCCCTACTCCAAGAATTTTGTCAGAATCATGGCATACAACGGTCGGTTCAATGGTCCTCCCAGTGAAACTTTGTCCTTTAACACACCTGAAGGGAGTACGTAAAATTTGAGTTAAAAATTTTCAGTTCTTTATTGATATTATTTTTAGCACCTGGGTCTGTGGCTTCCTTGGAGGCTCACCCTCTAGGATCATCAGCATTTCTCCTAAAGTGGCAAAAGCCCTTGCAGACAAATGGTGTGTTGACTGGCTACAGGATTTACTATCAACCAGTAACTGGCACTAAAGTTGGACCTTTGGTCGAAAGGAAACCTATTACAGAACCTAAACAACTTCATGCAAAGTTGGCAGGGCTTGATTCTAACACAAAATATAGAATACACATCAAAGCTACCACAAGAGCTGGAGAGGGCAACGGGTAAATTTCAGTTCCAACGTTTTCACGGAATCTAATTCTTTCAATTTATAGCTTTTTTGTTGAGGCTAACACTTTGCCAGCCATTGCAAAGCTGCCTGACACTCCGCAGTTCCGTTGGAAGAACGAAGCGTCTGACAATGGACTTTCAAACATTAGGGTAGTGTGGTTGCCGAATGTCGAGGGACACCCAGGTTCACATTTTACTGTAAAATACAGGTTTGTTTGTTTTTTTAATGCTTCTCGAGTCTTCTTAACCAATAAATATATCTTAAGGATACGTGGTGAGCCAATGTTTGAAGAGACTGATCCTCAGTTGGAAGAGGACTACATCATTGTGAGAGGACTGAAACCAGGAGAGACTTACGAAATGCAGGTTGTTGCTGTTGATGGTGACCACATTTCGGAGAGCAAGATCCAGGAAGTTGAGACTTACAGTGATGGTGCGTAATCGCAATTGTATTGAAATTGATCAAAGTTCTAATATGGTAAATTTAGGTCCCATCATCCAGCCAAGAGAAACTGTGGCTACAGCAGGATGGTTTATTGGCATGATGCTGGCCATAGCTGTCCTTTTGCTCGTCCTCATTATTGTGTGCATTGTCAAGAGAAATCGCGGTGGAAAATATGCTGTGCATGAACGAGAAGTTGCTCATGGCCGGTCTGACTATCCCGAAGAAGGATTTCATGAATATTCCCAGCCGTAAGTTATTAGTATCATAATTTATGGTGGTTTACATACAAATATTACAGACTTGATGGAGGAAAAGGACGAGGCTCATTAAGTAGTGATGCAAAAGGAATGGCTGAGAGTGATACGGATTCCATGGCTGAATATGGTGAAGGAGATGCCGGTGTGTAGATCAGATTTTTGGTGTTAAATTTTTTTACAATCCACAATTTTGTTGCCCGTTCAGTCCCCTAGCTCTCAATGTTGCTTATTTTTTTAAAACTCACCTAAAATTTTGCTCGGGAATTATGACCCCTTTTAATTAAAAAAAACCAAGCACGGATGTCACACTGTTCTCCTGTTTATTTCATTATATTTTTGTTGCATGTGCTGCATTTATTTTTACTAAATAGAAGGCATGAATGAAGATGGGTCGTTCATTGGTCAATATGGTCGCAAGAAAGCACAACAAAGACTTCTGCAGATTCAGCAAGAGGAAGCTGCTGCTGCAGCAGCTGCCGCCGCAGCCGCCAATAAACAATATGGGGGAGGTTTCGCCACTGTAGTATAGACTGAATTCAAGTAAGTCAATCACCCATGAATGTGTTGCACTTGCTTCAAATTTATTTTTATGCAGTTCAGTATGCAAAAATAATGCAACTAATATAGTGTTTATTTTATTTCAAACAGGACGATTCACAGAGGATGGCTCATTCATTGGACAATATGTTCCTGGCTCAAAGCCTCGCCCAGGCAAAGCTGTTGACCAACCTTCTCCTTCGGCTCTAGCTACGTACGTCTAATGATGAACCTTCTTCAAAGAAAAAAGTGCACACCTGGCATCAGGTAGGCGGCAGCTTAGTTATTTCCAGGAGTGTCTTCTTGATAGGGGCTAAGGACAATTTTATGACGAGTGCTATGAGCACTGAACCTTGGACATTACTGTCAATTGTATTTAGATAGCGACGATGAGCAATGTACCAAACTATGGCTTGAAGATCACGTTTGCTGCTGTAAAAAATCAAAATTTTCTCTCGCTAATGGCTGGCTTTTTTGTTAGCATTTATTCAAAGACAATATTTCTTACGTATGCGTTGCAATGAGCAATATTTTTAACAATCAAGCATTGAAATTAACCTCAAAACAATCAAATATTAAAGCACTCCCAATGACGTGAATATGTACAAAAGTGGTGCCTCGTTGAAGAGATAAGGCAGTAGTACGCCCAGGACAAGAAAATTATTTCTTATTTTAAACAACGCCAAATTTCAGTCCTTGATTGTTGAAATGAAAATATATAGGACAGTCCAGCCTTTGTCTTGATTATTTTAATGTGGTCCTGTGTATGTATTTCCAATGTGGAACCTAGCAACTCCTAAGAATCACGTGATGCCGTGTAAACTTGTTGATATAGGCAAGGATATTGTTTTTGTACTAGATTTAAGTAAGTAGGCAAATCTCACACATCAATCTGAACACTAACCTATCTAGAGATAACTAAGAATCGTACTGCTGCTTATAGTTGAAAAATGTTTTCAGTAGTTGCTGGATACACGTTCGTAGATGTTTAATTGGTTAGTCTACTAGCTGTTGCTGTTATTCACAATTAATTAGGAATCAATGTGCAAATGTGTGCGAATGCTGATGAGGCCTTGTTGCAAAGAGACAAAATATTGGAGATAATTGATATTAACACAGAACACTGCCTTGATTTTGTAACAAATTATGAGGAAATTAACCCAATTTTTATATCACTCTCATTTCTGCTGGAAGCTAAAGATGAAAATTATTTTTTGCTAAATGATAAAATGATGTGAATCTCGATCAGATCTGTATGTTTTTTTTACTTCTGAATAGAGTGATTGTTTGTCTATCATTATATGCTATTATATAATGCTTATTGTAACTGATGCAAGTTGAGGGAGAATTGAATTGTGGTATGGCAACTTTATTGTAGTGGGTGGATCTGAGATAACAGGGATATCTGTTGTAACCAGCAAGACTTGCTCTATGTAAGGGTAATAGAACTAGTTGTTAAGAATGCACGTAAACGCAGGCAAAGACATTTCCACGGTTCAAGTGCATGTTGCGAGCTAATTGCATGTTAAATCGAATGAGTTCAGTTTTTAAACCAGTTGATATTAATTGTGGCACACTCCTTTTTATGATGCCCATATTTTTCTTTATATTGTGTTAAAATAAGGGGAGTCGAGCACCAAGCCGGATTAATATTTCTATCTCCTGAAAAACTCTGCTTTGCTGCCATTATCCAATTTTAATTTATCTAAAGATCCACATATTTAGTTGTTAGTCATTTAGTTGTGTTAGCTAAAGTGCCTTATGTAATGTCGTCTTTTTTAGACCAATTGGTTTCTTTGTCATTCTGAAAGGCACTGCTTTAAATAACGTGGTGAGGGGTTTATGTGATAGGAAAAAATTAACACACACATGTAACCAGGCCTCTATTTATTAATTTTGCTTTTTTTTTTAAGAAAAAAAAATACTTGGCCTCTAATTGTAAGATTAATACTCTTTTATCAATTCATTCGTCCATTTTTAAACCTTTTGTTATTAATCCAGCATATTTAAGCACAAGATTTTTCTTTTTACAAATAGACCTCAGTGAAGCATCAAAATGCTGAATTTACGCCTTTGGCAGGCAAAAAAAGGAATTTGAAATTCTTTCATGCTGTTTAAATAAGTCTTGAGCGTAAATTATGAAATGTAAGCTTAATCAATGCGCAGCTTTTAAATTTGTAATCTTAAAAAAAAAAATTGTTAATCATTCCTTAAATTATTTAACACAAAAAATATAAATTTGCAACCCTCTCAGCGTCTTATGTTTTGTTATGTTTGATGATGTCAAGGTAGTAATAACTGGTATGATAGCTTTCCGATCTCGTATCACGATGATTCTTCTAAATCATTGCTATTAAACCAATCTTTTCAATGCACTATCATGTATTTTCTAAAGCAGCTATATTTTTTATGTTGATTTGCCGAAATAAAATAATGAAAATCCGCACTAAAATCCAAAAACTTCTTTATTTCATAAGAATCATTTTTGGGAAGATTAATTTATGAACATACTTTTGAAAAAAAAAAAAATCTACCCTGCCCTGGACTACAATGAAGATGTTGTCATGGCAACGCAGGGGCGTTAAAATATTAATCATGTATGATAATATTTCATATATGTATATTAGTGACGTCATGTCGAGAAGCAGATGGCCCGCGGGAGGCTGTTGGGATATTCTTTTTTGATCCTTTTATAGGAGGGGGCGGTCTTGCGTCTTGGAGTATAACACTCTTGGGCCAGTCGGTGTCGGAGCTGCTCTGGAGGACGCAGGTCGCACAATATACACTGCCTGCTAGTCCGGCGAAAAAACCAGTTTAAGATAACAAGAAGGGAGCGAGATGAGGTCTTGACACTGGAAACAAGAAGAGTAATTTCTGCTCCTTTATGCCAGGTGAGCGCGCTCACTCGCACGAGAGCAACACTTTTATTGCGTTATAATAATCTTAATATAATTATGGTCGGCCGAGTCTGCAGAAGCACCTTTCGTGTAAATTAAGATATCACACCAAAGGTTTTACTTCAAAATTAATAAATATTTAGGCGAGTAAATTAACTTTGGCAAAAATCTTTTAACTTTTTTATTGTAAATGGAATTGAATTAAGTTTTTTTTTAATTTTTATATATTGGGATATTAGAAATTTATTTTTTTGCAAAAACGTGACAGCAATTTTATTCTTTTAATTATCCTTCTTAACCAGGCAGCACAATTAATTTAAAGTACATCTCCCATTTCTCTATAATTTAATGCTTTGTGCCCGACGGAGTTTTTAGAGCCAAAAACGTAATCTATGTTCAGGAAACCTGTTGTAGCGCGCGGCTTGTAAAAGGCGTAAAAGGAATTAAAAGCACTTAGCGCTCAAATGAAACGCGCAATACCAATGATGAGCGGCGCTGCTTTAAAATATTGCAAATATATTTACATAAAATATATAAGTGTGCCTTGTGGAGATTAGACATTTTAAAATCCGCCGTGGCAAATGTTAAGCTGTGGAAATTGAACACGAGTTTTTTTCAGCGCATATTTTACTTCATAGAGAGCGGATCTCCTTTAATTGACGCCTGCCAGAGTAGTAATAAAAGGCTCAGCGCAAAATAACAGCAGAGTAAAAATGTTTTCAGCAACATTTTAATCACTGTTGGTCCTGGCCGCTTTTTTATAATGTTGTTAGTGCTTTTTAAAGGCATGTGTAAGAGAGAGGCAGATGCTGCAAAAAAAAGGTAGATATATAGTATGAAGTGCCGCTCGTTTAATTTCGAGTGACGTCAAATTGGTGATAAAATTGAAATCTCTCGGCTATGATCTATTCTCATTATTACTACATGGGAGTGCCGGAATATGAAAAAAAAAACACCTTGCCATTTCTCGCGAGACAATCTAATTATCAGACACGTGTAGTGCTATATAACAATAAAAAGTTATGGCCATTTATAATTATAAATTGGATTACGATGCATGAAGTTTGCCAATGCCTGTCGTCTGGCCAGATCAGGGCGGCAATTCCGTGAATAGTTGTTTTGTTGAATCCAGACCGACTGCAGTGCCGGCGACACGGGAGCTGCTTTTTTGCACTTTGGTATTGAGAGAGAATAGGTCGCGCCGGACCGACCCGATCTCGAGAAGAGATGGAGAAATAATAAATTAAATTTATTCAGAAACGTAGCAAGCTCTTTTTATATTGCGGCTGGTGTATGTTTTACTCAAGGCCGACAACACCAGTTAGACACACACACAATTTGAAACTGCTTGCTTTGCCTCCTGATTTAAAATTCCTTTTTGCAGCAGTGGCTGGCAGTGAAAAATATGTGGCCTCTCCTGCTTATTGCTGCATATCTGGCCATCTTCTGCTTTGCCCACGTCTCTCCGCAGTCAAGTAATGGCTGGTCTGCACATACCCCCAAACCTCCCGAAGATCTGCTCAGATTGTGGATCGACAGGCGGCAGGTCAAGATCTTCAGCGGTAAGGAGACAATAAGCGCGCTCGAGCAGGAAAACGATTTATTCACCTCCTCTCATTGTTCTCGCTGCCGCAATCGCAGCTATGATCTTGTTCCCTCTCTTAACTCGGACTTGATCGCAAAACCCCTTTTTTGCTCCACGCACAACCAGTCGCTCACATACAGTATTATTATTTTGAGAATTAAATTTAATCCCGTCTGCTCTCTGCGAGCCGCTGTTCAACGCTTCAAGGAAATTGTTACAATTTTTGTTTCTGTCAAGTTTAGGCTTATCCATCGATATTGATGCTATCCGAGACGAGCGCATTTCACCATACATCTTGGACCCCAAGTTTGAAGAGTATTTGCCAATGATCCCATCAGAGGTTTACCCACATCAATGATATAAATTTTAAATTTAATAAATTAAAAGTCTCAAAAATCATAGGTTGGCTATGTGAATTTTACTTGGCAGTCTGGCGTAAGGAAATATGTTTACCATTTTGACAAACTTGAGTCACACAACAAGCAAATTCTTGAATCACCACAAATTTCAATTCCCGTCAAGGGTCGCATACCAAAAAGGCCCAAAGGTAGACTAAGTTGAATATTAGAAGGTTCATCAATTTTTAATTATTTATTCTCCGGCCAGCTTTTAGCGTTAAACTACCGTGCTCGGGAAATGGATGGGGAATCGCAAGATTTAGTATCGGCCTCAAAATTGAGCCTCGAAAAGGCAAACCAAGCGAAGAAATGTCTTTAAGAGTGAGTCTTAGGAAGGAATGTGCCCAGAGAGGTGTGTATTATTTTCTTCTCATTATTTTCAAATATTCCTAAGAAAAATAATAGAACACATTAGATTTTAAAGAAAAAAAAAATGTTGTCAAAATTGAATTAGTGAGAGGGAAATTTTATCTGACCACCAGTCATGGGCGCAGGGCCAGACCCAGAGTGCGACAAAAAGTGCGCGAACGACGGGTGGTGCAACGCAGAGAAGATATGCCAGTGTCCTGAAGGCTACATGGGCCAGTACTGCCAGACGGCGCTGTGCTACCCCCAGTGCATGAACGGAGGCAGCTGTATTGCTCCGGGGGTTTGCAGCTGTCTGCCAGGGTTTCAAGGTCGGCATTGTGAAGGCGGTATGTAGCACATTTTACTGGCGAGTTTATTTTTTTTCCTGCTCAGTCATTTTGAGAAATGCAAAGACGGATCTTATGCTAATTTATATCTTGGTGGACAACGCAATGGCTGCCTTGCAACCTAGTTGAATCACAGCTGTCATTGCTTTGTAAAGGGGAGCCTGCTCGGCTCCTTTTTCCAAACCCGTGTCGTGATGTTCTTGCTCGTCGTCTCGGCACTTTTTGATGGCATCCATGATTTCCCCATATTTTTCTGGATTTTCCGTGGCCAATTTTCTGAGCTGATCGTTGTAATGTTCAACGATTGACGCTTCAACAGCAACTGTGCAGGCCATGGCGCTTTTTTCGCCAAGCAACGCACTTCCTATAATTCAAAATAAGTTAAAATTATTATATTTAGTTAAACAGAATTATAATTTTTTTTTATCAGAACTGTACCTGCTCCAAGCGCAAAGCCAGCAATATGCCAAAATGGCATTAGAGCTGTTGGTCGAACTCGGTGCTTGACCATCAGGTCTTCAAAAATCTTTTTGTGCTCCTTTTCTTGTTCCCACATATGTTTGATAAGAGCTGCAGATTTTGTTCTCCCTAAAAAAATTATTATTTAAATGTTTAATTCAAACATTTGCAAGGTGTTTAAATTTTACCAAGCACGGCCATTTGTCCGGCGTAAATTCTGTTTGCTCCGAATTCTCCAGCATGGTCCACTCTAAGCATTCCGTGGACTTCATCTGACAAAGCAGACGACTTTTCTGTGTGTTTTTGCCTGATGCAATTGCATACGGCAATTTTATTGACGCGCAAGGACCTGAAAATTAAACATACTAAAAATTTCTTTATTTATCAAGGAATTTGTTTTGACAACTGTAAGAATCATGGAAAATGCATCCAAAAGGACACGTGTGAATGCAACAAAGGACACTACGGGCTACGATGCGAATTTTGTAAGGTGCAATAAAAGATCTCAAATAATCATAATTATTCCGATTTCTCTTCAGCACGTTGCATTATTCCGTGTATGAATGACGGGAAATGCAGAGGAGTAAACAAATGCCGCTGTAAGAAAGGATTTGGAGGGGATCACTGTGAAATTGTTTATGGCACAAAGTCCAAAACGACTTCCAAACGAAACTCCAAGAGACACCATGGCGGCGGTAGAAACGCGAGAGGACACAACAAGAAATTTCAGTAAGATATATGAAAATCTCCGAATTATTGATTTTAGATGTAGTCTGTGATATATTTAAAATAAATCTCTATGATAATATATTAAAAAACCTTTTGCCTGAAAATCTAAGCTTGTAAAAATAAAAACTAGATTTTTTCAACTTTTCAAGGAATTTTTTTATAATTAATCCTCAGCTCCATGGAATAATAATGTATTAAAGACGAATTAAAGGTCACACTGCTATCAGCTATTATTAAAATCCGTAAAAATCAGTGTCGGCGACGGCACGCGGCACTGTGTTCTATGTTTTGGCGCCTTTTTCGGCAAATAAGTTTGTCTGCCTGGCCACTGACAGATGTCGCTCGCACAAGCGTCATTTGATCGGCGTAAAACTTGGATTTCGTGGTGCGATTCCAAGTTTCCAGCACCTCATTCCGCATAGGTAAGCCCGTGAGTTGCAAAATATTTTCCGCGATTTTCCAGGTCACGTTCGTGGCCTGCGTCAGTACGCGCGGATTCGGCGCTGGTCGCCGAAAGGGCGGCGAAACGGCAAAGTTGCGCTCTTTCGCGTCTATCGCGCAGACTCAAAATGGCGACCGCGAAAAGTTTGTTGTATGCTCGCTTAGGAAAGGGGCTGCGGATCGATATTCATGGTTGACGAAAGGCAGCGGTTCCATCTAAAGAGCTAGGTCCGTCTAGGGTGGTCTTGCGACTCGTTTCGGCGGCAAGGGTGTCCAAAATCAACCTGTGTCTCACCTGAAGGTCGGCATAAAGCGCAGAGACATAGTTTCGTGCTGAAATGACCCTCCCTCCACGCAGGTGCGTACGCAGCCGTAGTGTACAAATTTTAACTGGGCTTGCTCGTAGCACATGATGTCTAGCGCGCTTCATCCTTCTGTCAAATTATTTCTCGCACCCTTTCGGCGGAGGAAGCGGCACACGCCGCTCGGTCCGCGACCGGCGGCCCCGTGCAGCCGTCGGCCGCTCGTAGGGGCCTGTGACTTTTTATTTCTGTATGCGGAAGCCATCTTCGATATTGACCCGAAAATAAATACCACTTCCTTGCATAAAATGCAGGCTATTTTCATAACATTTGAGAATTTTAAACATTAAATTGTTAGCTGCATATTAAGACACTTTGAAATTTTATTTGATTTGCTCGCGAAGATTGTATTTCTGTATTTTAATGCGTTACATCACTGTTTTGGAGGGTGGCTGTGTGTGCAACCCCCTCTCGGTATCGGAGGCTTCAAGTAATTATTGATTTTTCCAACGTCGCTCTCGCAGCGGGAGAAATTTTCGAGAGCGATGCTGATGGTGATGATACCAATGATAGCGAGCAAGGCTTATTAAATTCCGTTCGTACCGCGGTTTTATCCTCGCCTCCTTGCTGCAATTGACACACACAAAATTATACGACTTGTATTAACTTAGGGTCCGTCATTTAACAATGAAACTCTATTTTTGTGCTTTGTCGTTGTTGCAGAGTCTGCCGATAAATTAAGAAAAATTAGTTTTAAAAAAGTAGCCATCAAGGTGTACACAGCCTCTATGAGTGCTGCTGGTGCTGAGGTACATACACTTGAATTTTTTTTTATACTTTTGATGCATTCTGTGTCTCAAGAGGCCGATGAACTCTTTGATTTTGTCAACAAAATGCATCCGCATGCGCTAACACTCCTAAATTCAAAACTTCACACTTCCCCATGTACATGCGACTAAATAGCCGGTTTCGTTTTAGTAAATTATTTATTTATTCTTAGTCACAGTAAAAATATGAAAAAAAAAAAAACTAAAATATACATTTCTCAATTTCGATCAATATTTTGTGTTACTTTTAATGTAATTAAAAAAATAATGAGTATGCACATTATAAGTTTGCTTATCGCATGAGTTCTCTTACATAAACCAATTTTTGAAAGGATGCATTTCAGTTAACCAGTTGCCACTTTTTGCATAATATTTGTAAATGTCTAGCCGATTTTTTTCTTTCATTTTTAGCAGAATCTTTTATTGCCACTTCCAGACTCAGCCGAGCCCTTCCATGGTGACGATGAGTGGTGCGACAAGTGGAGAATCACAGATCGTACTTCCAGGAAGCCCACCGGGCAACGACAGCGGGACAGACGCAAATTTGACCCACATGGTTTCCGACAACGAGGACAACATGCCGTCGTCTCCAGATTCGACTTGTTTTGACGACGATGACGACGACGATGATGACAATGATGGGGCTGACCTCATGACTGTGGCCATGAGCGACGATGTCACGGCCCAGTTGGCCGCGGCAGGTAAATAATTTTTAATTTTATAAAAATATTTTCTTCATACTTCATTCAATATTTAATTAAAATTTTGAGGCTGTAAATGATGATAAAGATTTTGTGGTAATGATTATGTGTTCTTCCTTCAGGACCAGTTGGCGTTGCTGCTGCAGCTGCCATTGCATCTTCCAAGAAAAGAAAAAGGCCACACTCTTTTGAAACAAACCCCTCCATTAGGAAGAGACAGCAAAACAGATTGCTGAGGAAGTTGAGGGTAAGTCTGACTACATCTAAAGAAATAATGGAAGAGCTAAGTATTGTCTTTCCATAGCAAACTATTGATGAATTTGCCACCCGAGTTGGCCAGCAAGCAGTGGTGCTTGTTGGCACTCCAGGAAAACCAAATAACAGTTTCAAAGTCTTCGGAGCCAAGCCGTTAGAGGATGTGGTAAGTTCTTTGTTTGTCGACTTAAGCCACTATTTAACAATTTTTTCAACAGGTTCGAAACCTCAGATCTGTAATTATGCAAGAACTGGAAACTGCTTTGGCCCAACAGGCGCCACCACCAGTTCAAGAAGATCCATCTTTGTACGAGCTGCCTCCGTTGGTGATTGACGGAATTCCAACTCCTGTGGAGAAAATGACTCAAGCACAGCTCAGGGCTTTCATCCCTCTCATGCTGAAATATTCTACTGGTATACAAAACTTTTTTTAAGTGCTAAAGAGACTCATTTATTAATTTATTGTCTCAGGTCGTGGCAAACCTGGATGGGGTAGAGAGTCAACTCGGCCTCCTTGGTGGCCTAAAGATTTACCATGGGCTAATGTTAGAATGGATGCCAGATCAGAGGAAGAGAAACAGAAGGTGTGTATATTTTTTCCCCATCTAAATTTTGTTGCTGATCCTAAATATAAAAATTCAGATATCATGGACACACGCTCTTCGTCAGATAGTCATTAACTGCTACAAGTTCCATGGTCGAGATGACCTATTACCTGCATTTAACGAGGATGAGGAGCAAAAGCCTAATATTGCTGGACTTAACTCGACCATCAAAGTTCATAAAATAACTAGCCCCAACCTCACAGCTGCAGCCCAGCAGCAAACACAAGTATAATTTTTTGAGTCCTATCGTCTGCCAATACTTATCCTTTATTTATGATAGGTTACCCAACAATATGCACCTGCTGTTCTGCAAACTATTAGCAACCCTGATGGTACTGTATCGATTATTCAAGTCGATCCCAACAACCCCATCATCACTTTACCTGATGGCACAACAGCTCAGGTGCAAGGTGTAGCAACAGTGAGTTGATGTTTAATTCTCTTGTTACAAACAAGATAATTCAATTTGCTCCTTATTTTAGGGTGAGCTTCCAGCTGTGTTCCAAATTCACACTGGCACTGGACAGGATGGTTCGACGACTGTCCATGCTGTACAGGCCTTGTCTGATGTCACCCATGGCGAAGGTGGTAGTGTGTCTGTTGACCTTAACACTGTGACTGAGGCCACTCTTGGCCAGGATGGACAACTTATCCTCACTGGAGAGGACGGACATGGTAGGATTTGCATCATTAGGCTAGAGCAATAGTTCAAAAGTATTTTAAGTTTATACTTTGATTCACTTGAATTGTGTTAATATTTTTGATTGCGCTTTCTGTGCTCTTTCTGTCATTATTATAATGGCATTAAAATTTTTTCTTGAATAATAAAATGTTTTGTTCTTTTATTTTGCTTGAGGAACCCATGATTTTTTGGGGTCTTTTTCTTCTTTTTTTTTTACACACACTAACAACACAACAACACACATGCATGCTTGGTGGTAGTCTTAAATGAATTCTTTTTTTCTAATGAACCTATCCTGGTGACAGAGTATCGGGTCATGGTCGCATCGGCTGCCCCTCAGGGCCAAGACGCTACTGGTGCTATGGAAGGAACATCGTCTTCTAATGATCGTTTATTGACAGGTTATCCTGTGTCAGTATCGGGCATGATAACTGTGCCTGTTGGCGCCAACATGTATCAAACTGTGGTTGCAAATATTCAGCAGCTGCAAAACCAGGCAGATGGAACCACAGTTCAGGTAGAAGACCTACCGTTAGCTTCACGTTCACATTTCAGTATTGGAAACTTTCAGGTTGTAACCCCTGTAGTACAAGTTCCAAAAGTGGAGGGCGGAAGCGACGGAATTGAGACAATTACCGTCGGGCCAGGAGGCATGGTCGTAGGCCAAGAAGGCCAAGTGCTGCAAGTTGTGTCACTGAAGGACGCACAATCTCTTAAAGCCGTGTCACCTCCCACAATCAAAGAAGAGGCTGAGGTGACAGTGGTAGTCAGTACAGCCAATTCAAGTGAAAACTAAGCTTGTAAATTATTTGTGTGCATGTCATTCGACTAACTTCCCCTGCTGTCTGCTGGTGAAGTTGCAAAATTAAATGTCTGCTTTGTTGATTTTTGATGGTCCAAAATCAAGTACTTAAAAAAGTGTTGTTTCAAGTCTATATTGGAGGTTTTAAAATTGCTTTACTGTTTGTAAAATTGGCAGGAAGATAATGATCATGCACTGTGGTGTACAAATAATGGCTGAAAATACTGTCAGCTTTCCATTGTAATATCATTCTAGATTATAATCGTAATTGCAACACACACAAAAAGATTAATTGTTTCACCTGTATTTTGTCTCCTAAGCGTACATATATACCTAGTTGGTACAGATATTTTATTCACTCTTGTAAATGAGCTTGACCAAAATTTTAAAACAAATTTGATGGAAAACAAAATTGCTATTACAAAGCATTAGATCACTTTGAATCGTGCAGTTTCAGTGCAAATGGTGTAGAAAACTTTCTGACCTTTATAATTGGAATGTAATTTCATAGTTATGCATAACTATATGTGTTGACTCTCACAAAATTGTGAACCAAGCCATGTTTTTAGTGGATCACTAGCGCTTGGCTACAAATATTCAGCCTTGGCTGCTATTTGAAGTGAAATGCTGTGAACTAAGCTTATTACCTCAGATGTAAATGTCTTTTGTTGTTGACTAGTCGTTGGGTGTGAATAATTCACAACTATTGAATGATTTTTGATCTAATTCGCCGAATTAAAATTTATTTTTTGGGTTACTAAACGAGAAGGAAAATACCCATACCCTTTTCAGTTTGACCAGTTTTCCCAGCTAAAAGCATATTTGGCGATACTTAATTTCAAGGAAATTTCTGTTGTATTCAAGTGTACAGATTTGTTAGTTACAGGGCATGCAAGTGCAATTCATCCACTTGCATGCACAGTTAAACCAAAGCACTATCACGGCCATAGATAGGTACTATGGTTACTGCCGTTTTGATCGTTTGTGTTATGAGAACTTGTCACAATTTCCATATTTGACCATGTCATTCATTGTGTGTAGTGCAGTATTATCACCATGTTTGGAAATGAAACTGAATTAAGATCAAACAATAAATCTGAATGTGTAGTCTGAAAATTGAAACAACTTTTATTGGATAAAAGCGCATAACCTGCTCCAATTTTTATTATTATTTTCTCCAAAAACATAGCAAAGCTAAAATCACAGAAATTTTTTAAGTCGATCCTAGTCATCATACTGAGCCACACATAAGGTTGCATTTGTGCCACCAAAGCCAAAGGAATTTTTAATGGCTATCCTTCGATTGTCCGTTTCCCATGTTTGCTTCTCTTTTGCCACAAAGTTAAATTCAGATAGGTCGTCAGGAACTTCTTCTAGGTTTAATGTCGGTGGCACGTAACCACTCTGACAAGCCATCACAGTAAAAACTGTTTCAAGAGCACCAGCCGCTCCAAGCAAGTGGCCATGCGCCCCTTTGGTGGCAGAGATTTTAATGTTGTTCAGGTGGTCTCCGAACACCAACCGCAGTGCCTTTATTTCCACCTCGTCTCCCAAAGGCGTGGAGGTGGCGTGCGCATTGACATGTCCTACTTCTTCAATTTCTACCTCAGCAACTTCGAGGGCCCTGCGAATGGCAAGGGACGCGCCAAGACCGTCATTTGAAGGCGCAGTTGGGTGGTTCGCATCACCTGAGGCTCCGTAACCAAGAATCTCAGCATAAATTTTGGCTCCTCTGTCCACGGCATGATCCAGATCCTCTAGAATTAGTACAGCTGCGCCCTCACCCATAACAAAACCGTCCCTTTTTTTGTCGAAAGGCCGAGATGATTTTTCTGGCTCGTTGTTGAACTGTGTGCTCAGAGCTCTGAGTCTGCAAAAGGCAGCTACGGCCAGGGGATTAACTGCAGCCTCACATCCTCCACAAACCATCACTTTGGCAGAGCCCTCTCTAATTAGTCGAGCCGAATCCGCAATGGAATGGGCACCAGTCGCACAGGCCGTCGAGAGACAATGATTGGGTCCTCTGAAACCATACTTGATGCTCAGGTGTCCTGCAGCCATGTTGGACAAGATGCGAGGGACAAAGTAGGGACTAACTTTATTGGGGCCTCTGGTGGCCATCAGCTGTGCTGAATCCGCAATATCAAGCAAATCCACCATTCCCATGCCAATTGAAACGCCTGTGGAATTTCGGCCTTCGTCATTGTTAGGATGCCACTGGGAGTCCTGCAGAGCCTCTTTAGCGGCCAAAAGAGCGTAGGCAGTGGCAGGAGCCATGGTTCGAAGGTCCGACTTTGAAAAATGCTTGTCCAAATCCAGCTGGTGTTCCTCAGGGCCTCGAGGGACGAGGGCAGCAACTTGGCACGGTATCTTTGAGAAATTCTCAGAAGTGAGCCTGGTGATGCCAGACTTTCCTTCGAGGAGCTGTGTCCAAACGTGCTGAAGGTTGCAGCCTAATGGAGAGACTACCCCCATACCAGTCACAACAACTCGACTTGGCACAGAGGCTGTCAGCGCTGCAGACGACCAGCGGGACATCATACGAGCAACGCTGCGACAACTTCTGCCACTGTGCAGGAGGTGCAGTGTCCTTTTCATCATCTTTACCGCTGAAACTTTCATAGTTTCACTCAGAGCAGTCTATGCTATACTTATAAAAAAGAAAATAAATTAATATTGAATACGTATTAGGATGAATTTTTTTAAATTTAGAAACTTACTAATAGTCGTCTCATATAAACATTGCGGATATACCAAAGTCACCAAATTAAATTATCTTCTTGCTCTTCTCTTTCTGCGATTTGTTAAAGTTCATCCTGGTGAGCAAGAGTATTAAATTAGGTGCTATTGAAATGCGCCTTGATACATACGACATAAAATTGTGGCGAAAAGCACTGCTTCTCGTGGATCGTGGAGTTGAATGAAAACAACAACAAAAGCCCGTCCCCTCTCCCTCCCGTTTGCTCCTCCACTCTCCTTTACTGCTCCTTTAAGTTTCAAATTGTGTTTATTTACCTCTGGTCCTTTACCTCAGCCCTCGCTCGTGTCTCCTCGTCTCGTCAACAGAAAAGAAAACAGGATTTTTTATGTTTTGTTCAGTCTGTCAGACATTCTGCCGCGATTTTTCATCTTTTCATTTTCTGTGTGTTTTTCCTGCATGGGCTGGTAATATTTTTGTTTTTTATTTAGATATATAGTTCAACGTTTATTTTTTCTTTCGCCTTATAGCTTGAAGCGTGCGTGTTTGATTATTGCGGGTGCAAAAAAAAACAATAATGCAAATTACACAAACATGCTGGGCGCCCCCGCCGTCACCAACTGCCGTAAAATGAACTCGATCTCGTGATTTTGCGGTGTAGTATGTATAGATTATTAATAATGCGCGGCCACTTCTGTAAACCTGCACAAAAACACGGAAAAGGCGTGTTTATTGTAAAAGCTGGAAAAAATGTTTTTTAATTGAAATTATGCATGGCTTTATTTTAATTATATTATGCATATTGTGTATGCAATCTAATTTCCAGTTTTATAATAATAACGTGTGTTATTTTAGTTTTATGTATGCATGTAAAACAAAAATAATACACGTTAATCTAGATTGAATTCAACGAAACTTTTCCAATCTAATTGAATTATCAATATCGTCGAGTCATTGTTTTAATTAACAAAAGCGTTAAGCAGTGAGAATAATAAAATTTTATTTTTATATTTTTTTGAATTTCTCATCCACAATAATGTAATAGGAAAAATAATCGAGAGACTTATTTTCAATAAATGTTTATTGGGTTCAAAAGGTTCGAAATGAGGGCAAATATAACCCATATACATGAACAAATCCAGATAATTTGACAAAACGTAAATTTTACACAACTTACGGAAACTTGCGTAGATAATCTCTTTATTTTCACAACATTTTTTTGCTACACTTATCATTGTGTATCTGCTGTATGTATTTATCTAAGCAAGTCCTGAAAACAAACTATTTTCAAATTATGATTATCCCAATCAAACTAATTATGTACGTTCCTTTTTTTTTCAAAAATCTAGTATGACTAGACCAGTCCGTAAATTAATTTTTATTTTTCAATGTACAATAATCCTTCTTCTTCTCCAAATCATTTAAATTAATGCGCGATTAAAATTAAATGTATGATAAATGACCAAATTAAATGTTTGAAAAATTTGTTTTTATTCCAAATTGATTTCTGTAGTATCATCTTGACCGTCTCCCACAGCTCCACGGTTCTGAGTATTTGGACGCAACTTCAAACGTAAAAACTTGTCTTAATAATTGTGGTTTAACGAAAGAAATTTGTATAGCCCTTTTGATTGAGATAAAAAAAAATATATAATTATGTATATAATTTTGTTACCTCCTTGTCGGGACTTCCTTTCTCTTGATCTGGTTCAATGATTTTCTTGTTCATCTTATCGATGACAATCTTTGCTCCCTTTAATGATCAAGAATATCGACGTAGAAACGCGTTTCAATGTTCATTATTATTATTATTTTTTTTTAATATAGGTTTTTGTTTTATTCTGAATTTTGGATTAAATTATATAAATTTATTTAATTACCTGTATGCAGACCAAGCCGAATGCAAGAATGAGAAAAAACAAAACGGCGGGTAGTGCAAAAATTGCGACTTTCCCGCCATTAAAGCCACCCTTATGGGACACAGCACTTACAATCGTAAAAGTAAAAAATTGAATAATCGAAGTAAATAAGACAAATTTCCTCCAGATAGAGAGACCATCTAAAATAAAATTAATTTACCAGTCAATCCCATTAAAAGCTTAATTATTTTTTTGAAAATTACTTTACCTGAAGAAGAGAATATTTTTGCCAATTTTGCAAGTCCAGTCATGCTGTTCGTGATCATACACGTAGCAATGAGCGCGCTTGACCCTTTTAAACTAAGCCTTTTATTTTTATATTAAAATTGCTATTCAACCTGTCACTCGTGTTGGTTGCAAAAACACGCGTTTTTGTCGGGCAACAATGTATCCAAATGTATCTAATGACTAGATCGCGTTACTTGCTCCATAAATTCCTTTTGTCCTGCATTATTAATTTTGGCGATGCGAATTTTTAAAAATCTTTCTCACCAATACAAAAAATTATATTCAATAATTTTATTTTCATTCCAGTTGTTTGAAAAAAAATATCCATATATATTCAAAATAATAGTAACTAGTACTTAAAGACCAACTAAATAATAAATAAAAATACAAAATTAAAATAAGTACATATTGCTATGATACCACACAAACTAAAAAGTCTTGTATAATCTCATATAAAATAATTATTACATTATGATGATACCAAAATTAATTTTTTCATTATGAAACGTAATATTTAATAATATGTCTAGCAAAAATAAATTTATACGCGATGTACGCTAACTTTGTAAGGTCTCGGGGAGCTCGTAAAACCTTGCAAATGGTCCATGTTGGGTTTTTGGTGATGCGCTGGCAGGCTGAACCGATATTTCTGCAGAAGCGACGTCAGGAAAAGAAAAGACGTATTCTTTGCAAGTGGTTCACCGAGGCACACTCTGGGGCCTGTAATAAATTATATAAATGTTAAAATTACTATTTCAAATCAGATTTAATTTGTCGTACCCATTCCAAATAATATGAGGCGCTCATTTTTGACGCAAACGCCATCCTTGATGAACCTTTCGGGCCTAAAAGTTTCCGGGTCCCCCCAATAATCATCCATCATCACGGAATACAAGTTCACCATTACTAGGCAATTCTAAAATAAAAACAATTAAAAAAAATATTGATATTTTAAATAAGAAAAAAATTACCCTTGGAACGGTGTAGCCAAAGAGCTCGACTTTTTGACGTGTAAAATGTGGTACTGTGAATGGAATCAAATTTGCCATTCGCAGTACTTCCCATGTTGCGGCTTGCACATAATGCAGTCTAAAAAAATTTTTAAATAAAAAAATTGGAACCGAAAATTATAAACAAAAATTACTTTGGCATGTCTTCTAATGATGGAAGTCGATCGCGTCCTACAACTTTGAAGATTTCCTGCCTCATTTTTTCCTGAACTTTTGGGTACTGCATGAGATACAAAAAGAAGTAGCCAAGACTGCTAGCTGTAGTTTCAGTGCCAGCCAAAAACAAATCCATACACAACACAACCAGTTGTTCCTCTATAACATTTTGATATTAAAGTAATGCCAATATATAAATATAAAAAGGCAGTTTTACCAGTGAAAGTTGAATTCTTATTATTTTCTTGCTCTTTTAATTCCTTTATAAAAACATCCAGAAAGTCTCTCATATTATCCTCCTGGTATGTTTCCTTGTGGTCATCGATAGACTTTTGGATGAACTTTTGCAATACGTCGACTGACACCAACTGCTTTTTGTAAGGAATATTGACGATTGGGACAAATCTCAAAAGTGGAAAAGCCATGATTCCTCCAGTAGGACTTCCATTTCGGAAAAACTCGTTAACGTTAAACATCAAAGTCTTAAAGCTCTCATCGTTGTGGTCGTATCGCACTCCAGCCATTATTGCCCAAAGAATGTTTATCACCGACACGGGGAATAAATCTTTTATTTCTATTCCTTTTGTGTCCATGGAGTCTCCTGCTTTGGAAATGCGGTCATCCAAGTTCTGCATCAATGTGCTGATTTCCTCATGGTTCAGTCCCTCCATGCTCCGTTTACCAAAACCGAAATCCCGCAAGTGGCGCAGCGAAAAACGGCGTTGCTCCTTCCACAAGGGACCATCACTGAACAGCACACCTTTATTGATTCAAGTTGAACTTTTACTATTAAAAATATCAAGTAAGGCTGTGCAACAAACCTAATCTTTTATTATAGGAACGGGCCCGAATCAAGAGTCCGTCAGGTCGGTTCGCAAAGTCATCTCTCATTAATACGTGCTTTACTGCCTCATACCCATTCACCACCACGCTCTTTGCTTGCGGCCCCAAGAAGAGTCCAACCACAGGCCCATATTTTTTTGAAAGTTGAAATAGAGTCTCGTGCAACGGTGTACTTGCCCTCAACGCAAGGAGGCTTCCCACAACAGGATAATTTGGTGGTCCTAAATGATTACGTAACCAAAAAATTATTTATAATATTTAATTTTTTAATATTTAAAGTTTAATTCAAAATATATTAAGAATCAATCGAACCTGGAGGGAAGTGTGGATATCGTCTAACTCTTGCAATGTAGAGGAAGCTGACAATAGTCACTAACACGAGTAAAACGATTTCGACAATCATTTTTGTTGATAAAAAGAAGAGTAAAAAATGAATGGGTGTGCTCCTGTATTATATACAAAAAGTGAGAGAGGCCCGATGCCTGATGGGCGTCTCTCTAGAGGAAGCACCTCTGTTGAACATTGAACCGCGTTGCGATAGTAAACCAATGGGAGAGATAGCAAGAGCCGTTATAACCCAGTACTATTTGTGGTCACTTTTTACGCTCGCGGCCTTAATTATAATAACGAAGAGCGATAATTAAAAATTTTATAAAACCTGAAATTCTGAAGTATAAATAACGTGATTAAGAATCAGACATTGGACTATTGTGGACTTTAGAAGAGTTATCTATAAATGATGAAATTTGATAATTATTGCATAAAATTTTGACTAAAGTTCAATTTTCTCTTTTGATGATGGGGTATAAGATTTTAACAGAAAATATGTCTCCAGCACAAACTAAACAGGATGAAAAGTGCCTGTATTAAAATTTTTAATTTAGGTTTCTTTATAATTACACATTTTACTTTATTGTGTATAATTACAACAATTTTGCACTTCTTTACCAAATTTTTAAAGTCATTGGTGGTCATTAGGATTTATAGCCTTACTTTAATGCCATGGCACTTGGTTCTGGTTCTTGATGGTTCCCAGCTTGTAGTACCTTGTTGAGCCCCCGGCCGGCGTTTGGTTGCCATTGACAGCAGCGGGTGCTGCAAGGGAAATATAGTTGTGTGTTCCAGACGATCCAGAGCTGATAGGAGGCAACTCTAAGTCGGAAGACGTGTGGGCAGAACCAGTGTCATCTCTCAGAACTTCGACACATCTCCAGACTCCAGCATAATTTGCTAAAATCAAAACAAACAAATATTGCAAAATTATTTTTATATTAAATTAGTAACTTTTGACTATAAACGCCTTTTGCGTGGAATTATGTTCCGAGACACTGCAAAAAATCCAGTTTTAAAGGCGTTTAGTCAAAAGTTAATATTTAATTATTTCCCGTTTCGATTGGTTCCTTTGGGTTTTAAATTCTCATAATTTTTAATTATTTATATAAGCTGGCTTCGAAAATAGCAGGAAAGGAAATTAATAAGGTTTTCTGTATCTTATTTTAATTAAGATACAAAAATTATATTCAGATACAAACCTTTCCAAAGTCGAACACAATTATCATCCCCAGACGAAGCAAGAATGGTGCCTGTGATGTTCCATGAAACTCTCCAGACAACACTATAGTGATCTTCAAAACGAGCTGCCAGCTCAACGGAAAATTTTGTCAGCCCAGTTGCAGTTTCTGTGCTGTCTCTGTTGGTTGAGCAAACAATTTTATTATTAGTAATTGTGTTAGCTTGAATAATATTTTATAAATACATACTCTAATGGTCTAAGGACAACTAATTTAACGTCCCTAGAAGCAATGGCCAGCAGGTGGTAAGATCTACCAAAATTAGGGGCAAACATTATGTCATGAACAGGCTCTGTGACCATGTTGAGTGCCTCTGCTTTGGCCCAGCGCCTTGAGTTTTCACTGTACTCGTAGACGACAACTTTTGCCGCACCAATAACTACGTTCGAGGCTTGGCTGCCAGCTATTGAGGTTTGGGGAGCAGCAACCTCGTCACTGCCCACAGCCAGCAATGGCAAGTGTTTACTAAAAAGTAAATTTATAATAAAAGTCAATGATAAGGAAGAATTTTTTCAAACCTTGAAAATGAGCAGTTCCAAGTCAGACAGCTGATGGGCATTTTTCCTTGAATCTCGTACTGCACAGTCCAAGTGCTGAGATTCATGACATCGGGAGCTTCGTAGATCCTGACCACTCCATCCGAGCTACTGGTGGCTAGCTGCAGTCCTAACTGGCGTGGAGCAAATTTAACATCCGTCACTGAAGTCCTCGAGTCCACCATGTTGGTCCGCCGGATCCAGTGCGAGCGAGCTGCTTCCCCAGGGACGTCACTTGCTGGAATTTCTTCCCAAACGGCCGCCGTTCTGTCAAAGGAGCAGGTGGCGAGAACCTGGCCAAACTCAGGGTGCGCCCACGTCACTTTCCAAACAGAGCCGCTGTGGGCTTTCCAGGCTGCACTGCAGTACCAAGCACCATGCTCATCAAGATCCCAAACCTGGGAAATACGATTTTATTATTAAAAAAAGCCTAGCTTCATGTGATTTGATTTTTATTTTTAAATTTAATATAAATATATGTATTTGAAAATCGTTGCTTTTTTTAGAAAATGAATTAAGATGTGTAAATTACAGGAATTAAATTTCAAACTAATCAAACTCATTTGATTACAACTTCAACTTATCTTAGAAAACAAGGACTATTTTTGTGAATTAATAAAAAGCATGTTTTTGCATGGCAAATTGTTAACGAACCTTCACAAGCTGATCACTTGAGCATGTTGCCATTCTTTGGCCATAATAGTCAAAGGCCACATCATGGATCAAGTCTTTATGCTGAGTGTCAATGGACAGAGCCTCAAACATCTTTGTTTTTTCAAATTGCAGATCTTTTGGAATCAAGAATCAAAACAATCCGACAGCTCTTATTTTGGCTCAGCTTTGTTATTGTTGTTGCTCTCGGCTCTCCCTTTTTTTCGTGGAGGGGAGGAATTTTAAATTTTGGCGCTTAGCACGCGAGCCTGGTGCTCACAGCTCACATCGCCATCTTTAAAGTTCTTTGTAAACAACATTCTCGGCTTTGTGTTTGTATTCGCATAAATTTGTGGTCCAGACAGTCTGTGACAGAGGTTTGGCTGACTGGAGACGTACAGATGTTAGGCTGAAAAATTTGCACAAGTGAAAGCGCAATACAAATCACCTGCGAGCTTCGGCATGAGCGTCCCTTGACATGGAGGACGAGGAGGAGGTGATCTACGACCTGCCCAGGGGCAGCGAAGCCCCTTCGGAGGACGTCACAAGTGAGGCAGGCTCAATTTGCGAGGAAGAAAGAGTTCGCAAACTTTTCCAAGCTTGCGACGCTGATGGCGATGGCTATATTGACAGGTACATATGTATGCAAATTTCAAAATGCATAAAACGAGCATTTTTAGTGTCGATTATTTTTATTTTGTATGTAATGTCAAATATTAATCTTTTGAATTTATTAAATTAATGGCATTAATGCTATAATAAGAACTTTTGTTACTGAGATATTGTTTTGGAAAAGAAAAAACTAGAAAATACTTTTTCTATTTATTTAATTTTATTTATAGTTTCTAGTCCATTAGTTTCAAATTTTAATTAATTTTTTCAGCCAAGACCTTATGACTGTTTGTCGAGAGCTCAACTTGGAGGATTCTATTGATGAGCTGATGCGAGAGCTTGGTGCCGATGAGACGGGCCGAATATCTTACGATGAATTCCTCAGAAGGAGACTCTCTCTGCGAGGTGAGATCGATGCCCTCCGCAGGCAAGAGCGAAGAACTGGGCCACAGCATCCCTCTCAGACAGCCATCCAAAATAGGGAAATCGATTACATTCAAACCAGCAGTGAAAACAGCATGGGTAATTAAATTAATTTAACACCATTTCCTGTTTTTAATCACGATTTGATAAATGGAACAGGAGGAGTATCAGGAGGAAGGCACGATAGATGGGAGTTCGACAGTGGTGCCAGAGATTTGAGTCCAGAGCCCCACTCTCTGCAGAAGTTGGTGGAGGCAGCTGGAGGAAACCTGATGGCCTCATCTCCATCACACTTGCTCGATCTTGCCAACAGGGTAAGTACAGAAACAGAAATGCTTTTTATGATTATTAAAATTAGTTTTAGTTAGCATTAGTAGTTAACTATAATTTTAATTTTTTTTTTAAATTTTTAATTTTACTACAAATTAAGGACAATATTGAATCCTAATTTCAAATTATGTTAAGGGAGTAATGATAACTTAAAAATATCCAATATTTGCTTAGAAGGTGTTGAGAAATTTTGTAGATTAGCCAGCACAGCCAGTTGAAAGAACCCAATAGAAGTTCATAATTGAACAATGGGCAATGTTTCTAAGAGCATGGAAGCGGGGTAGACGACAGGATATATGAAAATTGTCGATTTTGACGTTGGGCTATTTCTTCCTAAAAAATCAGATGAATGATGTGACTCTGTTCAAAGTTTCATATCAGTTAAACAATCATATGAAAACTGTAAAATTTAAATTCTGAATTCTCTTTGCAGAAGCTAATAGTTTGTAAATAATTTTCTGCTTCATCTAATTTTTGCGGAAAGTGATACAGTTAGTTCGTAATTTGTGTATATAATGTTCGTTTTTATTTATGAACTTCTCTCACTCATATTATACATGCATGTAGTATGTACTTGGGTGTATGTACAAACTTCTTTCACTCTTCCGTGGAGAGGACGGGGGTTGCTCATGCTGTCAGTGAGAGTGCAATACACGGAAATAGCTCCCGGCAGGATCACTTATATCTTAAGTGCGTGTTGTTTTGTTTATTGTTATAATAACAATGCAGGCCAGCGCCAGATGCGCACAACCTTCTTTTTGAAAGGTTACTCCTGTACTGATCCAGTGACACTGCTTTTGCTTTTGAGCTGCTCCTTAGGACGCGACAAACGCTCATAAAACAGTTTTTTTTCCGTTTTTCAGCGCCATACTTGGCATGTCGAGGGAAAGAGAATAATTTGGAAAATCGAAGGCGCCGCAATAAGACGAATAAAATATCGCTTTGAATTAGCTAAATAAGTTATTTTAAGCTCATTCCCCAATGGGTTTTTTTGTCGTTTATTGTTGAGGAAAAAATATCCTGCTGCACTTGTTTTGGATGCGGGCTGCAGCCGATTTAAATTAACATTACCATGAATTTACCCTTGATTGTGAAATTCTACCACTTGTTTGAGCTGCCGCGAGTTGTCACGAAAATAAAAATAAAAAGGACGCTTTAAATTAGCAAAATTAGTTAAGTTTAACTTGTTTGAGCTGGCCCGTCAAACGCTTATAAAACTTTTCCCCTCTGGCTGAGCCAAACAAGCACATCCGCGGAAAAGGAATAATTTTTAAATTCTTATTTGCCTTATTTTGAACTCAAGAAAAAAGCTTCAACTTAACTAAAAAAATTCCTTAACACAGACGAGCAAGGCTTCATTTGGCTCTGGGCTCTGGTTGTAACTTTTGCTGAAATTTTTACAAAAGAACCTTTGAAGCAAATATGTGCAAATTCCATTTGGTGCCATTCACACGCTAACTGTAGAATTACTTCAATGAAAGCGTAATTTGCCAACCCATGAACCAGCCATTGCTGAAGTGTGAAAGGCCGTTGCAAAAGAAAGTGAGCTGAAAAATTGGCACAGGGCGTGCGGGGCTCAATGGTGGTGAGTTTGGAGTTGGAGCACCCACGCATGCGAGCCTCGCCTGCCAAAAGACGCCTCTCGGTCGGGCGCCTTTGTTCGCTCTCAGTGCTTCAGCCGACGCGGGACAAAATGCTGGCCGACGAGAGCCGTTTGCTCGCGAGTTGCCGGCACAAGAGGCGCATGTACCTCGCCACCTACTCGACTGCGGAAGTGCCCTATGGAGACGAATCAACCCTTTTGGGCGGCAGCCTTGCTGGCTCCAGGGTATGTCTCCACGACAGGCCTCCTTTGGTGAGCCAACGGAACGGAATGCGACGAAGCTTTGAGTGTCTCACTCCATCCAGCAAGTCCGACCTGGTTGTCACCGCTGAAGAGGATTCCAAATGGACATCGATGGCCTCGAGACTCTTTTGCTGCGTCAGCGAGCGCGGAGTGACCTGCAGGTCGGACGCCGTTCGGAGGAAAAGCGAATCTCGCAGATTCGATTTCAACACTGAGGTATCACTTCGACTTTGGGATAAAGAATTTAATTAAAGCTGATTAAAATAAAATAATATACACTTCAAATATTTAGCGTCGTTCATAGTATTTTTAATGTTTAATCTTGATGCTTCAAAAGTGCTCAGAATTGGTTAATTTAAAAATATAAAATAAACATTTAATGTATTTTGTTTTAGTTCATCAATGCATTCAATTTGTTATCAACCAACCATGTGACGAAAAAAGTAAATTAAAAAGCTCTATGTTTCTGGGTATCTTTTTTAACAAATCCAATTCATTATACTGAGTTTTGCATAGTATCTTAATAACATTTTCGAGAAAAGCACTAATTACAAACTGTATTCTCATCCTCAGCGCAATGGAGAATAGGATGATACATTGCATTAAATAATTAAATATTATTCCAATTTCAATTCATAAATTTATTTATTTATTTAAAAAAATAAACATGAGCCATGAGCTTTTACTATGAAACCTTTTAGTTCACTTTTTTTGTCAATTGCTGGTAGTGGTGTTGAACCTCAATCAAGTATCTCCCTTGTTATCAGAATATTTTCGAGTTAGAACTTGCACTGTCGCTATATCGTCCAACTAAATAACGTGTTGTTGCGGAGAACACAGAGTGTGTTTACGAGATTACAACGTTTTAAGAAGTAAGGGAGATGCTTTAAGGGATCCCTTTTATTACATTTGGGGTTCGAGAGCCGCTGCACAAAAAGGGGACTTCTTATTACAAGTCATATACATACTCTATTGTCTGTTTATACTACAGGGCTTAGACTCATTACTGCCGGCTTGTTTATTTTTGTCAGCCGCAAAAGTCAATGCGGAGGGTTCGATGGATATGCGTCGTGGCAATCACTCCATGATCACCAAAAATGTCAGCCGTCTTGGAGGAGCCCTTGATTCAAGAAAAAAACATTCAAGCACCCCGGGGATTTAAAAGTCCATTATGGTGACATCTGGCACATTGAATGAGATATAGGAGCTGAGAAATGCGGATTTATAGCCTCATTACTGCTAAAGGAAAAGAGCACCCAACACAATCCCCTAAAAATTACGCTAGAATAATTGAGGCCGCATTGCAGTTCGTGGAATCAGATTGAATTATATGACGCCCAGCACAGCCTCTTTCCCTTTACAGTCACTATACTTTTCTCAGAAAAATGTTGGAGAAAGGGGAAAAGCGTAGAGAGAAGAAAAACAAGCGCGTTGAATAAAAACGAGCCCACAGTCGGTCGCTTAATAGTGAGCAAATAGCTGCGAGTTGTGCTTTATCAACTTCAGGCTGCAAAAAAATTGCAATTCTCTCGTTCTATAAAATTTGCTGATCACAACTACAGCGCAATTTTAAACATGTAGCGTATAATAAGGCCGTTATGAGATAAAAAAAAACGAACATAAATTTAACCCTGCGACAAACGAAAATATCTGATTGCCCAAAGTAGTGTTGGTTTTGATGTAAAATTTATCGTACAATATGCTCATATTTTTCAATAAATTTTGTACTGATAAAGTTAGAACATTTTACTCTAAATTGTGCAAAAATTTAGTTCAAATTCCATCTACTTAAAGGTACCCTGAAATTGACGACCGTTGCATAAATATTTACCTCGTCCAGAACTAAATGCCAAAGATTTAATCAGCAGTTCCGAAAGAGCAAAGTGGAGAGTGTCCGCATAAGGACGCGTACAGGCGCCAATATCGATTGATACTGGCGCCAAAATGATGCCCCCGCAAGTAAATTTTGACTCCCGCAGCGTATTTCATGCTCCCTTGTGCTAAATCGTTTCCTCTGAGTGCACCCTCTCCTCTATGATAAATAGTGCGTTTAAAGGGTAGGGGACCAACAAACATGTAACTCGGAAACTGTTTGTAAAAAAATCCAGAAAGGAGTAGAGAAAGAAAATATTCTTTTCAATGGTACATCCTTTGAACTGGCTCCAAGCTGGCATTTTTTTTATGTTTTATTTAATTTCACAAGTACGAGTACATTTTGGAAATGCACGCTAAAGTCTGGTTTTGCTGATGGAGAAAAAAAAAGAAAATTAGATATAATGATTTAAATTTCCCACTAGGAGCAAAATAACATTGCTATACATTTTGTTGGTTATTTTTCAAATTTTTAATTGTTGGATAATGCTAGAATTTTAACATTTAAGATTTTAGTTGGATATTTTTACAATTGAATTCCTCATACTCAAAAAATGTATGTTTTTAGCTTCACTTGGCTGCACTTGCTTCCTTGAAAGCAGAGGTATCAGATTTGACAACAAGACTTCGTACTGTCACATCAGAGCGCGATATCTTAGAGAAAACATTAAACAAAATCCAGGTAAATTTTGATATTGTGATGTAACTACCAGTTTCTTTAATTTTCACCCTTTAAAACAAAATAGCTTGAAAAAATGAGAGTCAGCCGAGAGTTTGAAGGAAAAATGGAGGCGGAATCTCAGAGATATGAAGAGCGAATTACTGAACTTCACTGCGTCATAGCTGAGCTGCGCCGAAAGTTAGAACAACAACGTGGCCATGCTATAGCAGAGGATGACGAAGAGGAACTTGCCGAAGATGAAGAAATCAGTCAGGATCTCAATTATCAGTCTGGTAAGAAACTTTAAAATTTTGAATTGTTCTATTTTACAGTTTTTAAATTTTTCTAGACACTGAAGACTTTAGTAGAGACGCTGAAGCAATTGCGGACAAAGCGGAGGGAACTCTCCCAACGATTGGGGACAGTAGGTCTTGCACAAGTGCCGACATGGACAATAGAGCTGTTGAAGCAGGACAAAGTCTGGCGGATTTGACTGAATGTAGGCCTCCAATCTCGCAGCCTGCCATAACAGATCTTTTAGATGAAATAGCTAATCAAAAAGAAGAAGTCGCAAAAAAGACGGAGGAGGTGGACAGAGCACACTCGCTTCTTGCCGCTGGCCGAGATGAGAGAGACAGACTGAGGAAAAAGGTAAATAAATATTATATTTTAATTAAATAGTCCTCTTCCACTGACCACTTGCAGATTAATGAGTTGTCCAATGCGCTGCAAACTGTGATGTCCACAAGCTCATCAGTCACAGCACAACATGAGTCGTCCAGTCAAAGCCCTAAATTGCCTGCTTCTCCAATGCACTCACTCAAAGTAATGCTTTGTCATTAAAACTTATCATATGTGAGGTTACAATTAAAAATGATTCTGTTAGGGTACTTCGCCTGCTGCAGGAAGCCCCATTGGTGGCACTTTGCAATCTGTATCCAAAGAAGAAGCGCCCATTTTGAAAATGGCCGAGCGAGTTAAGCTCCGCAAGGTGGGAAGTTGCGAAAGGCAACTTACTGCCTCGGATTTAAAAAAAGTTGAGGTAAGAAATCAATTCTTAAATAAAGGAGAGGCTAAATTAAATATTTTGCAGTCATGGAGCACTCCAGTTGCAGAGCAGCTTGCTCATTTGCACAATATTGATGGGGAGTCAAGCATACAAGAGATGCTGTGCCGTTATTTATCAAAATCAAGAAACCCACCATCATGCACCGAATCAGCAAACATGGAAGAGGCAATTATTCTAAATTCGCTTCATTTCGTTAAAATTATTTTTGTTCGACATTCTTAGGGTTATGAAGAGGACCGCATAATGGCACAAGTGGCAAGTCTACAGCAGCTCCTCCCACTAAGAGAGTTTGAGTTGGAGATAGATAGGTTGCGAGCCAAATCAGAGCATTTAAAAGCACAGTGCGAAGTTTACGCAATGGCGCTTGATGAATCTCGAGTCTTGTCAGAGAGATTAACTTTGCTTTGTGGTAAATTGAATATATTTTTTTAAATACTCGGAATTTTTAAAATACATGACTGTACCTTTTAGGTAAATGCGAGTCTAATTGTACAGCATTGTGGCTTGCATTGGAATATAGTGATACAGCAATTGAGTCGTACGACGTTTTGTTAGCCCTGCTGGAAAGCGAGTTGGCAGCTTTGGTAGCTACTTGTGTAGCTGCTGGCATTCCAGCATCAAGCAACTGCCCAGCTGTCAGTATGGCAAGCGACTCGGAAAATCCAGGACTTGCTTTAGCCCGTGCTAGTGATTTGAGAATGACAGCAGAAGGTGTTGCTTGTTTGCTTCTGTCTCGACTGGACAGAAACGTTGAATCTGCAAATGGCGATATATCTGGAAAAAACCACACGTAAGAATTTTTCTCATTGAGAAAGAGGAACAATTTAAAATAATCAAATGCTTTTTATAGAGATGTTAGGAGTTGGCGCCAAATTGAAGAATTGCGACTCCGAGGCCACATTAGCAGATTAAAAGGAGAAAGAGCAAAAGTCAGGTCGTCGGTTCAGTTTGGCCTTGAAAGTCCTCACAGTGACCCTCCAAAACAACGTAACCCTTCCAGTGTTGCCGAGGCCAGGAAAATGGACCTAGAGATGGCCGTTCTCATGCAAGTATGTTGAAAAATAATTTTTAAATTTAATCTTATGAAAATTGTAAATTCAAGGAACTAATGGCATTAAGAGAGGAGAAGGCTGAACTAAGAGCGAGGTGTCACATGCTTGAGAGAGAGAGGGTGGCTATGGAGTTGAGGCTAAGTGGACAGGAAGCACATCGACAAGCCCAAGGAGCTGCTTTGCATAGTTTGCAGCAGCAGCTGAGAGACTCTGAGAACAGGCTGTCGGGATCGATCCAAGTAAATATATTTTCATCATTTGAATTGAGAAATTAATTAAATAAAAAAAAAAAAAAAAAAATCAGGACGATGATAGTCAAAGCAAAGAATTGCTAGAGGCATTGGCTCGAGAGGCGAGATTGAAGGATAGACTGCAAGAAATGATGAACTCTTTGGAGACTGTGTCCAGGTCCGCCGACATCCGACAACAGCAGTCTAACGAAATGATAAGTGACATGAAGAGAGCCAACAGCTCTCTAACTCAAATGCTGGACAAGTGCAAAAGAAAATATCAAGCACGCATCAGGAAGTTGGAACACCAAGCTGAAGTTGCTGTTGACAGGCATTCAAACCAGGCAAGTTGATTGAATATATGGCAACAGAAATTTGATACTAAATTCAACAATTTTAAGGTTCGTCTTCTGAAGCAGAGAATTGCCGTTCTTGAGTCTGAGTTGGCTGCAGATATGTCGAGTCCAACCCCCAATGAGACTTCTCTTTAATATGTAACTATTTATGCGCAATTGAAATTTTGACTTTTTTTCTTATCGAAACGCACCTTTATATTGCTGTGCTTTTTTTTTTGAGAAGATATAAGAAAGCATCAATAAGCATCATGATCGAGCAAATTTTTAATTGTTTTTTTTTTAACACTTTACATTACATTTTTATCTTATGTGCCATTACAACATAGTTATTTGTAAATCCCTACAAATAAGTTTTCAAGGTGTGCAGTGTTGTCCACAATTAAAATTTGGCAGTCGATAGCTGAAAATTTGTTAAAATGTGATACCTATTGAATTTGATTGGCATTGTAAATGCTAAATTTTTACTTGTCAACCATGACCATTTTTTAATTTTATACCTAAGAAATAAAAAAATTTTCATGATGTATTTACTAATATTTGCTATTGGATCTATGAAGTAATAAAGTAACGCTAATATACATCCAAAGTTTTTATTTATTAGAACATTATGTTGTATGTTACACTCTCCAAAAATAATAATAATTATTAATTATACATATTTCTCTGCGCCTTGATAAAATCATATTTATCGCTTGCGCTCATACTTCCATTTATAGACGGGAGCACTTTGGCTCGTACCAGCAGATTTTTTAACAGGCTTATTTTTAGTATTTTTAGAGGACTTGAGGAGATGCGATTTAATAAAAAGTTTCTGCTCCACAACACTCAATTCACGTTCCCTCTCTGCTCGTCGAGTCAACTCCCTGTATCTTTTGGCCTTTTCTGTGGCCAAAACCAGTGCATCACTATCATTTATTGCAGGAAGAACTTTTGCTTTCAAAGTTTCCAGTTTTGGTCTGTTTGTCTTTCGTCCTATCAAAGTGGGATGAGTGTCCAGTCGAGTAGCCAGGTCAAAATTCGCTGCCTCTTTTTTGCTGTCTATAAAGAAGAAATGCTTGTTTTTGGCTTTTTCTGCCACATCAATCATGTGAAGCTCTGACTGAAGTCTTTTCAGTTTATTTGATTCAGCTGTTCTCTTCATGCTGATGTATCTATAATCCTGAGAGTTCATCAACTTTTCTTGAACAGCACTGTCCTCATCTTCTAATGGCTTCTCAACTTCGAAATGTACTCCCTCCTGAACCTTTGAGTTGATCATGTGGTGGTAGAATTCATCTGGATTTTTGATCAGGGCTTTCTTCCGCAGCGCCTTCAACGTGACTTGTTTATCATGGTAGCTGGCCGCCCTTTTCTTGTAGTCTTTCTTCTTTTCCAAAATTCCCAGGTGCTGCCGGTCTGCTGGCTGATGCCGCTCGCGGTGTGTCCGCTGGTTGGCTTTCGACGCATTTTTCCAGGACGACATATTATTAGCGTGTTTTCAGGTCAACAGCAGCTAAAGTAAGGAACAATTTAATTAATGAAAAAAAAACTACATTTCTATTTTCCAAATTCCATACCTACAATTTATAAAATCTCAAAATAAGGCTACGTATGTAAATGTACACAGTTACACACGTGTGCTTCTCAATTCTCTGCCGAAACGTAAACAAACTCATTTGAAGCAGGGCGAGGGCGACTTGTTGGGTGAGACCTCTGACGGCGACTTTGGTAGTCATTCTCGACTTCTCAAGGCATTCCATTTGCCCAAAAATTATTATTAAAAAGTTGTCGAAATTAAATTTTTTAAATTAAAAATTAGAATTACAAATAAAAACATAAATGCATTTTAATTTATAAGCAATAATTTTATAATTGATAAAATTAATTATGAAAAATAGCTAATGTTTATTTAAAAAAAAAACCATTTTGGTTGATTTTGATGAAGTATATTTGCAACTATATTTTTACACACATCCCATGCATTTAAATAACATTTCTAAATTTCTAAATTTAAGACTAAAAAATCCCCACATATAAGCATATAGAAAAATACTGATAGACATCACAATCAAATTTTCTTCAAGTAATAATTAAGAATATAACTTAGTTAAAAAATTTGTTCGTTTTGGTCTTGATTATTAATACTGACAAAGAATTGGCGTTTTCTTGTACCCCTGTAGAGGTACTATTATTTTGCTTTTTTGATCAGGTACCATGGAATGGTCAAAAGACAAGCTCCAAATATATAGGTAAATGAAGATCCAACACTCCAATAAGCTGAAAATAAATTATGCATCAAAATGTGATAATTTTTCCATTCCAACAATACAAAATAAGATAATTTTCACGATGCGAAAAATTATTATAGCAAAATTATTATACCTGTTGATGCAACTACTGGACCCAAAGCTCGAGCAAGAGCTCCGAGCGACCTCAGTATCCCCATAACTTTTCCCTTTTGATCATGACTACCATGCTGTGCAGCAAGAGTGGACATACAAGGGACGACAAACGCAGTGGCTAAAAATATCATTGAGAATTAAACAAAAAATTTGAAAAAAAACCACACTCACAGGCTGCAAACAGGAAGAGGCCAATATACAGGAAGACTTGTCTATACGGCATGCTAGGGGATGCCGCAAGACCGACAAATTGGAACGATGGGACAGTCAACAGCAGACCCTAAATTTTAATTCATTTTTGTGATCTTTTTTCATTCATGATAAATTTACCAGACGAGCAGCCGAGTGAGTTTTCTCCTCTGGCACCTTTCTAACGTAGCCTCCTTGTAAGACAGCCATAGTTATGCCAATAAAAGCAAACATCTTGCCTTGCTCCATAGGAGTGTATCCAAATGCATGATAAGTTAGGAATGTAAGGGTGAACTCGAGGCCGGAGTAAAGGAAGAGATACAGGAAGTACGTCAGACCGATTCGGCGCAGCTGACTTTGACCTGTTTTATTAAATAATTATTATTTAATGAAATGATTAAATATAATTAATAATAATTAATAATAATAATAAAATAAATAATTAAATAATTATTATTTAATAAAAAAATATGCGACAAATAATTTTACTTTGTTTGCTTAAGTTGCTCACTGCACTGAACTTAAGTAGATCCATCACATTGATGTACGCAAACGCTTGTGAAACACTCGTCGCAACACTTTTGGCTCGTTTGTTCTGTAAATGGACAAGACTTTTAATTTGTTTATACTTAACACAGCAAGAATAAATACCTCAGGAAGGGTTTCCTTGAAAGCAAATGCTACAAACAAAATATCGAGGACGGCTAGAGCCAGTGCTAGCGAAGCCGGAACAACAAACCAGTTTTGTCCCTCCTGAGTGTAAGACCACTGAGCAAAAAGCGCTCCTATCAATGGTCCCAAGACAAACCCAACAGAAAAGGCAATTCCGACGAGGGCCTGAAAATACAAGTCTTATGTTATAATGGTGCTCATTATACATAATAATTAAATTTTATACCATTCCTTTTCCTCTGGTAGCACTTGTTGATACATCAGCAATTACAGCAAGGAACAAACTAACGTTGCCCTTGCTCAGTCCGCCTACGATTCTGGCCAACACGAATAGTGCAAAATTATTCGAGAGGACCCATAGGACGTATGAGGCTGATATTCCAATCTGGAGAGGAAAAATTAATTTAAGCTTGAATAGCACATGAGTTAATTTACTAATGAAATGAGAATAGCGGGCTTTCGTCCAAAGCGATCTGAAAAGGCGCCCATGATCGGTGAGGCAACAAATTGCAGAAAAGAAAACAACGATCCTAAAAATCCTAAAAATAGTGCAAGCAAATAAAATTAGATGGAAATTGTAAATAATCAAATGGAAATTTTACCTCCGAAAAGAACGGAATTGTAGCGGTCAGGTACTCCGAGTATTTGTTGGAAATATTGAACTCTGGTCAACAGCCACTGAAAGAGACCGCTGTCGTCATGATTCCTGTAAAGCTCCATAAGAGCCGGTAGCAGTGGCAGGATCATGGTGAAGGCCAGCAGGTCAAGGAGCAAGGATACAAAGACAACAAATACCATGGGGTGCGACTTCTCAGATTTGTCTTTCTTATTCGTGTCGATGGATTTTCCATTCGCAATAACAGGCGTCCCATTTATCACAGCTTTGTTTTTATCGACTTCTGGATCAGAACTCAATTCGTTTTGTTCTCCGCCAGCCAGACGAGCAGATCGCCTTGTCACAACCATTTTCTGTAAGGGATAATTCCAAATTAAATAAATTATCACACAGTACACAAAATTCTAAAATTATATAAGCTATATATAACACATATGTTTTGAATCCTTATCAACCACTGAAGTTTTATAAATTAATTTTTCAATAATTATGTGTGAGAAAAAGCTAAATCAAATTAAACATATTTTATACATAATTTAATTCGCATTATGCATATAAAAATTCCAAATTGAGTTCCATTCCATTTATTTATATTTATTTACCTATGTTTTTTTGTAATCCTGTCGATGTGTCTGTTTTGCTGAGGCCGGGAGCAGATTAAAGTCGTGCTATTGGCTTTGGTCAGTAAGCTGTCATGCCACTAGCTTTCTCTGCTTTCCTTCGTATCGGTTTCATTACCAAACTGACAATGAACAATGAAACGCAGCAAAACCGTGATGATGAAAATTAGGGCATTAGCCTGCAGGCTGTCGACCGCTGCTCGAGTTTTCTTTCCTTTTCTTCAGATTAGAGTCTACTTCAGATGATTCCGAGGTGTCACGTGATGTGTGCAGCCCTCTTCAGTAGAAAGGAGAAGACAGGAAAAAGGAAAAATTCGGCCTGCAGTGCTGGCACCTGTCGGCCGGCCGGCTCAGTCACAGGCTGCGTTGCCTGGAGAAAAGGAGCCGTCAGACGAGTCTGCCCCCCACCCGCCCCCACGCACTCCCCACCTCCCCCCACGCATCTCCGACTACATGTGCATTTATTTACTTGACTTTTAAAAGACACAGTTCGCGTCTTTCAGCAGCCGAAGACGAGTTGAAATTCGACACGATGACCGACGACGGCACCAACGACAAAGTCGAATCGCACATGGGCATCATCGGCCGACGGGTTAGCATCGCAGGCGTCGATGAAATCGTGAGTTTTCATTCATTGATCCGACCAATTTCGGCGCTTTTTTGCTGCTCGGCACCCGGCTCTCGTTTATAGGATGCACAGCACAATGTATAGTTTTTGAGCTTTGACACTGACAATACTGGCAAGAATTCCAGTTGGGGCGGATGAGCACAGCGATGTGTTCGGCCGCGGTTTGTTTGCCTCGCCCCTCGCAACACCAACTCAGATAATGTAAATCTGGCAGCCAGCGCATTTGGAGTCAAATTTTATTATGATAATTTAATACGAAAAATTCAGTATAGACAGATTACAGATTTGCAATGAAAAATTTAATAGATGATCTTGGAAATGACTCAAAAAAGCCTACTTTTTATGCTTATTAAATTTATCTTGTCATATTATATTATACTTTTTTTATTTTTCTCTCGTTTATTCTCGAACTTGTCTTGAAGGATAATATAATTATGTTTTTAATTGAAAGAGTTGCATTCTATTAATGTCAGATATATTCAGTTCACATAATTAAATACATATTAAATTATTATACAATATTTGAATATTTCGGAAATATAATTTTGAATAATATATCACATACATCATTTATAAAGTTTTTAAAGGAATTACACGCTTAAAAATTCTGAATATTATTTCTGTAGCTGTCTGTAACCATGAAAAAAATTCATTGTAGTTCAAATAATAATTATAAAATGCATCATAGTATTAAAAAATTTATTAAATGCTAATAATTTTCTTTGTTTTTGCTTTTGTTGAAACCACAAGCCAAGCAAACAATAAATTTTAAAAAAATCGAACTAAAATAAATATTTTTTATTTTGTGATAAATCAAAGCTAATAATACCAATATACATATGCACTGCTTCTGTGCGTGGCAATTTAAGGGAATCCTGAACAAAACATTGATTATGGACTTCTGTGATTGTATTTAGCGACGATAATCTTCAAATTTGCTTACAAGCTTCTAGTCTGTCACTCAAATCAGGCGATGAAAGTATTCTCGCTATGTTGCATGGAACAAAAAGAGGCAGTAGTGAAACAGTGAACGGGATCTTGCAGTGCTGGCGAACGTGCATACCTGCATGTCTCTCTCATTGCGAGAATAGAGAAAACTCTTCACACCTTTTGTGAATAATAATGGTATTGGTTTGGTTGCAACCTTACCACAATCTCACAGATTGAATTACAAAAAAAGAAATGGTTAATAATTAAATATTAAATTATTTAGTTTTTACAAAGTGAAACCTTATTTAATAGATTTGGCCTGTGTCAAAGTTTCCTCTATTTTTTATTATGTAAATTAAATTTCTTTCATTTAAATTCAAAATTTTAATTACATAAAAAAAAAATTTCATGCAAGCCATGATTTACTGAAAAGAGAAGTTCAATAAACATAAAATTGAGTTAAGACTATTGTCTAATTTTTTAGTTCTTCTGTTAAAATTTTGTAAGTCTATTTATTTTTCCTAAAAAAATTTATTCATTTAATGACTGAAATAAAAAAAGGAAAAAAAAATAATCTTATCCTATACACTATACACATATTGAAATAAAATGTTGTTATCTTGAAGCATGAAATATTTAAATTCATAACTTTTACACACTGTTGTTTCAAGTGACTTAATACATTAAAAATAATCCATTGAACGGCACAACTTAAAAAAAACATATCTTGAATATTGTGGACACCAATTTATGCACAGATTTGTAAACATTGCTGGTCAAGGATATGTATGTGGAGGGAGAAAAGCCAAGCTTGGAGAACCTTCCAAATGCTTACAAAAACTGGTTGTTTTTTGTGAGTATTAATTGAGAAGGAATCTCGAACTTTGGCACCGGCAGTGCGCATTTCGCGTTTCCAATAAATAACGCGGGACCGCAGGTGTCCTGCCAAGGTCAGCAGGGCGATAACACCTAGCTCTGTGACCGGCGACTGGGACAATAATGCGCGCTCTAAAAGCTCTTGATGCGAGTTTGCTACTCACAGCGAGCACCACTTCGCGCCTTAAACATAAATCGACGCTTTACCTTTTCACCTGTCTGCATGTTGCGCGCGATAAAAAAAAAATGCACCTGGAGAGCATTCCATGTTGCTGGGAAAAGAAAGAAAAAATAATGCCGCTTCACAGTTGATGCTGGCCGAAAATAACACAAGAAAAGGATTGATCGCGTTTGTTATTCACAGCACGCCCCCTGTTGCTGGCGAGAGAATCCTTGGAATGAAGATTCCAAACATATTATGGAATTAGAAATAGAAAAAAAAGAGAATTTTTGGCAGCCTCTCATTATTGATTTTATAAATGGTATATCATGGTATATAATAGATTATTTTAATTCAAAATGGATGGCAATTTTAAAAATTGAGTTCCACAAAAGACTAAAAGAATATTTTTGTTTATTTTTCCAAGCATTGTTTTACATTCAATTATTTGTATTATTATTTTTTTTTTGAAAGAAAGGAATTATTGGTCAAAACGGCAAAACCAGCAAGAAATTTGGTAAAACTTCCAACTATATAGACAGTTGTTATTATTATTATTTTTTTTTTTAATAAATTAAATTTGTATCGTCTGCCTAATCAACCTAAAGAAATTTTCAAAATTGAAATATCTTGGAAATTACAAAAATTAAACATAAAATATTATCGCTTAATCAGCAAACAATTTACAGCTGGAAACAAAATTTGTGAATTTCCACCCTAGTCAATTCGCAACAGACGATCGAGCAGATTAACAATCCGGTTTGCCTAACTCCAAACCTGCCAGGCATCAGAAATATTTTATGTTGTCGAAGGAATGGCAAGCAAGCGCCAGTTGTTTCGCGATACATTAGGCCTTAACTCTTTTTTTTTTTTGCATCGACCGACTCTGCCGACGCCTGGCAACTTGATTTCTTTGGATCTGCGCGCGATAAATAAATTTTTAAAACACTCTCCATCACGTGCGTCGTACTTTTTATACCTTCCACTTCAGGGGCTCGAAAGCGAATTGGATTTGCTCTCGAAGCTGCACACTCGGTCGTCTGCTGGTGCCGGCGGAGAAATTGCCGAAAATGAAAATCGAGGGCGTGCTGCTGTGTGAGCGGGCAGAGGTTAAGATGATTAGGCGCCGATTCAATATTTGGAGTGATTTCTACCGCTTATCACTCCCGGACCGTTTCTGATCACGTTCTCTCCTCATTGTGCGGCGGGAAAGGAATGATCCTCCTCAAACACTGCATCCCTATGGAAACAATCAACCACATTAGGGGGAACAGGTTTACTCATCTCTTGGCACACATTGATGAGTTTTGTGGATTCAGATAAAAATTAATATGAGAATTTGCAGCATCTTTAGTTTACGTCACTAGAGTATAATTATATTTCGTTAAAATGAAAAGTTTCAAATGGATTAAAACTCTTTACATACAAGATAACCTGCTGCTATTCTAGGATTAATTTAATGAATCATACAATCTTAAAAATTTACTTCTAAAAAATTCAGTTCCAATCAAATTTTGAAAATTTTATCCCAGGCTAAGATCAATGAATAAAGAATGAAAACTTGCATGCATTTTATGCACAATAGAACCTCTGAAAATGTTATTTATTTTTTTTTATAAAAAAAAAAATTAGAATATACTTTACAGACTAAATTATTACACAATACATCCCAATTCAGAAAAAGGAAATTGAAGTTATTCATTAATTTTTTTGCAAATAACCAAAACCATATACTGACATCTGCATCTGTTTGTAGTGGCCACAATTGGCAATATTCAAACACGACGTTTCAAGTGCGGTGATTTTATTTGCATTAATTGGATTAACCAAAGACAAGGAAACAGTACTGCACAGATGGAAACTCAATCGTTTCAAGCAACCGCCCAAGAGTGTATTTAGCAATGCAAACTGCGCAAAGAATACCCTCAACTTCGGCTTGTCTTTCTCTCATTTTAGAGGGGAGCATTCTACGCAGTCAAAAATTTCGTCACACGACCCTCTTCCAAAAACTTATTGTCTTGAATTTCTTCTTCTTCCTTCCAACTAGAAAGAACAATCTGTTGGATCAGTGACAAATAATTTAGTTTCAAGTGAATGGAAAGAAAAAGTATAGCTTTGAGGGAGCTTCAGATTCAAGCAATGAATGAATAACAAGAGGGGATTGCGTTTGCCTTATTTTTCAATTCCTCCGTCCTACGATAAACGTCGTCTGTCTGGAGCATGATTAAAATCGAGCACTTATGGCACTCTGCTGGATGAATGAATTATTCCAGAGCAAGTGCATTTTCACATTGCGCGCCGCTTAAGGCAGAGCGACAACATCCTCATTAAATGCACTCTAGCCGGCTGGCTCGATTCGTGCATCTGCATTCGAAATAATAACAATGCCCTTCGCTCTGGTATCAGTCTAGCTTCTTCCTCTCTATGTTTCTCTCGTCCGCCCTTCTTTTTTAATATCCCTTCTATTCAAACAAATTCTCATCACAAAGTGCTCTGAAACAAATAAAAGGTGCAAATTTAGCTACCCAGTTTACTTAGCTCTGTTTATTTGTTTTAAGCCTCTAATTCACTTGGCGCGCGCGGGCATGGGGGAAGTGCGTATGGAAAATACTGTGTCCTCTTCCTTAACACTCGCGTATATGCAAATTATGGCTGCATATATAGCCAACTTGAAAGGC